ATCTAAAACTTTAGATATGCTCATGGCAATGCATTTGATTGTGATATTCCGTGTCCTTTTCTGTTTTATTGAATCCTTTTCTACTAATTGAAGTTGAATCATTGACCATTGTATATTACATAAGGTTTTTCTTATTAAGTATTATATGCTTCTATGAGCTTCAATTATGGTAAATAGAATTCAGCAAACTTAGTTCAGTGAATTCCTTACTTAGTCCGGTGAACTTAGTTTTTTCTTATTAAGTATTATATGCTTCTATGAGCTTCAAATGAACAAGTTCTTTTTTCCTTACTTTTTTATGCACTTGATCTTCTTCCACAATGAGTTAATGTGACCAGTGATCCATGTCAAAAAACAAAACTTGGTTCATTTGCATAGAAATGCGCAAAAATCTTATGCTTTTATGCATATATACTCCATTATTTTTACTTCCATGGCCTACCTTGTGGTGGTTAGCCAAATATTGTGTTTAGCCTGCCAAATACATCTCAGCTACAGGATTTGATGCTAATTTCTTGGAATTTTTGGAAATGGAATGATGCAATCTTTTATCAAAGCACATACTCTATCTCCACAAGGAAAAATATTTGAAAAATTGATGTAAGGGTAGGTAGTGACTTCGTGTGGTTAGTAAAAAAATCAATAATATTTAAATCATTTGATGTGGGTGTTCATGGTTCTTTATAAAATTTTTGATTAAAACTTTCAATATCTGTGAATAATTATTCTCCCCACGAGTCATGTATATTTGAATTAGATGTGGGCTTATGCATTGTATGGAGTTCAGGAAATAAGTTACATTTTTTTATGATTTACGATCAGCACAACTTCTTATAGATTATATGTATTGTGCTGTAGCATATATTGAAATTACTTTTCTTGACTGAGAGGCATAATCTATGGGAAGACTTCTTATTGGATAACCTTGAATTTACAACTAATAATTTGATAGTAAATTTACTAGATTATCCTATATTTGCCAACAAATAAAGACTGAATTGATTGAGCTTTGGGCTTAGCTTTGAATTGGATTTAAATTTTTACCTCACCCTCCACAGCATTAGTTCTTTTTATCTTTGTGATTTGTTGACTAAGTGAATTTGGAATGTAACCTTAGAATATAAATATTGCTCACTTGATTAAGTATATGCACTTTCTAACTCTACCTAATGCTACATGCCCAACATCATTTATGCATTATTTTAACGGAAGACATGAGGGAGCCAAAGCCGATCGCTAAAATTGCAAAACAAGAAGATTTCATCAGTTGGAAGTTCCAGGTTCTAAGTAGCCTCAGCTATGGAGTGATACCTTCAAGTTCTTTAATCAAGGTCCTTTTTTCTTTGCTGTAATGTAATTAATGATTGGTTTTGTATTCTATTTAATCATTATTCTTGTGTCATATTTGTTTAAAGTGAATTTCATTAGCATGGATTTGTTTTTTCCTTTTTCATTGGGAAAGGTTGATCATACAGGCAAAAATCTAAAACTGAATCACGGACAACGTCTACGAACAAATTAGCACATCTATTTGCTTTTCTAAAAGCATACTGGAGTATCACTTCATCACCCAAATTGGCGCATCTATATTTGACTTTATTACAGAAATTGGTTTCAATATTCACCGAGTTTATTAGGATCTACCTTTTATCCTGTTAGTGGCATTGGGTGAAAGGAAAATGATGTATTTTGCAATGCAAGTAGCCTAAGGGTAGAGGTTCCTATGAATTTTGTTCTCATGAATTCATATGTGCACAATTTTGGAGTTCATATTTTATTAAGTAAAAGATCCTTATTACCCACACATTTCTTTCTGTTGCCAAATTTGACAGTAACTCCTTGAAATTTTAAAGTCTGACATCACTAAAATGAATTTGAGGGATATCATCACTAGGTGCCCCTCCTGCCAAGGGATAGTGAACTTGATGATGCTGAGAAGTCCACTATGCAATATCATCACTAAAATTAAAGTCTGACATCACTAGGTTCCTGCTTTTTTTCCTTATTTTTTTTAGCATCTACTTTTGAACTTGATGATGCTGAGAAGCAGAGGACTTATAAGACAATTTCATTCCAGGAAGTCCACTGCAATTTTATAGCTCAATGTATTTGTACTTTCCATACATTTCTTGAATGGGCAATGTTCACTAGATTTGGGAGACTTTAGCATTCTTATTGTATGTGGTAAACACTATACTTTTCCATCCTTTTATTTTTTTGTTCTGAATGCACTTCACTAATGACATTGTGAAATCCTTGGCTGAACCAGTTTTGCTCAATGAAAAATTTGATGATTATTTTCTCATTAGCGAAATATGTTTCTTGATATCGCAGCAGGGATTAGCAGATCGGCTGATTTCCCTTTGGTTTTTGCTCACAATGATTTGCTCTCTGGAAATATAATGATAAATGAAGAGGAAGGTATTCACAAATCTTGATGACAAACATAGTCGATAGTCCGTTCTAATGTTTTTAGCAAAAGTATGTTCCTCATAGGAACTTTAGTAGTTAGCATGCTCATACTTTAGTAATTAATTTTACAATGTTGCATTGCTCTGTGAATGGAAACCTTGAGACACAAATTGATGTCATGGAAGTTATGGGTTAATTGACATATAGCTCCTAATTACTTCTGACCCACTTTTTCTTCCTCACATTTATGACTGATATGCCTTTCTATATAATTATATTTGGTATTTAATCCTATTGGCTAATCTAGATTCAAACTTTTGAGCTGAAATATGATATAATCTTTTTTAACAGAATTTTTTCAATTGCCCAAACGTTGCATTATTTGTTAAATTATTTTGTATACTATACAGAAAAGAATCACAAATACTGTATCAGAAATCATTTTTTCTTAATCATAGTTTTGTTGGTTATTTTAATTGTTCTTTTTTTTTCATTTTAATATATTTGTAGTTTTTTGCATGTTGAGAAACTCCCCATTCCTTCCATCAAAAAATATATGCAAGTTATGGAAGCGTAGGCAATGGGGAATTAGGAAAAGTAAATGGCTTTTGTTCTCGACTGCTACTTTAGGTTGACACATCACAAGTCAACAACATTTTCACATTTGGCTTTAGTATGATAAGATTGTTTGCGAATTTTCATTCCATCATAGTAGTACACAGAGTAATGCTATGAATTAATGTACTTTTTTCATGGATCATATTTCTGTAGTGTGTTGAAGGATAATGGGATCATTGGTTGGGAAATCTCTGTTGAAATGCACAAGACCAATTTAGGAAATGATTGAGAGAATATTGTTTTTTTCTCTCTTTTTAGATCAACAATCACAATGTTAGTGGCATATGAAAATCTTAGACTTGGTAATACGTAGAAACTATACTTTAGTTTCATTAATTGAAGTTTAATGTTATGTATCTTTAATTTTGAAGAGTTTTTGGCTGTCTGGGCTAAGCGTCATATATTGTTTTTAATATTGCACCGTTTGATATTTGATGAATTAAAATCAAGGTATTTGAATATTAAAGTTAAATTGTTAAGATAATTTGACGTAAAATCCTTTTTGGTGAAAATTTGAAATCTTTAGGTGAAAGAATTATGATGACAATATTAGCTTGTGTGGGATTTAATGTGGCCTCATAAAGATTATCTGCATTTGTAGTAAATCAGTAAAGTTTATTTCAATATATATATATTACTTCTTCAACCTTGTGTTTATTGATTACAGGTGATATTTAGTAAGGCAAAAGATAATGAAGGGTTTTTTTTTTTTTTTTTACAATTTTTCAGTTGTTGATAACTTTTTTTATTTTATAAATATAGATCTATGGGATTATTTTTGCAAGATTTGAAATTTGAATGATATTGTTTTGCAATGGGGATGAAAATCTCACCTTAAACGCTGTCTTAAAGTGTTAGTCTTTTTGACAAACCATAGTGAAGGAATAAACGAGGCATTTGTGATGGTGAAGGCTACAAATATTATTCTAATTCATCCAAATGAAAATAATCAATGGTGTTTACCGGGAGAAATTTTGGAATCTGCATGGATCATGAAATTTTAATGCACCATGTAAGACAAAGCATGAAAGCATGTAAGAAGAGATTGTGTCATGTTGAAATAAATTCATCAGATGTTTTTTAACCCTAAAATAATTATTTTGACTGGAAACCAGTAAATTATTTTCTTAATTAAAACTGAAATAAAATAAATTCAATGTCTATTGCAATTGCACTTGATGTTCCAACTCCCATCATGTCTAGAGTTTCTCTTCTAAAAAATCCCCATGAAAGGACCAATAGGTGGAGAGTCATTGTGAGGGTTATTAAGAGTTCCGAAAGGAATCATGTGCAGTATTTAATTGGTAAATTTGTTTTGCATGTTTGAACGGTTAAATTACTCTGTTTCTGCAATTGTTTATTTGTATCGTGTTCTTTCAAATGTAGTGGTTTTTGTCCAGTTAATTGCTTCTCTTGAAGAGTATAAGAATCATAATAAAACAAAACATATGTTACGGATGCTTCATTTCTCCTTTATCACTGAATCTATTAACTTATTAATTATTAATATTAAATGAAGTAATGAGAATTAGCTGGATAATAATTTTGGACGGATAATTATATATTTATATGTTATTTGCATTCATATCTACTTATATTTATGATTATAATTTAATTATAATTATAAATTATAATTTAATTATCATATAATAATATGTGTAATATTACATATTACTATTAAGTCATGCGTGTTTGTAGTTGATGTTATGAACATTAGTTATTTAGTAGCTTAGTACAATTTTTGTAGTGTTTTTTATTTTTATCGTGGATGTTCAATAGATTAGTTTAAGTTTTTGGAGATGTGACTGTGAATTAGTTATTTTGTACTATATTTTGTTTTAATATTGATTCTATTTATAAGATATTATTTATAAATTATAAATAAAATAAAATTTTATAATTAGAATTAGAGATAATATTTATAATATTTGCCTTGCTTCCCGTGCAACGCACGGGATATTTAGTGCTAGTTGCTTCCAATAACATCTTATTTGTCAGTGCTAAATAATACACAAGGCCACTGTTTAGCTCAATTCCAAACATATTTTGAACTCGAATTGTATAATCATCATTCGTCAACCACACTATGTTGCGGACCTGGGGTTGTTTGGTCCAGTTATCCTCATATTTTGGATCGTGCTTTCGCAATGAGCTCTCTTCTTAGAATTTTTCCAGACGCCGTCTTAGGAACAGCGTTGATGAATGTCACCCTTCGCAGTCTTTTGTAAGGTGCAACCTGCAAACCAAAAGCAGGACGAGTGACAGCTCACACGCACAAAAGGCAAATCGTTTATCTATAGATGATTATTTGAACACAAAAAGTGAACCCATATTTTCCTTCATTGACCAAAGAATCCGCCATAGATCAGTTCCAGTTCCAAGTAAATTTGGTTGCTTTCATGCTCATGCACAACACCAAAATTTGTAGAGGAAAAGCTTAACACTATATAACCATAAGAGATTAGAAGAGATGATCAATTTTCTTATTCTTGATAAAGCAAGCATTTCCTTAAATCCCCAAGCTAAAACTTTCAGTTCCCGGAGTTTTAACTAACATGGCGTAGTTTAGGTATCTTAATTTTCCGGCTGCTTAATGGTGACCAAGCACATTTTTCAGATTTCTCTTACCTGATCAGCAATAAACTTCTGAACGTCTTCTTCAGTCAGAGAACCATTGGGCGAACGAACAACATAGGCAACTGGGACTTCACCAGCCTCAGCATCAGGATATCTGAAGAAAAGATAAAAAGTATGCATTTCTTAATTCTTATCGCCAAGCAAATCAGGTAGAACTAAATCATAAATCTTCTATTTGTTACTTACGGGATGACAACAGCATCCAATATCTCAGGGTGAGAAACAAGAAGTCCTTCAAGTTCTGCTGGCGCAACCTGGTTATAACAGCAACTTAGATAACACAATTCATCAAGAAAGCTCATAGGAAATGAAGGAAAGAAAGAGACAAGGAAGGAAATCAAAGAGGAAAGACAAAAGAATAGAGTTTGGGTTAATTAACTGTCAAGGCATCCCCCTTACACTCTCACTCGTCCCTTATATAGCCACAGATCACTAACAGCTAACAGACAGACTAACTAAAATCATCGACATCTAACAATCATAGAAAAATAGTGCATATAATTTTTTAAAAATCAAGAGGTTAATTGATTGCCCCAACAAAATACATGCACATCATCATTAACCCCATATTTGACAGTTGACTAGACACAATTAGAGGGCTGAAACCAATTTTAATCAGACAAAACTGAATATTGACTTTCCAAATTCTGAAACTAAACTGAACCTCAAGACTTCCATCTTAGAGGAGGTTTGAGACATGTGACAGGGTATTTATGTATGCATGGCATTCAGTGTATAGTTCTCTATATTATATATACAGCTGTTGGGTTACGAACCTGAAAACCTTTATACTTGATGAGTTCTTTGATACGGTCAACAACATAAAGTTGCCCTTCCCCATCAAAATATCCCAGATCTCCAGTATGCACCCATCCCAGTTTATCTATAGTTAAGCTGGTGGCCTGGGGATTCTTGTAATAACCTGTAATTTTTTTTGTGAAACTGGTATTAATTTCATGACATCACCTACCAAATATAAAATGTCGCCAAACTGCTTTCGAAGAAAAGTGAAGAAAGTTCACAACTTGTAAATCTTGATGCAAAATAAAAGAAAACATTTAAAAGAATCCGCAAAAACCATCAAACGGGAAACGGTTAGCGCATAGGTTAGAGGAAAGACTCTCCAGCAGAGAGCAAACATTTGTGACTTCGCCGTATGGTAGTAATATGTTACCAAACAACTTAGTCATATTTTCAGAATCTCGTCAGAACCCCGGCCTTTTTTTTTTTTTTAAAGTTCTAAAATGTCAACATCCTTAGGGACCTGGGGTTGGGAACTATAATATTTCTTTACTTCTAACAAAGGAAAAGAACAGCAATGTAGAATTGAATAAAAAGGAATTAGCCTGTGTCAGCCATAAATTGTGCTAACCGAACAGATATACCACAGTTTAGAACATAATTGTTATAACAGTAGTGACAAAGCCGTCTGGCCTTAAGAATTCTCAATGCTACGGCTTAAGATTCGAGGGCAGTGAAATATAATAACATAGTGCAGCTCACTATGACACAGTAACTAACTCTACCTCGCATCATATTAGGACCCCGTACCCATATCTCACCCAACTGACGAGGAGGGAGGGGCTTCAGCGTATCCACGCTGATTATTTGAGCCTCAACTCCTGAAACAAGCATTCCTGCGGAACCACCATGACGAATACCCATTCTTGGATTCTCCACAGAAACAATGCCGCAAGTTTCCGTCATACCATAGCCCTGAAAACACAAGAATAAGTCCCAGATAAAATAAGAAGACGCAGAGAATTACATCAACCCCTGCACATCGTCAGCTATAACTTGCTAAATGCCTCGCTTTCTATATTAACGTTACCAGTTTGTTTCAACGATACATTCACGAAATATTGTCAATTGTAGTGTGTTTCATGTAATACGTAAACGAACTTCTCATCAAGTGTCCTCAAGTATTCCGTCTAATTACTCAATTAAAACATAGCTGAGTATTATGAGTTAAAAACCCAGGAGGTTTCCAGCAAAGAACAGTAACTCCATAGTCCGTTTTATAAAATATGATCTGCAAAAGATGTCGAGTTTATGATATTATAATTTCCTGTTCGAATTTAGTCGGCCAGCATAGAAGTTACCTGCATAACCAAAGCTTGAGGGAAATTTTTACCACACTCTTCCATCAATTCTTTCCCCAGAGGAGCAGCTCCGGAACCAATTTGCTTCAGTGACGAAAGATTATACTTCTTCACCACGCTCTGCTTTGCCAGAGCAAGGATGATTGGAGGCACAACCCACAAACGAGTCACGCTATACTTTTCAACTGCCCTTAACATCATCTCGAACTCAAATTTCTTCATAGACACGACTGCATTGCCCCTCTGAAGCTGCGAGTATACAATGATAGCAAGCCCGAAAATATGAAACATCGGGAGAACGCAAAGAAAGACATCGTCTCTCTCGTTAGCCAGCTCGTCATCCACGCCCACCATAAGAGAAGCGGATATGAAATTCTTATGCGTAAGAATCACACCCTTACTCACCCCCGTGGTACCCGAGGAATACAGAAGAGCCGCCGTATCGCTCTGTTTGACGTTACTTGCAGGAAGTTCCGTGGGGGACCCGGCAAGCTCAAGCAATTCATCAAAGGTGGTAATCTTCGACTCAGGCGCGACAAGGGACGGGGCTTGGGAACCCAAAATCACCGACGGGATATTGAAGCCCTTCACTTTTTCCCACAGTTCAGGAACAGTAATTACGAGCTTGGGATTGGAATCTTTCACTTGCTTGACAATCTCGGCGACCGTGTAGATAGGGTTGGCGGTGGAGGCTATGGCGCCAACCGCCGTGACCCCGAGGAAGCAGACAGGGTAGAGGATGGTGTTGGGCGCAAACAAGAGGACAACATCGTTTTTCTTGATGCCCAGGCGCAGAAAGCCATGGGAGACTTTCACTACTAAGGACTTGAGCTGAGCGAAGGACAGAGATTGGGAGGAATCAGCGTCAAACAAGGCAGGTTTGGTGGGAAAAGAGGCGACGTTTCCAAAGAGAAATGAAACGAGAGAGAGATTCTCGTCCCTGGGAAACACGGGAGAGGGCCTGAGAGACCTGTAAATTCCATCACGGCCATATCCAGATCTCTGCATCGCTCGCTCGCCCGCCCGACCGCGTGATACAGATTTAGACGGAAGGCCTATTTTGCCCCTTCGTTCTTCCGTCGAAAAATTTGGCACGCACGTCGCAAAATCTCATATGCATTTATCTCCAGCTTTAAGTGCTAAAATCGACTCGTCAAAAAAATTGCCAAAAGGGACATTTCAATGTATACTTCTAGTGTCTGAGTCCAAAAAAAAAAAATGTATACTTCTAGTGTCTAACTGCGTTGAATTTTACTATAGGACGAAATCACCTTTGGTCACGTCACATCTAGGAAACGATATTAATTTTTTTTTTTTGGTTTGCGGAAACGATATTAATATTGTTGTTATTAATAATAGTAATACTTTTCCTGAGTCGACGAGAGAGTAGAGACACTGTGAGGGAGGGAGAGGGCGCTCCAAAACGGCTGGATAGAATGAGGGAGTTAATGTGGGCATGGCGAGGAATACTTTAAAAAAAAAAAAACAAGAAAAACAATAAGAAGACGAAGAAGAAGGAAAGGAAGAAACCAAAAGGGCTGGTTCCTGAAGAAAGGAAAGGAGGAAATGGAAGAGCGAAAGAAGGAGGAAATGGAAGAGCGAAAGAAGGAGGATATGAACAAAGGGAGCACGCGGGCATGAGGCTGACAAAATGATGAACACAAATAAGTGGGCGGAGGGAGCAAAGGCACTGGGATGCTCACAACTAACAACAGTAGTTGGCACATTCCCTTGTTAAATGGCATGTGAGAAAATAATAAATAATCTAGCTTAGCATATTAAACTTTTATTTAATTACTCGTCTCACCAGTTTATCAACGGAATCCTGAACTATTGACTTTTTTATTCATTGACTTTTTAAACATTTGTATTGCAAATGGGATCAACTAAGCAATTGTGAGTTTCATTTGTAATTATTATGCATGATATGTACAGACTTAATTGAAAAAATTATCTCACCCCAAGAGAAATTAGCTTATACTACTTCCGGTCTTAATTATAAGAGCTAGTTAACTAATTTAAGAAGATTAAGAAAAGAAGTTGAGTTAGTTATTTGTAATAAATAGGTGTTGTTTTTCCTAAAATATCCTTGCTAATCAAATATATTGGCTAGAACTATTATTGTTAGAAGGACTACCTCAGAAAAAAATACATAAATATGAGAGATAAAATGAATTGAGATCTTATATTTATGATCAAAATAGAAATCAAATAAGATCTTATATTAAAGATTGGACATAATGTTATCGATGAACGAGAGACTCCTGCTTCTTTAGAAAAACAACAATTCAAAGTTTTAAATAAACTTTTTCTTTTTGGGGCCATCACACACAATTCAAAGTTTTAAATGAACTTTTTCTTTTTGGGGCCATCACACACAATTCAAAGTTTTAGACAGCAATATCATAATCATACTCTATCCGGAGCAGCCACGTAGTTTTCTTCATGATTTATAATACTGGTTATTTACTTATTTCTGATTCCATCTTTTTCAATGAAAGTGATTTGCCAATTAAGATTTGAACAATAACAGTGACAAAAACCTACTAGTATTATGATTTTTTACACTATCAAAATTTCATAATAACAAAAATATTGGTTTAATAAAAGAGTTTGCCCATATCTCATGATCTTTAGCCACAAATATAAATACTATGTTGGCGAGGGATATGAATACTCCTCTCCTCTGGTCTGTTAGAAAGAGACTTTTTTTTTTGGACATATTTACAAGTTATCTTATACTAAAATTTTAATGTAAATATACTATTTCACTGCATATTGTTGTTTTCTTAAAATTTTGATAAATTTTAAGATATAGTTAATGAGATTTATTTATTTTTTTAGTTCTTTAGTTCCGACATATTAAAATTAATTTATAAATAGAATGTGACGGAGGATACAGTGTTACTTCTGTCTCGGTGTCTCCTCTTTAAAACTCGCATCCCTTGGATTCCATTTGAATTAAAGATGCCAAGTGGTAACTATTCATTGAATATAATATTTCAATGATAATTAATACCTATGGCTTCGGATAACATCAAGTGGCGAGAACTTGAGCAAATAATGACGTAAGAGATATAATAGATCTGGGGGGCATGTGGCAGAATTATAGCAAAAGTCATGGTTGTATATAATGATAATGACATGATAATATGAAAAAGAGGCATTTCCTAAGATACCCTCTTTGATAATTCGCATTAAAAAATTTTCTTATTAATAAAAATCTCACTCCATAGCATTCGTGACTAATAGGATTGTTTTAAAAAAATTCTAAATATGCCAGATATATTAAATTGAGATTTTTATAATATATATTCATCCTAAAAGCTACCTATCAACTAGTTTTTACATTAACAATAAGAAGAAGTGCCATAGGAACTGAAAATTAACGTATTAATTCTTTTAAAAAATTTGGCATAAAAATCTACAGATAATTTCTCTTAGTTTAAGAGAATATCACATATGGCATAATTTTTAAAGCAGTTTTGCATGCAAATGACTATTTAAACAAAAATGATAATAAATTAACATATAAATTCTTATAAAATACATATGCCATGCACATAAAATAATCATAGCTAACACTACAAAGACGGATGCAAATTATCATAAACATACCAATTTAAAAACAAATCGTATTCACACATTTGCTCTATTTTTCAAAATATTTATAGTTCCAGGAGAAAATTGCTTCAACAATTTATTAAAATTACATATACTGCAGCATAGATGGTTGGTATGAATGCCTTTTAAATGTAATAATGAAAATTCAACACTAAAAAAATAGCACATGCACATATGTAACACAATATAGAGCGCTGTTTCCGGGTGGGTATTGTTTGAACTTGTTAGACTTAGCTGCACTATTGAGTTTGGTAAAAAGATTTCATTTCTAATATCATTTTTTGAAAATTGGTAACTAGATTGTTGGACTTAAAAGATCATGGCATATTATTACTACCTAAAAAAAAAAACACAGCACTGTTATATTTTTAATTTAATACTGCAGCACCAATTGAGGTGTATGATACAAAATTCATCGCCGGCCTAAAAATGCTCATCGAATCCGTTTAGTGGTTTGGGCTTCAGCCATTCACAAAGTAAAGCACTAAATTTGATTGCCTTGAGAACTGCTATGGGTACTTGGGTAGCTTGACACGTTAGCCTCCTACACGTGGCCGAACCGCGAAAGGCCCAAACCCTGCATCTGACCATGGCGGCTTTCTCTTCGTTCGCCACTGCCTTGTACCGTGTGGGTGTTTCCCGGTTTCGAATCATCGCCAAGCCCGAATCTTTTTTCCATTCGCATTCAACTCCGCTCTCATTCACTGGCAAAACAAAGGCACAACGAAAATCTCCTCTTTTACTAATTTTTTCCCCCTGTCAATCACTGGTTTAAATACTCTTACTTCAATGTCTGTGTGAACTTCCCCTTCCTGCAGAAATCGTGCGGATTCCGATTGATTTCAATGGCTGCGGAACCCAAAGAGTCACCTGCCAACAACCCCGGTCTTCAGGCGACCCCTGATGAAGCTACCAAGGGATACTTTATGCAGCAGACTGTGAGCTTATCCATTCACACCACAAATTTCTGTATGACTGTGGTTACTTCATCGGTTTTCGGTTATAACTTCAAATTTTTTTTTTTTCAAACTCTGAATTGCAGATGTTTAGAATCAGGGACCCAAAAGTCAGCCTTGATTTTTATTCTCGCGTCTTGGGAATGTCGTAAGTGATTCTTTTGAGCAAAATTTCTGAAATGATTATTAATGCGCGAAAGTAGAATCATTATCACTAACTTTAGTAGCAGTAATGGACTATAAGTATTTATTTCTCTTTTGATATTCAAGAGGCGTATCCCAGTGTACTTGCCTCTTCTCTTTTGTGCAAGTTGAACTGTAAGTAGTGTTTATTTGCTATCAGATTTTCATTCAAAATCATGGCAAACAGCGGCAAATAGAGATGTTTTTATGCCTTAGCTCTGTATGATATAACAAGCTTTACCCTAGCTCAATTCGTTTTGTGTAAATACTGATCGGAAATGTATTTAATCGTCTTATTTCCCATTTTGTTGTTATTTGCTGAGACTGCATTATACCTATGCATATTTATTTCGCGTTGCACAGAGCTTTTATGTTGTTTGAGGTGTAAGGCGTTGCATTTTTTTGATTTATATAACTGCAACCATCATATGCTCAACAACTAAACCTGGAACTTATTTGAATTCGTCAATAGTGACAGAAATGTTGTGTCATGGATGATGGTACTATTTCTCAATGATTCAGGTTGCTTAAGAGGTTGGATTTTCCTGATATGAAGTTTAGCCTGTACTTTTTGGGCTATGAGGTAAGACACATATTCCCTTTTCCTCCTTCAGTTAGGTACTGACTATTTGGCTGCATGAAGTAACTCATTAAGGTAATATGCATATGCTACCCGTTTCTATCAGTGCTTGTTGAGTAATATCAAAAATTTTAGGAGAAATTTAAGCAATTGACTGTATAGATTCTCTAAATTCAGTTGAAGAAGTCACGAGTAATCTGCATTTTCAAGTTTTAACTTTATAGAGATGTTCCTGATCTTTTTTACCTGTTTTGTGGTGTAGGATCCAGCCACAGCTCCCAGCAATTCAGTTGATAGAACTGTGTGGACTTTTGCTAAGAAAGCTACAATAGAGCTGACACAGTAGGGAATATAACTTTCTCATTCTTTTTTATCTCAGTGTTTCTTAAAATCAGCTACTAATAGAACAATGTACAGCAATTGGGGTACTGAAAGTGATCCAGAGTTCAAAGGATACCACAATGGCAATTCAGAACCTCGTGGCTTTGGTATGTAACACTTTTATCTAATCCTAAAATATCTGGACTTGTATAATTTGGCTCAAAACCTTTGGCCCTCTTTTTTTTTTTTTTTTTTTTTTGGTGAACACCTTTGGCCCTCTTTGCTTGGCCGGAACCTTGAGTCAGGAAAAGGGAGATGGAAACTAGACTTTTCGTTGTTTGATATCCATCACTGTCTTCCCAGCAAGCCTCTTGCCATCAAAATGATGGAAGAAGTCTTCCAAAGGGGTTGCTTGTGAACTTAGATGGTTTCCTCGGAAGCAATTTTTTTGGACCAATTTACCCCTATGTTCCAACTGATTTGACCAAAATGCCCTCCCACCCAAATCTTTTTCGCAAAATTTTTTATAGGTTTCACACTTTGGTTCGTGATTTCGCATTGCAATTTCATTAGCCATAACTTAACACACTCAATCTCAGTGGCCATTACGTAATTTGGGGAAAATGTGAGGCTAATGGTCATGACGGTGATTAGATTTCTTGCTCGTATACCATCAAAAATGCTTCTAACCAACCAAGCAGAGCCTTAGTCCTTATTTATTTTCTGATCGAACATTTTGAGTCAATTTTTATGAAATAACAGACTTTGATTCTTGCCCTTTTATATAGATGCAACGGTTAGGTCCTTATTTGGTGCAGGATTTGGCCCTTTTTTTAGTCGATTTTTCAGCAAATGTGCCATATGAAGCAGCTTAAGTCGTATATACCTAGTATTTAATTTCTTTCTCGCCAAGCACTCTTTTAGAGATGAGTTCAGGGGGGCATTTAAGTTAGTCAATGATTAACTTAGTCTCAAGATTGTGGTGGCGCTAGTGGGCCGTATTTTATTAATGTTTATGTTCCCTAGATGCTGGTGAGGGTTGGAACCGGAAGTTCAAAGATTTCTTGAGTTGGTATTGGTCATATCATATGACACGTTTCAGCTTGAATTCCTACACTTGGTAAAACATCATTAAAACACATCTGAACAAAAGAACATCACAGTTCCCAGCGTAAATAACCGAGAGAAAGAGAGAGGAAGAAGGACATTCAAGGATTACTACTTTTGTTTTTTTGGTTTGCATTACCCAGAAAAAATACAGAGATAGAGTGACTTTATAATCTATGCAGTTGATCTTTCATTAAATTTTCTCTGTTTCAGGACACATTGGCGTTACTGTTGATGACACATACAAGGCATGTGAAAGATTTGAGCGTCTGGGAGTTGAATTTGTTAAGAAACCAGATGATGGTAACAAGCTTCTGTTCATTTTAGAAGCGTATGGAACTCTGGATAATTGCATGGAAATAGCATCACCCTCGTAAAGTACTTTGCAAACCTGAATTTTTAGGATGATTTGTGTACATTTTGGCCAAAAAAAAAAAGGATGATTTGTGTACATGGTCTGTTAATGCAGGAAGCCAGCGCCCTCAAGTACTTGTCCATGTGGCAGTATGATAATATGATATTACCTAGGCATGGTTATCAAGTGAAATATAAGAGTAAATTAAGGATGTGGGATGGATTCTAACTATAGCAAGTTGGATCTAAATTTAGTAGGCTGGTCATTGGCCTTCGCCATGTTAATCTGTTTGGGTTTCAATAATTTCTGAGTAATAATGTGCAGGGAAAATGAAAGGGATAGCATTTATAAATGATCCGGATGGATATTGGATTGAAATCTTTGATCTAAAAACGATTGGAAATATAACTGCTGGTGGTGCTTAAGTTGGTCTCATGCCACCTACAGGTAGAGAATTTGGTTTTCCTTTCTTTCAGTATTATTATAAACATTATTGCTATGTTGCTGTTGATGATGGTAGGGATGAAAAAGAAGACGATGACATTTTTGTTGTTTGTATTAAAAGTTTATGTTCTTTGTTGCAGGTGGGAGGACTGCTTTGAGCAGATCGGGTTTCATCTTGTCTCTGCTCACATGTTGGAGTTGGGGGTTACTGCTTGGCTGTTATTGCTTCTATAGCACTTGTTTTGTGTAACTTCTTTTCGTGGGGTACGATTTGTACTCATATGAGAGATTGCCATTCTTGTATTCCTGATTTTTGAATCTGCGATTATCTATGTGACGTTTGGAGAGTCTATAATACTTCCATCTATCTTTTGACCCCAAAAAAAAAATCCCTCTGGTATTTATAAAGCTTTTATATATAAAGCTCTAGTAAAATAATTGAACATTGAAATTTGTTCACAATTTTTGGAAAGTACTTTTTCATTGTTATAGTTAATCGAGAGTAAATGGAAAAGTCATTAGTAATTTAAGAGTGAAAGAGATAAGCCCACTTTTGAAAATAAGTAATAGATATTTTATTAAATCTTGTATCAGGAGCTAATGGGTATAAGTATTGACACAAAGTGCATATTTGGCAAAATCTTACCAATTTCTTTGGATAGGGTTTTTTTTTTTTAATGATATTCTCTATATTTTATGAGTCTAATAAACCACCAAACTTGTCTGGAAAGTGGCAAGCCACTTGACCAGAGTTATCTTCACGGATTTCACTGAACACACAGAGGGGCTAAATTGGAAGGTCCAAGACTCACCTCTCACGGTCCAAGTTTGAGAGGCGCAATATATCCTGGTGGAAATCATGAAGTTGTCGTCTGTGATATGATCTGAGAAGAAGAGACAAGAATTTGGGAGGTGCAACCAGTCCCAAGAAAAACTGATTATGACATTTTTGACAATAAAGCTTGTCCGCTGTTCACAATACCTTCTTCCCTCTGCCATACCTGAAATCTAAAATGTGCTCGAATCATTCCCAAAGTCAATGCTTCAACAGCTTTGACTTCTTTTTTTGGTTTTCCAAGAAGTAAAAGTCTCCATCCATCTTTTAACTAAAAATTATGCTCTCTGATCAATTTTCTCTCTCTATCTAACCCTCGTGCTAAGCTCAGGTTAATTGCTTGCATTAGCAAGCCATGTCCATACCTGCCGCTCTATAGTGCTCACATCCATGTCAACTTTTCATATCCCTTTTTAATCTTTTCTTTAATCCAGATATCTTTGTTAATTCTTGTGAAAGATCCAGGCAACATGTAAAAAGGTCGTGCCCAACACCATTATGAGATTATCAGTCCTACATGTCGGCTATACAATTTTCAAACCCCATCGCAAATTACACAAGACTGTGTTTGGTCAGATTTTCTTAAAAAATAATATTTTTAGACTCCCTCTTCCAATGAATAATTCAAAAGACGTATTCTTTGTTATTGGGTGATCGGCAGAAATTCAAAATATACTTTTGTTCTGTTCATGGTCATAATATTATTAGCAGTGAAGCAAGACCGTAATTTTTATCGCTCGATCATTGTCACTGAAAATGCAAGGACTTGAACTGTATTAAAACAGATGGTGCAAATTCATAATTTCACAACAATAGAGGGGGCAGAGTTATCAAATTAATTAAAAAAAATGAAATCAGCTCTAATCCAATCGGACTAACTATAGATTAGTATGAAGGAAATTAATTAAATAAGCAAGGAATAGTTGTTCTCGCCGAAGCAATCTTTGTCCCAATGATATATGGAAAGTACTGTATGAACTGTTTGAAATTGGGTGGGATGAACAGGAAAAAACCAGATGACTATAGGTCGCAGACAATGGTCAATCAGAGTCCACCAGCTGGATTGGTTTTTTAGACCTAATAACACGCACTAATTAATTCATAGGCGGATCCAAGATAGAATTTCTGATTCTCTTTTTTCTTTAATTAAAAAAAAAAACTCCCAACACACTCATAATATAATACTATAATATAATGAATAAATTAAAAGCCTCCGGTGCCTATGAGGCAATTATCGAAAGGTGTACTATTCTGGTAATTTATCTGTATTTGTTGACAACTAATACAATCTTAATCATTGATTAGACCAAACAAACGTGAAGGTTATTATATACATGTATTTAATCTGTCAGACTGTACCTTGGGCCATACCTTTTGACCTTTACACTTCACTAGAAAAGACATTCCCTGAATGAAGAAAAAAATAAAACTTTTATAATATCCTATACAACCAAAGAGCAACCCTGTACATTGTTTAAGAAAATGTGACAGTACAGCATAGGATTTAACGCAGCTGGCAGCCTATAAATAGTTTTCTTTTTCCGCCAGAATGGTAATCTAAATAGTTTTATTAAGAATGGCGGGGGGATTTTGCACAGGTAGCTAATTAGTTAACACGTTATTCAACCCCGCATAGCTTGCTATTCTTGTTCACCAAATAAAAGCTAATGTATTCTCAGCCTCGTGCTTTCTTTTCAACTTCTTGCAAGACTTTCTTTGAAAATTAACTAAAGTTCATTTAATTAATACCCCAAATATATACATATAAAAGGTGAATCAAATTTAAAAGGATTTGATATCCCTTAAATAGGTTATTTACGTATGAATTTGAGAAATCATGTCAGGAAACCTTCTCTCATTTACATCTTGACGTGGTCTGAATCTTGATCATTTGATCGATGATGATAAATATATATCAAATGGCTGTAAAAAGAGTTCATTCACATCCACTAAGATGATTGGGAAAAACGCTACACAGGTTTTTTTTTTTTTTTGGTGTATTGTACGTGAGGAATAAGCTTCACAATTCACGACTGAAAAGCATCCCTGGTTATAAATTTTACATTATATATATAAGGATTAATATAAATTTTGATCCCTCAATTTTACTCTTATTTTGATTTTGGTCTTTCAAGTTTTGAATTATAGATTTTGGTCTCTTAAATTTTTTGTATCAAAAATATTGGTCTTTAGAATCTAATAAAAACTTTAACCATTTTACTACTTGAATGATCAAAACTCATGATTTGAAATTTAAGAGACTAAAAGTAAAATGAGGACAAACTTGAAGGACCAAAAATTATATTAACCCTATACATGAAATTACTTCAATGATTCATGTGGTTTTCACAATAGACAAAAATATTAATAACGACTAATCAAGAATTACAATGATTAGACGAGTCCCATTTATATTTCAGCATGCTTACATTAAATTATACATTTTTGCCGTCTGTCAAGGGAGGTTACCAGGTTGTGGCGCTATATTTGAATTAGGGTTCACGATTTTTAGTTACTTAAATGATGATCGATCAAAATTTCATTAATCTGGAATAAGAGGCCTCTTTGTTGAATATGCTCCCGGTAATATACATATTAATTATTGTTCGTTGAACTGATAACACCGTGTGTTTGACAAAGAATGATGAATGAGAAAGGAGTCGATAGAATTTGCTTTCTGAGTTGTATTGATTCTAAGAAAATTTCCCGGAGTTCACATATGATAATTTAAATTATATGGCGGGAACATTTCCTGCAGCCTTGAGCCTATGTAAATGGAAAGAAAAATGACACTTCGAATCTGGTAGGAAGAATAATGAGAGTTAATTAATTAAGAACTCTGACTGGGAAGTAACTAAATCTCAGTTCAAAATAAAATATAGTTGAAAATTATGAGAGCTCAAATGAAAATAGTTAATAATATTAACTGTCTTGATTCTTTTTTGTTTTTTTAAATAACACTATCGCTAAAGTCGCAAAGTGTTATTTTCCCCCCGCATGAAATTCCACACAAGACTCCAAAATTTTGCCAGCCACTTCATCGCTTTCTGTTTATCTAGGTTTATGTTGAAATTTGTGGCAAACAAGCTCTTGATGACTGAGTCACACAGTTCACATAAGATTCTTCCGTAAGGTCCTGGATTCGTTTTTCTGGTTCTTTTTGTATAAAAGTACCCATCGATGAAAGGGGAAAAGAGACATGCTGGGGGAAAATTAAATTACTTTATTTTCTCTAATAATAAAAGGAAGGTTTAATATATATATATATACGTGCTCATTTAGAAATTTAATTTTACGATAACTAACATTAAAGATATAATTGGTGATAACGTCTTTTCACTGTATATAATCATCTCATTGCAGTAATAGAACACACTTGCCAGACGTCAGTATTAGCATAATATTTGAATAATTATGAACTATAATTGATAAGAAAAATCATAACGTATTGTACCATTACGCTAACTTGTTTATTTAACGTGCGCAACTAAATAAAGTAAGGCACTACAGATATATGCTAAAATAATGTACGGGGCGGGGAAGGAGAGCAGGCTAATCGGCTTTGTTTCTTTCTTCGCCTTTCTTTTGCAGTTCGTACCACTAAAGATGTTAATAAAGAGAAAGGAGAAAAGTTACTCAATTGTATAGTTTTCAGAACGTAATTTGTGCTTGGGGTTTGCGCAAAAGAGGATAGTTACAAAAATCTAACATCATTGTCATGGTCACAGATTCGAGAGGGATATACACAACAATAAAAAAGGGAAGGGTATTACCATGTACTGTCACAATAATAAGATATGTTTGATTTCATCAATACACACACTTTCACACAGAACCCCAGAAACTCAAAGTCTTTTCTGAAATCTCTCCTCCCTTACCCCATCATATCTTTCTGATTTTACTACTTCCAGTCACTCATCAGTTGCGCTCAGAGACTCATCAGTAGTAGCAGTACATCATCCCCTTCTCCTCTCTCTTGTTTTCCTCAATGTTATTATATATCCCGTTATTACCACTGATCATCTGCTTTATCTCCTCAATTCCATAATCCATTAATGGGGTTTGCCCAAAGTACCCACTTGGCTTCTCTGTCCACTGGTTAATACTACTTTCACCTCCGGGCATGAACTTACTGCTCAACTGATCAAACCCACAGCCATTGGACATGTAATTGTGATGGAATTGAAAACCCATTTCTTCCGGTTTGGCGTCCCCTCGGCCATGGCTGATTTGACTGCAGCTTCCATCCGATGAGGTGCTGCAACTTCCTTCACTTCCAAACATGTAGTAATACTGCATCGGACCACCAGCCAAGGAGGCCTCTTGGTTTTGAAAATAAGGAAAATTGGTGGCTGTTGATGATGTTGAATTGTTATAAGTTGAAGGCACAAGAGAAGTGGACTCGAGGCCGTTGAAGGATATAGTTGATGATGGGCTAGGGTAGTAAGAGCTTAAGTCTCTGTATGATGATTGCCAAGTAAATGGTGGGTTTTGATCATGATGAGAGGATTGAAATAATGCTGGAGGCTTCCTGATCTGATGATTGGATGGAGGAAGCAAACCCATGAGCTTCTTCTTGAGCTTGGTGTTCCAGTAGTTCTTAATATCATTGTCTGTCCTGCCTGGCAACTGAGCTGCTATAATTGACCACCTGCAATTTAAATTATTATTTATTCAAGTTAATAACTTTCCAGAAAAGAACGAAGCCTGTTATGTTTACACCGTCTAAGCTTGAAGTTTAGAACTTTAATTAAACCCCAGCTTATGCAAGGGGATGCTGGTGTGCTAAATCTATCTAACTTGACGTGCATGCGGAAGAACTGTCCAATATATATCGGCAGGTTCTAGATAGCTATAAGGTTTCAGAATGAGGGGGGGAAACCTAGTTTATTACCGGCGTGTCTTTTCTTTTCTTTTTACCCTTTTAAGATGGATTTTATCACCATTTCACCAGCGCATGCAATTGATATAACTGAACGCACAAGGGAAAAATAATTCTCCGTGAGGTTGTTACCCAGAGAGCAAAAAACAAAGTTCGCAGATTCATACGAGTCTACTGAATAAAAATGGCAAAGTGCTAGTACCTGCTTCCGATATTAGCGTAGAGGGTGCATATTATTCTGTCTTCCTCATCGGAGAATTCTCCGTGCTTAATGTTGGGCCTCAGATAGTTGAGCCACCTCAATCTGCAACTTTTCCCACACCTTTTTAGACCTGAAAAGATCGAACACCAAAGTTAGGAGATCTCAGTGGGAGAGAAATAGAGATATTTAATTAATAAGAAAAGGCGAGAGCTTTATTTATATTTGCGTCTTTACCTGCTTTCTGAGGAAGAGCGATCCAATTGCCTCCTGTTCCGTTCTTCTCTATGTACTCCTTCAGCTTGGTGTCTTCTTCTGGTGACCATGGCCCCTTCTTCACATTTGCTTTGTCACAGCAAGGAGCTCTCCCCATCTCTCCTCCTCGTCCTCGTCTTCTGGTTCTTCTCTTCTTCTTCTTCTTCCGTTCTCTTCTCTCTCTCTCTCTCTCTCCCCCCGGCTCTCTCTCTCTCTTTCTATGATAACTTGATGTTCCGAAGCCTCGCTTTTCTAAATGAACTTTGGCGGATAGAGAGATTGTACCTTATAACAAGAGACCTGAGTTTTGGACAGTTTGAAAAAATATTTTATAATAGATGGATAGAGAGAGGCGTGCCCAAGTCAAATGAAAGCAATGGCTGGGCAAATTAATTTCAACTCTTATGGCTGTTCAGTTTGATTAGAGACAAAACTTTATATACTCACACATATAAATTTTTTGAATAAAGTTTCTAATCAAAATATATAATAAATAATTTTTATTGCAGTATATTATGATTAAGTATTTTGAAAAAATATTTAAAATATTTAAAAGAAAATATTTGATTAGAAATCTGTATCTGACTCGCTAGCTCTTTGATTAATTGGATGGAGGCAGCTAATTAAATTAATAGAACATCAAAATGTTCAACGCTGGCGCCCCATGAGAAAATTCACACCCTTCCTTCTCTCAAAAGAATCCAAAGTTTGTCATACATACTCAGAGAAAAACATAACAGGGAAATTGAATTGATAGCTACAGCTACCAGAATATGGTGACACTTTCCAAGCACAAGGCCCAAATGATGACCTAGTTTTCTTCTGCTTAGTGGCGTTCCCTTCATATTTTATTTATTTTTCTAGAATAATGCATTGACACCCTGCTAAAAAGTAACACAGCCATATATAATATATGTAGTTAAGGGAAACAGAACAAGACAAACGCAAGAGACTTTAAAGGTACGCGTAATTATACTGTAAAGTAGCCTTACACATTACTAGCTAGCTAATTAACTCCATATAATGATAATGCAAAGTTATTGAGAAAAACCGTTCTATCATGAGTCTGAAACGCAATGATTTTGAAAAAAGCAAATAATTCATCTGGGCAATTAATTATTAGACTATTCATGAATTGTTGTGGAGGCATAGTTATTTGGAAAGCACAGTAGAAAAGGAAGTAGAGTAAGCACTGTGCATGTTCTAGAGAAGGTAAGTGATGAGAATGATCATAAAGGTAGGTATATATTTGGATGGAATCAGATTCTGTGGTGGCTTTGGATTGAATATATATTTCATCTGATCAGGTGGTGGGGATTGACTAATCAATGCTGTGATGGCTTGTGCACATCATCGTTTGAGTAATGACAGATCGATGAGGGAGAGGAGATGAGAACCAGAAACATTGTGAAAATTTGGCAGAACAGTTCTCATAGATTTGGGCTGCCTCATTATGACGTTCCTTCTTGGGAGAACCTCTTGTTTGCATAGGAATAGAGACCTAAGCACTTTCTGCAACACCCTCCCATGTAGCTACTTCGGTTTCGTAGGCCATGAGATGACGAACCATTGAACTAAACCTCACCCCGTTCTATTATTATATATTCATGTATTTTTCACTCCCCCCCCCCCGGGGGGGGGGATCATATTATAATTATTTCTTTTAGAGCCTCCGTTAAAATTTTGTTGGCTGGACCATCGCTATGCCAGAGACAGGGAGGGGAGGGCGGGGGGGAGAGAGTAAAGGCTGAATAATTCTGTGGGGCATGAGGTGTCTAACTTAGATCTATGGCTGAAGTTCTCAAAATTTGCTCATAATCCATACACGCATATATATAGGTGAATTATTAGCTTCATAATCTTTTTTTTTTTGTAAGTGGATTTGCAGTTGGCAGGATCAGTGCTTAATTATTGCAAATATAACCAATCATTAAGAGTATTCTTATTTTAAAATAATAGTGTAGATGTATCCCCCGGCGGTACAGATTGGTGAAGTCAAGATCACACATGTTTATCGCCATCAATTAAATGGATTAGAATATAGAAGAGTGAGTTCCGTATACTCCTTCTCAACTGAATAAACTGTGATTTTCAAATAATCATAACTCATAATTAAGATTTGGATATTTTCAACCATCTAACATCATTATATAAGTGTGTATATATATAAGGAAATTGCTCCAACATAATCAATTACAAAGAGACAAGAATAAAAACCTCTTGTATTGTATCTATTATTTTTATCGCTTGTTCAACATCATATAACACGCGAGATAATTGAAATTCGGGACGATTTGTATAATATATAAACAATACGAACTAAATATTATTATATTTTCTCAGCTGGACAAAACTCAACAAGTGTAATAACAAGCGTGATGAATTTATATGAAATGGGATTAACTAGTAAAGATATGAATGAAATGATTGATATGTAAAAAATCAGACTACTGGATACTGTGATGGTCTTGTTTATATATTTAATTTAACTTAATGAACTTTCTTCATTAGTTGTGTCATTGCTAACGTGATCCTACATGCATAGTGCTGCCAACCACCTCTATACTGGGGCGTGCAGCTCTGTCTGAATCCTAACTTTAAAATTCCATGATAAATATTATAGACTTAATAAATACGCGATGCATATACATATTAAATTTTATCCAAATATCCAATCCCATAATATTAATTAATTCCTCGTGTGGAAACATTCTTCTTTTATTATGCTTCCCCGCTTTGTCTGTTGGACCCGCGGCGAAGTACTTCTCCAGTGACCCAGTGTAAGGTTGTATTTCCCAGGATATAATGCCAGTACGCATCAACCTTTGATCTTTCAGACATTGCATTTTTCTGATTCATCAAGTTTTATGTGGCAATCGCAGGGCCGTTCATGCATGTACGATAGCTAATTTTATCAGGGTTATTACATGGGGGGTGGGTGTCGAAACTCGAAAGGTATATAATCTATCCAGGATTTTTTTTCCTTTTTTTTTTAATAAAAAAAGAGGTTTGCTTTGGGAATATTTTTTGAACAGTTTTCTTTGTGAATCTATAATTTTATATTTATATGTAATCTCATGCCAGGATTTTGAAGTCCTCAAGCAATTGGCCCAAAGTAAGGTCGGTACAGTTAAAATTGTATATGCGTTTCCCGCATGTTTCACCTTTTATGTCTTGTTTCACTCAGAGATAATGAAAGGCAGACAGGAAGATCATTGTTGCTAAAAGGAGAATATATATAATGGTCGCATAAAGTGAACTTTAATTTATTTAGATTAAAGCAACGAACATAATCAACATTAGGAGGCAGGTTCTCGGAAGATGGAGATGTACGCTTTGCGCTTTGCATTTAATCCATCTATTCGTGTTAGCCATATAATACCTGCATATTTGTTTGCACTTTGCTATATATCACTGTGCATAGTGCTTGCTTACAGTGACATTTCCTGCTTGTTGACCACTATCTCTAATAATTATAAGGCAATGATTATCTCAAATTGAAACTTTTCGCCCTCTGCGTATAACCTTACCCGCACGATTAAACATAAAGTCACTCCATATCTTTGTGACCACTCCTAGCTCTCGTCGACTCTTCATTCTTATTTATATATTTTGTCCTTTCTTTTGCACTAGTTTTTTCAGAATATATTGCTCTTAGAATCAGCCTAGCTAGAGGTAAACTTGATTCCGCATCCAGCTGGTGAGAACTTGCGCCAACAACTGGGTTGGCGGACAGAGAAGTTGTCCTTTTTTCTTTCAGTTTCTCTCTGTCTAATGTATATATATCGGACTGAAATTTGCTTCTGCTTTTTCCCTCGACAATGTTACAAAAGAAAGATGACCAGATAATAATAAATACCCATGACACTCTATAGGTATGCGTCTACCAGGTTTAGGGTCTATATATCTGTATTGGACTAAATCTCTTGCTTGTGTACTCAAAATTTCAGTCCTTTGATAGAATGTGATGCTGTATAAAGTTGTGACAAGTAGCAGCATCAATCTGGTAGCAGGTTATGGAGCAGCGATATATATAATATTTATATTATGTATTAAATTTACATGCCCTCGGTTAATGCCGAAATTGTGATTACATATTAACTAGTAATTGTTTTTTACGACCAAGTGGGTTATTCCTATTATGTAGCTAGCCATTAGCGACCAAGAAATATTAATTAATGGGTAATTGGCTATGTACAATTAATCATAGACTTGAATAGTGCATGCATGTGCATTTAATGATGTGAATGACCAGTTCAGATACTATTGCCAATTAGTTTAATTTGCATCTTAATCAACATACACAGACAGATGAGAATGGACCCCAAATCAAATGTTTGTATCCACCGAGATATGCTGCAAAATAATAAAGAAAAGTATCTAACAGAGCACTGATTTGGCATTTATATATAACAAAAAGAAAAAGTGAGAGCTATTCTTCGTAGAGTTCTAACTCGAAGTTTTTGTCAAGCAAGCAAGTTGATCTCTGTCTTCCGTCCTTTTCCACCCCCTTGGGGAATCTTGGACTTGAAAAACACTATGGGTCTTCGTCATCCAATTCAAATATTAGACACAAATTCTTGAAATTATTACTAATAAATCGTTCCATCGTATTCACGCAAACCAGTTAATCAATTAAGTAATGAAAAGCTCAAGTGTCATAGTCATCCACATTGACTCTCGAACAGCAAACCATCGTCTCACTTTCTCAACGGTTGGCAAACTAAGCTGGACATTTTCGTAGGCTTTGATCGTTTTCCCATTATTGCAATATTAAAACTGATGAGCAGTATCATGGTCGCTTAATTTTCCCCTAGCTTGTCTCATATATTTGCATATGTGCCCTTCTTTTCTCACTTGTTTCGATCAAACTTAATCCGTAACACGGAAGACACTGGAAATTATGTCGGTTTCGTACGTATGTATAACGTATGATGAAGCTCATCATTTGGGTTGAACTTGAAGAACTTGGAAGGAGGAACCCGGTTATAGAGGGAAAGACACAGGTTGTTGGAGAGACGCGTGTAAGCAGATTTTGTGATGAAAAACAATCGTATCTGGAAATTCTGAGGTGGCATTTTGACAAAAGACAACGTTGTGGGGAAAGTTCAGATGAGATGCAAATTGCTCTTGAAACTACCCAATGTTTAGTGGGAAGATGCACATAATCCTCAGTGTGAGCGCGCGTTCACACAACTTTTAAATATAGTCTAAACAAGAGAACATCATCTATTAGAGTGCTTTTTTTTTTCCTTCATCTTCGAAAGTTTGTTCTCACATAGGAAACACGCAATAAGGATTAGTAAAAATTTAGTGGGACATAGAAAGGATGGTGGCGTTTGACAAAAGATGATGGAAAGACGGAAACTTTGTACTTCAAAAGATGGTATTTAATCAGTGGGAAGATGCACATAATAATAACCGTGTGTTCAAACGACTTTTAATGAGCAGTCTAAACAAAAGATAATGGCGAAAGGAAATAAACGCATTTGCTTTAATGCTTTTTCCACAGCAGAAGTCTGATCTCGCGTAAGAAACACGCATTACGTATTACAATCACAGATTTATAAGTTTTTTTCTTTTTGGGTAGAAGATTTAGAAATAATTTGAATTTTGAAGACCAATGTAACTTTGGAAACCAATCTTTAAAAGTCCTGGGGGCAAATACATCAAAATATACAATTTATATTACTTAGAAATTACGAGTACAATTAAGGAAGATTTTATACGGTTGAAGGAAATAACATGTAGACTCTTAGCAACTAAAAGTAGTATAACTTCTTCTTTTTTTGGGAAGAAAATATTTTGGAAACTAGAGGAGCTTTTCACCAAAAGGTTAAAAAGGGGTAGCAAGGAAGGGTCTGAACGTGAAAAATGAGACCATAGGGTAAGGTATGGGAATAAAAGACAAGGGAATGGCTTTTTTTTTTTTTTTGGAAAAAAAAAAAGAGGAAAAGGAAAAGGAGCATAGGGAGATGGGATGGTAAGAGAAGAAAGGAAAATTTCAAAAAAGTCAAAGAAGAAGCAAGTGAGATTCGCTGGCAGAGGAAGGTGACGTCATAAGTTACGCCCTGTGTCTGCCACGGAGGAGGTACTCGTCTTCCACGCCACATGTCTCACTTCCCTCCCCATCCCGCTTCCACAGCTGGTCTCTCTCTCTCTCTCTCTACCCCTAATTTAATTTGATGTTTTTTTTCTTACTTTAAAGAAATGTTAAAAGCTTGGTATCTGATTTGTTCAGGGAATTAAATGTTGGGAGTTAATAAATAATAGGCCGCACGTGCATGCACTGTAGAAGTCTCCCACCGTAAATAACAGCCACACCAAAGTACGTGTCTGGTCAGAAGTAGAAGCAAGCATAGATGAACATTGTGATGGGGCTTCTGGTTTGATTTGTTGGAGGGCATAATATATATAAACAGATCAGAGGTGGATGTGTTTGCTCTGTTTTGGGTAGTTGAGGTGAGAGGGCTTGGGGGGGGGGTGTTGATGGATGAGATGTGAGAAGAGTGAGAATGGAAAATGGACCAATCAATCAGTCACCTCAAAGTGTGGGTTTTCCTACTCCTTACCTTCACTAACGTTGTTTCTCGATATTATTCATCTGCTACCTTCTGAGTTCAACATAATTAAAGGTAAAACCCACAGCTTTGCTTGCCATACCAAACAACTTCCATTTAATCTGTTTGATGAGAGGTTGGTGAAGATTGGTTTTGCCTACTTTTGAATTTCATGCCTTCTTCCATTTGTTGCCTGCTTCCTCTTCACTATCAAACAAACACAGCATTCCTTCTCTGCACCCACTCTTTAGTACCGTCACACTAACACTGAGGTAACCTCCTCTCATCTTTTGCTAGGTGTCATCTCCACATTGTACCTCCTGTCATTTAAAAATGTTAACAACAATACATTTTTAACATGATGTCTTCTTCTACTAAACATAACTGAACTAAATTAATCATGACGTTTCGGCCAAAGAAAAACTTCAACCTTAGCTGACTTCTTTTTTTTTGGCCCAGAGTATCCTCCCATTCAAACAGTAGGAGACAAACCTCTTGGAGTACTGTCAAGTGCCATAACAAGGATCTCTCTCAACATTGGTTTTTTTCATACACCGCCCTAAAGATCAAATTCAAAATATAATGTTTAAGGTATCCAAAGTCTTTCTACTTGGACCAACACTTGTTGGTCCTAGCTGGCTTTAGTTTCAATATCATCGTTAACTAACTGTTAGCCAGCCCAGACGACTTGATCGACTCCGCAACTATAGTGTTCGCGTGGCGGGAAGCAGGCCTTATAAACAGTACTATTTTGAGCTAAAGCCCAAGCCATGTGTTCAACCATTGGGTCTATTTTCATTGTTTGAGTCCAATTGAAGCCCACATTGTGGCCCTAAATTTGCATCATAGAGCTAAAGCCCAAGCCATGTGTTCAGCCATTGGGTCTATTTTCATTGTTTGAGTCCAATTGAAGCCCACATTGTGGCCCTAAATTTGCATCATAGTCCAACGTGGCATTGCAACTCAGTCATTGGTTCTGGTTCTGGATCTGGATCGTCCCAACGTGGGCAATTCTTTCCAGTGAAATGACGCTCCAACGACCTTTTGCCTTTGACAAGTAGTTCTATGTAACTCATAGAGTTATGAGTTTGAATTCGCCGTTAGATCTTATTAGCGAATGATATGCAAATGTTCTGTAAGCCTTCTGTGAGTCTGCTGGTGATTCTCCTCCGCCACCCAATTTACCTAAAAAAACTTGTTGGGAAAAAAAAAAAAAAGACGACCTTATGCCTTGGTCAATGGCCCCCATCTAATCCAACGCCATCTCACTTCCTAGTTCATATACGACTTTCGAGCTCCATTTCACTTCAACAATGAAGAAGAAGGCGAGGACATTCTCTTGCACTGGCCACCATCCTCAGGTCAACATCTCAGATTGCTTGCTTCCAATTTTTCAAATCCCCGCCATAATACTCCTCCTTGCTATCTGTTTCGTCCCTTCATCTTCTTCTTCGACGTCGAATCGCAAGCCCGCTCCTCCTCCTCTTCCCATTTTGCCTATCCCCAATGCGTTCCAGCTCCAATGGCAGCTGGGCGAGATGGCCCTCTTCCTCCACTTTGGAATGAACACCTTCACTGACTCGGAATGGGGTACCGGTCGGGTCAACCCCTCCGTCTTCAACCCATCCAAGCTCAATGCTACTCAGTGGGTTCGAGTCGCCAAGGAATACGGATTTTCGCGAATACTTTTAACTGCGAAACACCATGACGGTTTCTGCTTGTGGCCCTCTGACTATACTGATTACTCTGTGCGGGCGAGCAAGTGGAGGAACGGGACCGGCGATGTCGTCGCCGAGTTGGCTGCCGCTGCCATGGACGCTGGCATTGGTCTTGGGCTTTACCTTTCGCCCTGGGATCGGCACGAGCCATGTTACGGGAAGACTCTGGAGTATAACGAGCATTACCTGGCGCAAATGACTGAGCTACTCACTAGGTAATTCGGTTCGAGCTTCGTTTTCGAGTTCATTCTAGTAAATTGCCCCGATTCTCGGATTCGATTTATGAGTATTGTGTTGTCTATTGGTGATTGTGGTTGTTTCTTTTATGTTGATATGTGATCCATGGTGTGCTAGTTTTGCTTTCAGTGCTAACAAAATTAGGAACACCAAGTCCGTCTAGAAGTCACCACCGTATAAATACATCAATACCTCGGACTCATTTCAATTGATACAATGTCTTTATCTTTTCATTCCTCAGTAGTTCCCGCAGGTTTTTTAATTAGGTTCTTGTTCTCCTTGTATCTGGTGATTTTATGACTTTGCAGTGGCTTTTGCCATGGTAGAATTCATATTTCATTTCATATTACGCCCCTATGAAACGACCTTTACTTTGTATTACTGGCTATTGCTTGTAAACTGCATATGACTATACGGATTATGAATTTGAGTTGTGCTTGTGTCTTAGCGTAGGTGAAATCTTATATTCGGTTCAACCTGACTAGGATTTTGATTGCCCCTCCTGAATAGTCTTTGACAATCTCCTACTCTCGTGCGTTACATTTTTTGACAAATAATTCAAATATCCAGTCCGTTTTAAACCAGGTACGGAGAGATTAAGAATGTATTTTTGGATGGTGCAAAAGGGAAAGGAGAGAAGGACATGAAATATTTATTTGAAGGTTGGTTTTCTCTGATTCATCAGCTCCAACCGGGGGCTTTGATTTTTTCTGATGCTGGTCCGGACACCAGGTGGATTGGTGATGAAGCCGGTGTTGCTGGGTCCACTTGTTGGTCTATATTCAACAAGAGTGCGATTGAAATTGGTGATTATAAACCCCAGTGAGTGCTCTTTCGCTCAACATTCCTAAATATAATTGTCTCTTCTTTACAATGGGGTATATATTTTTCTCATTTAGTTCTCCTTCTCCATTTAAATGATATGGTCATCACTTATCACTGAGCAACATAAAGTTGCCTGGTGCATGGTCGCGCCCTCTTTGTCTTCACTGAAGAGCGACAAGATGGATAGTTTTTTCGGTCAACAATAAAGATGGAGATTTAACGATTATGATTTTCACATTTAACAGATACTCTGGCAGAGGAGATCCATTTGGTCATGATTGGGTGCCTGCTGAGTGTGATGTTTCTATCAGACATGGTTGGTTTTGGCATGCTTCTGAAGTTCCAAAATCTGCAAGGACTCTACTTGACATATACTACAAATCAGTTGGTCGAAACTGTCATCTATTACTCAATTTACCCCCTAACTCTTCAGGCCTTATTTCAGATGAGGACATACAAGTGCTTCAAGAGTTCAGTGACATCCGCAGCTCCATATTTTCCCATAATTTGGCTCTGAATGCTCTTCTTCGTGCTAGCAGCACCCGAGGAGGGACTCAAGATTTTCGTTTCAGTCCTTACAATGTTCTTGAAGAAGGCATACAAACGTACTGGGCCCCTGGGGTGAATCAATCGACTTGGGTACTGTATATAGATCTTCAAAGGTTAGTATCATTCAACGTTGTGAAATTACAAGAGCCTATTCAAATGGGACAACGGGTGATTGAGTTTCACCTGGAGACGCTTGATAAAGGGGTATGGAAGAGAGTTGCAAACGGAACCACTATTGGATATCAGAGGCTGTTGCGATTTCCAGAACTAAAATCTCAGCGCTTGAAGCTTCAGATAGACAAGTCTCGTGCAGAACCATTGATTGCATATTTTGGAATTTACATGGATCGAGTATCCATATCAAGCGACATGTCTGACGGAAATTTAGTAGCCCGTTTCAATGGCAGCCAAGTTGTTCGCAGTGCCACACAAAACTATTCCCAAGTTGCAGCAACGTAGAGCTTATCCCATTTCTTTCTGTGGTTGTAATTTGTAAACATCGCACATGAAAAATATGAATTCAATTTTGCTTCTTGCACAAATCCTTAATTATGGAGAAGATAGAAGAGCATGATCTTAAAACCATGTCAACTCTCCGTCTCCTAGCTGTTTTTCTTTTTTCCGACGGGCGGATAATATACCTGGGTAACTATTTCCCAATACTTGATTTTTCTTAGGAAAAAATACTAGCGTAATCCTTATAAAGGACGAATATTTAACACTAATCTGTGCTTCATGGAACATAATTCACTCATGCATTCTCACGTCAAGTAGAAAGTTAATTTGACAAGTGCAAGGTGCTTTGGCACGGTTCAAATTTACGCAAATGCTTTCTAGTTCTGGCATGTTGAATTTTGCAGCTCCACAGAAAACAAAAATTCGGGCTCATGCGATACAAATTTGTCATTAATAATAAAACTGAGCAGACGACTCTTAGAATCATGTTATGTTTACGTCTCGCAACATCCTTGCAGCCATCGAGCCATATCTCCTGACTTCCCAGTCACTGAGTTTTGTGTTCGGGGGGATTGTCTCAACTTTTTCTCCTGCAATATCAGACCCTTTTTCTTCGGCAACATTTTCCTCATTAGTTTTGTCTTCCCCACTAGTTTCAACGCCATCAACTTTCTCGGCAGTGGTGAGAGCAGAGTTTTCTAGGCGCTCTACTGCAGGTTTTGATCCCATGATGAAGAGCTGAATACTAGGATGTTGGAACGTTTCATCCATCTGAACATATTGAACTCTTTAGTGCCACTCCAAACATTTCATTAAGGTTGAACTCACCCTATATCCATTTATCAATGCATCTGAATGCGTGGCCGCACACAGACAGTTGCACATCATTAAACTGTACAACCGAATAAATAAAATACCTTGGACTTTGGAACAGTCTTGACATCAAAGGTTTTTTTCCACATCTGAAGCATCTGCTCGTGGACAATGGTGGAACGGATCTCATAGCCCAGCTTCATGATTTAAAAAAAAAAAAAATCGCGAGCTAATAAGTGAAGAATGAATTATTCATGTCTCCATGGTGAAATAAACACATGACATCAAAATAATACCAAAACTGTAGTCCTTGGTCCAGATAAAGCAACGATTGTCTGCAGCAGAGGCTCCAACAAATGCTCTACATAAACCTAAAGAGGGTTAAGCTTTTTTTTTTTTTGGGAGGGGGGGTGTTAGAACAACAGAAAGCTAGATGAAACATTGCATGCCAAAAGAGTAAAAATAACAAGTAACAATGCCCATTTTACAGTTCGGTTATGAGACAGGTTACCTACCGAAGGGACCATGAGCCCAAGTACTCACCATAAACCCTTCCTCATCCACATTATATGCTTCAAAGTATATGACATCAACAAAGAATGAATGCTTGTGCAAGCATTATTGAACATGGAAGTGACATTTACTCTGCCTTGCATGCAGAAAGGTGAGGTTAGCACTTACAACGTCAGTACCAATAATGAAGTCAAAGGGAGGATTGACGGCCCTAATTTGATCACTGTCTCCCCACTGTAACTCTGAAACCTTGATTGAACCAAATAAATCTATAAAAGAAGTCTTCGTCAGATGCTACAATTCTAATTTGCAGGATGGTAAATAGGCTAAGACCAAGCACATGCTTGAAAAGCAACCCTTTCCAAAACGAAACACGTTGTACAAGTTCAGAAAGATATTCAACTCCCACTTTTCACAAAGCACACCACATGGCACATGGCAATGTAGATGTCTCAAAAGTTTTCAAAACATACCAGGATTTTGCTGCATAACCCTTGAAATATTTCGCTCGACATTTCTCTGTAGTATTGGCAATACCTCTTTTTGGTCAGTCAATACAACATCACACCCCAGCAAAGCCATGCCTGCAAATGAAGTACGGATCAGACCAGGCATCACCATTCCACCAAAGCAGGGGAGCTAGAACAATTCCAACCAAGGAATACAAGTAGGTAGCCTGAATTAATTCAAGGAACAGATTCTAATTTCTTGACTATAATATTAAAACCCACCAAATCCAGAAACTCCACAACCAGCTCCAAGTTCAATTACACGTTTTCCTTTTAGTTTAGCCGGGGAAAACTTTCCCTTTCTGCAATTTTTTTCCTGAATCAATACAAGATGCAGCCTGGGAGTTAAAATCATTGAAATTCAGAGATATCACTAGATGTTTCAAAATATACAATTTTCGCAGAACCAAATGGCAACATCTAAAGAAATTGAAAATTTTGATCATGCTCTAGCTTGACAGGATCTAACTTCAAATTAGGAAGACATTATTGCTCTAGTCTGACAGCTACGCAGTGTTGGTCTTCTCTCTCTATCTAGTACTTCCTCAGTTCCTCCGAGTCAAAGAGATATAACATATAGCTCCTAAAATCATAGCATCAGAAAAAGAAATTGAAGATGAAAAATGGCAGTGACCGTCATGGAGGTATTTTCCAGCCCTTTAGATATTATTAAGATCCTAGGATATATTCAATCAAGGCTTACATTTATTTCTTTACTTCATCAAAAGAGGCCCAAAAAATACACACTAAGTTTCACCAATGCTTTAGGAATCAGGAGTATGAAGAACGAAGCAACTAAGTTCCAGAAATGTCCAAAAATTAAAGATGCAACAAAAGTTATACGTTCATGGAAAGATAAAAAGGAATTCAACTTACTAGAAACTTGACAAACACAAGTGATGCATCCCATACAGTAGTTCCCAAGTGCTTGGAATTAGGATCCTACCTCAGTCACAACCCATCTACATTGTCAGAGAATTCATGGAAAGAGACACAAGAATATATAGCACCAAAGATCACACACACACACACACACACACACACACACAGAACAACCTTTGATCAAAGCATCATCAAGTTTTATAAACTTCTGTGGATGTTTATGTCTGTTTCACTGAATAAAGTATAAATGCCTCACCTGGCATTAGCCTATTAATCTACGAGCATTTCAAGCTTTAAAAAACTCAGATGCCATAGGCCTTAAACAGCAGAAATTATACCTGAGAAAACTGCAACTCATGGCCCAAAATCTCCAATGGCATTTCGAATGTTGTTGGGGAATTTAATCTGCAATGAAGATAATAGATATTAGGAAAGACAAGTTTAAGAACACAACAAATTCTAGCTAGAACAGGAAGCGGGACAATAATCTTCATAATCCCATAATCATTACAACTCTACGTTTACAAATACAAATTATTGTCTGATAAATAGGAGTAACGTTATCTATCATAATTCGTTTTAATTCATATACCTCGTTACAAAACGTACCTGTCAGGCTCCATAGGGCCACTGTCTGTAAAACAACGATCGTGCAACAAAGGCAATTCTAGAAGCTTAATCACCGAAGTGAGGTCATATTTTGCTCAGAACCGACTGCAAGAAAATAAGCAACATCGATTAGTCAGAACATAAACGCATTCCAAAAAGAGGGGAGGAGGAAACACTATATCTCTGATGGACTTGGGGTCTAGCCCCCAGTAACTTCAAGCGTGAAGATTCTTTCTTTTGATGACCTCAGATCGTTAGTAAAATAGATTCTAAGGTCGTATCCTCACTAAGTAATCCACCGTAATAACATATTCCATGACTCGCGTTTCGAACTATATGCTTAATTTATCAGAATGTTTCGTCCTACACATACGATTCCCTGACGTTAAATCCTAACTTGGTCCATTCCTGAGCACAATCGAAACCAAAGCATTAAAAGTTCACTACTTTTTTTTTCCCGGTCACTACTCATATGTCAAATTGGTATATAATACTCATATATCATTAACAGGCGACAAAATGGGAAAATACATAGAATCAACAGCGAAAACGAAAAGAAGGGAGATTAAATGAACCTTCGTGTTGCCCTAAAGCTTGAACCGCCGATTGACCTTAACGAATAAGCAAATTAGCTGTTTTTTAACTGAAACTGTGCGAAGCTTGAATGTCGTTATGGTTATCTCGGGGCATTAAAAGCAAATATCGATGTAGAAATTCAAATGAACAAGACGGTCAACCCAATCGAGATTGAAGTTTTTCACTTACTAAGGTAGGTTGGATCAGAGTCTCGGAGATGAATACTTTCCCAGTCCTGCCGTCCGATTGCTACAGTTCGCGCGCATTAATCCTTCTTTACCATATGGTATATGCTTCCATCTTCTCCATATCTTTTTTTTGACCAAAAAATCTTCTCCATATCTCATGCACTGAAAAAATGTTTTTACACAATTCAAGATAATTTTTTTTGGCCAGCTACACAATTCAAGATAAATTCCCATCACAAATTTGCCTTAATATAAGATTATTTAAAATAAGTTGATTTAAACACTATTTGCTTCTTTTAAAGTTTATAAATTCATCAATATCCTTTGTGTCCCAACAATAGTCAACACTTTTTCTTAAAATTTTTTAAACTGAAGCAACCGTAATTGAAGAATACAGCCACGAAGAAGTTGAGTTGGATCATGGATGCACCTACTTTCCCACAACCAGAAGTTGAATTTGAATATGTAATTTCACTACAAATTTTTGCTTATTTCAAGTCACATGTTTCATTGTATAAGATATTTTACCAATTTTGAAGATGATAACATTTTTTGTCACAAAAAATATAGATAATCAACGTTTTCAGCTTGATTGTTAAGGAAGGATGATATTTTTATTTAACAAATAAAACGGGTGGAACAAACAATTATATATTATGAATCTAAATTCTTTATTAGCGGCTAATGGGAGGACTAATTGCGTTGATCAAACGGCGTCGTTCCTCCCGTGTGCAGTTTGGCCCGTCGCTCTTGCTAACGGATGAGATCGCTCCTTGCTGGCCCAAACTCGCGCTTTGGAGGCAGCGGGCGCGCGGAGAAAGGAAAGGTCGGAGTCGGAGAGGGGGAGACAGACCAAATGCGAAAGGAGGGAACTTTTGATCGTCCAGAAAGTCGGAGGCATATACAACTCCCAGACAACTGAAAACAAATGCAATGGAAGGTCAAGAATCGACGACGATAATGTGCACAATTCTAGCTATAGACCACACCAATCTCACTTACAAAGCCTGCCATGTTTGTGAAAGGACTCAACTTGACTCCTCCTCTTCTTCTACTAACCTTTCGTCTGTCTGCAAATTCTGCGACTCCAAATCCCTCAACCCTTCCTCCTGCTCATCGGCCTCTTTCAAACGACTATTTCGAGTCCTGGTTCGTTAATTTTCCCTACTGATAAAAACAAAAGGAAGAAAAAAAGCATCGCTGTGGAGTTCTTATTTCGAAATTTCTTTTCTGGTTCATCTGAAAGATGGGGAGTCGCGTTCATCTGATTTAACGTTTTGGGTTTTTGTCTGTGTTTTGCAGATGTCGATTGCAACTGACACCAAGGTTATCACGGTCATTTGCTTCGATAGGGTTGCGAGGGTTCTGTTTGGATGCTCTGCCGATGAATTTTTTGACTTTGCCAAGCTTCACCCATTGTCTGGTAAATTTTTCTACATTTCGATGCTTGTTTTTACTGCTTAATATAGGTAGGAAACAGCAGTCTCTAAGAATCTAGCTCTTGTCCTGCATTTGCCTTTAGATTTGTTTTAGGTCTACTTGGCTGAGCTGCAAATGAACACAAGAAAAATGGAAAACGCCAAAATTTTGAAATGAAGATTACTCCACACTTTCTTGGCAGATTAAAAATGCAGGATCTTGTTTGGAGCAGAAAAACTTTGGGTTGAAAGTGGACAAAGTGTGCTTACTTTTTTGTTTTTGAAAACCTTATATACCTGACACCAAAACTCTGTATCTTTGTTCTTCAGTGTTATCTGCCTTGTCGGAATCACTTCTATTTATTACTGCAGGCCCGATGGTTAATGAAATTCTAGAGGGAGAGATGTTCAGAATGACACTATCAAAGCCAAAAAATGGTAATGCGCGACATTTACGAGTTGTATCAGCTATTCCTTTGAGGACTGGATTTAGGCCGGCAATTGAAGCCTTGAGAGAATACCACCGACGTTGACAAGGTCTCTATTGTCTTAGGGATCTACTTCCATCTAATCTTAGCTTCCCGGTATAGTGGTGTTATTAGATAATTCATACTCGGCTTATGAGATCTTTTCTGTTATACTACCTCCGGTCCTTAATATAAGACCATATTTGACTTTTATTTTGGTCCTAGATATAAGACTTAATTCATTTTGTCTCTCATATTTATTTTTTTTTTTTCAAAGTAGCTCTTCTAACAATGATAGTTCTAGTTAATACATTTGACTAGTAAGGGTATTTTAGGAAAAATAACATATATTTAGGACAAATAACTAACTCAACTTACTTCTTTAATCTTCTTAAATTAGTCAACTGACTCTTATAATTAAAACCGAAGGTAGTAAGTTGAAGAATGGACTCCCGAGTTATCGTTACGTAGATGCTCTGAAAAAACATCTCAAGTTAAAACATAACAGCGACATGACAAATTTTTGAGTCCTTTTTAATTTGGGTTGTGTTGGGTATATAGATTGTTTGTTTTAAACAAAATATAATTGCATGTAAAAGTGCGCGGTGAGTTAATATGCGTGGAAGATTTACAGCATAACCTTCAATACACAGTTCTCTATCCCGGAGATGATATAAGCATAGAGAAGTCAAGAAGAGCGAACTATATCAGAAATTATAAATAAATAAAAAAAGAAGTAAAAAATGAATCTTATTCCCCTCTTAAAATATCAATACACGAAGCCATGTACACATGAAGAAGCCAACAATTTCCATTCAAGAGGAGGATGGTTTTAGCTTTAGTTTAGTTTTTGGGTTTTGAAGCCATCACTTTGGAGAGGCATGATCTCCTCCTGTCGAGATTAGTTTTCCCTGCATCCAGCTTCTCAGCATTTGAAGTGCAGCTTTTGGTTGATCCATTGGGACCATATGCCCTGCCTCATGTACCTGTTTCACGGTACCCAAGTTATGAAAAAGTGAACAACTAATCATTAATGCATTTCTAAAGGGTTTCTGTCAGAATTTTAATAAAATTATACCATGCAAGGAATTTTTTAAAGAGACAACAATCTAGTTTTTGGAAAATATTCCCATGTTATATTTTTATAATTGAATCTCAACAAACCTTGAGGAAAGTGAGAGGTCCGTGGCCTTTGAGCAATCCTGCCTTGGTTCCATCAACTGTGAATGGAATTGTAGGTGATGCCCCGAATTGTTTTTGACCTGACCATTCCATGGCATGAACCCACCTTGAGTTCCCTGTTCATTCAGAAGCACATTACGAAAGTTAACTGATGATAAAATCTGGTGGCTGACACTTGAGGAATATGGGTCCAAGATGATTCCAATGGACTTACCAAGCCAATTACAGATGAGATCATCTTCTCCAGCGTACACAAGCACCTTGATTCCATCCTCAAGAAGGGAAGGAATGCCCACTTCCAGATTTCTCATCCAGTCCTTCAACATAGCATCATACACTGTGCTACTGCATGACACGAAGTCCAAGTCCCCAACTCCTAAAGCACTTCTTACTTCCTTCTTGTTCAAGAATGTCTCCATGTTTGAGAAGTCATAGCACAGATCTCCTTCACATTTCTTCTTAATGTCATAGTACTGCAGTTTGCATATCAGCATGCATTAAAACTCAGTCAATTTGGAATAAGGTATTATCATTCAGAATCAAATCTCAAATAGCCACATGATTAAGTTAAAAGCAGTGTTCTTCGTTGGTTTCTTACATTGATGTTGCCTGAGAGGGACAATATCTCATTGAATATGTTGTTGCAAACAATATATGAGGATACACAGGCTTCTCCACCATCAACGCCTGGAAATCAAACACCAAGTCACCAATCAAGAATAATGTCAATAAACATAAATAATTTATTTCATTTCTTTATTTTTTTTCACCGGAAGATATTTGGGTGAATGAGCAAGGATGTAGATACCGCAAGTTTTTATTGCATGAAGACATGGAGGGAGCAACTTGCTGATATTCTCATAATCAGCCTTGTTAATCAAACCTCTGTCTAACGCATAGTCTGTATAAGCAGGGTATTGCATTTCTGGGTTGGTTAGCCCATTTCCAATGGCAAATCCCTGTTTAAACATCACATCAGATTAGAAAAATCGATACGTTGAAGTTGAAGCAATCAGCATCTAAGACAGATGCTTGTCTGAGAAACAAGGCAAGACCTTAAGGTTTATGTGGAGTCCTTGTTTCTCTTTGTTTCCTTGGTGAACTCTGGAAGCAAGAGCTGGAATGTAATGCCCAGCATATGATTCTCCAGTGATGTAGAAGTCATTCTTAGCAAATTGAGGATGCTCCTTGAAAAATGCCTGCCACGATCGTTGCGTATTTTGAATCTTATTGCAGCATATCATACAATCTTTCTTTTTTTTCATTTATTTATCGCAGTATTTTGGTTTATAGTATTTCGCATACATGACTTCTGTTTTGGACTAAAATTAAATTTTTTGCAATTTCAAAAGTCCCCTATACATTAACTTGAGTCAAGTTAATAAATAAGATCAATAATTCCTCTTTCTCAAGCGAACGAGCTATTACACTAAAGAAAAAGAAAAGAAGAAAGGCATCTCTTGCTTTACGTTTTGATCCGAAGAAAAGGGAGAGGTTATATATATTACCTGCAAAAAGTCGTACAAGTCATTGCTAACACCATCTTCGTCGTGACGAATGTCATTTTCATCAGAAGTATAGCTAAAACCAGTCCCAACGGGTTGGTCAACGTACAAAAGATTTGAGGCCTACGAATTGAGAAAATATCAGTAAATGGGAATTAGAAAATTCAAGTTGGTTCAACAACTTTGATCCTCTTTTGACCTACAATCAATAAATCAATAAATAACAGAAAAGCTTGATTCTCTAGGCTAAGAGATTCCCATAGTGAAATATGAACAGGTATGTATATAGTAACTACCTAATTTTTTTGAGACATGCCTTTATAAAAGAGATCGTGGGCACCGCAAAACAGAGAGAAATTGTCGGAGGTGGTTATAAAGAGTGGGTAATAAAGTCCAGAAAAAAACAAGAAGAAATGATAGGGCACCTTATCCCAGCCATATTCATTCCAAGAAAGAGACAAGTTGTTTGTGATCTGAAAAGGGCCATTCTCGTAAAACATGGCCAGCTCACTGCTACATCCTGGTCCTCCAGTCAACCATATGACCACAGGATCATCCTTACTGCTCCGAGATTCGAAGAATAAGTAAAACATCCTGCAAACACACATAGAATAGATTTGTGAGGCCCCTCAAGCCTTCAATACAATCCTGGACCAAAGTATTTGCCAACAATCATGTACAAAAGGACAAATTTTACGCCTTTGTTCTGCCCCATATGTTATGTACGCACAAAGCCAAATAACTTTCTTGAGCCAATTACGCGGGCAGGATTGATGGCTATAAAATGAAAATCACATGGCCTTGTGAACGCAAGTTGTGATCATAATATGCAAATGGGACTAAAAGTAAAAGTTAAGTGCTTAGCTTTCCAAGATTCCAAGAACATCTACCTGTAAAGAAAAACAGTGGGGTTGCTAGAGTCGTTTCCGCGTTAATAATTATTAAGAGGAAGTATTTTCCTTTCTTTTCGAATATTAATGATCATTTGATATGGATTTGGGTTGTGTATGCATACTTTTGAACAGGATATTATTTGTCTTCACGCCACCTCTGTCAACTTTTCCCACCGAACTTGGAATATCTGGCCACTTTATTGATCAATTTGGATCTAAATGATCGCTTAACATCACAGAAAAGAATTCCAGAACTGTCTACCTAACTTGAACAAACAACTCTGGACTGGGGAGAATAAAACAGAGGAAATGGCAAACCAAATTTTGAACATAAAGACAAAATAAATCAGAGTAAAGTTACGGACCTGGCAGCTTTTGAATGAGGAAGACGATAATACCCTGCATGGTGACCGAGCTCTTCCGCAGAAGGCCCACCAGAAACAGCACCAAGATTAGGAAATGTGAACTTCTTCTCCACAATCTTTCCAGGGGAAAACAGAGGATCGCTAGATCGTGTGTTGACTGATTCTTTTGGGAACAAGTTAAGTTCTCTTATGAGCTTTTCTGCTTGTAGCTTTGGGAGGTAGGCCGTGGAAGATAAACGAAGGTCATTGCTAGTGGCGGTAGGAGAAGTTGCGGAGCAGAATGGTGAAATAATGAAAAGAAGAAACAGAAGAGAAGACAGAGAGGTTAAAGACGACGATTCCATTGTTGGTTTGGTGGTTTGTGAGGAGTGAGGGAATGGCTGTGGAATTTATAGTGCTTGGCCTCAAAGACCGTAAAGTTATTGACGAAAAGGTTGAGTATCAGAGGGTTAACGGTCTCCATCACCGATCACTTTTCTCCTTTGATTATTAATTAATTTTCTTTTCTTTCTACTAATAAAACCTCTCTTTTCTTCTTTTCTGCAAGCTTTTGTTCTTTTTCAAAATCTGGTTTCGCAAAATATTCCCTGGCAACTCAGAAATATTATGTCTTAATCAATCGTTATTTTTAGTCTGCCTTGTATGAGATATTGGTCTTTTTATTTATAATATTGTATTAATTTGAAGTGAGAACAAATTCAACTCCGGTCATGTCTGAACCCTGATGATGTTATGGAAGTATGATATCACGCAATCAGAGAGGAAGAAAGGAAATAAATAATATTATATAACCGAAGACAATTTAAAATACCCAGAACGATATATGAATTAAGAAGCAATGATTGTTTATTTTTATTCTGGTCATAAATTATTGAAATTAAATCATGCAGGCCATTTCTGTACTCAAGAGGTGAGATAGAAGAACTAGTTAACATGACTTGTAAGGATGGTCTTCTTCCCCACACCACATCCTTCAAAGGATCATTTGCTACACTTAACATGTCTTCCAAGGATAATGAAACGATGTAGTGTGGTGAACAATTGAAAAAACAATAATCAAAGGTTGTGCTGTCTGATATTCCTGCTTACTAAAATGAGTCACTGTATGATAGGGCAACATCCTAATTAATGTTTGGATATGCTTTTCACATTATGGCAACCTAAGACCATTTCTCTCCTGTCTGTAATGGACTAATGGTGAAAAAGCCACAATGTGCAACCCAACCTAAACCACGTGTTGCGTGTAAGATGCCACCCTAGTGCCTTGAACACATACACAACCAAATTTGACCAAATCAGAACTAAGAGAAATGAACCTACTTTGCTGCTTGGTCCACACAAACCTTATCAAACTCATTTTTGTTTCATAATAACAATGATTAAGCCTAATCAAATACAAGCACTGGGAGTTTAGTATTCTAGCTGTTATGATTATGAGTGACGTAGAAGATAACCCTTATCGTCGGCATATACTTTGAGACGTCCTTGTGCATCAATGTGCGCCACAAAATAACGTAGTGGTACCTTGCACACAGTATTTTGGTGATCTTCTTATCAAGATAAAAAGATGTCTGCTTCATATGGGATTATTGACGGTTGACATCATCCAACTCAGTTACATATTTTTTTTAGGGTCATTATTTTTTCAAAGAAAAATTAGTTATAATAATATTAATAACAGGGGGGAAAAACCAAGTGTAGTCAAACATGGGATCGTAATCTGTTGCCTCTAATATTCGAATTTATTATATGTTTTGATCCTAAACTTTGCGATACTGGGATGTAAAAGATAAGATGTATTTAATTGCTAATGGTTTCAAACTTACGCATTGTGGTTTTCTGAGGACACAAGAAATGCAAAAACAAAAAGTTTTAACCAAAACTTACGTCAACTTTTGTTGTTTTTTGCGTGTTTTCAGATAACTGCTTCTCTTTTGGTTGATTCTCCGTCACAGAAACCACTACATCATGATTTTCTGATCTGTTAAACCACTTGCTTATAGCATTTGAGATCCGTGACTGTTTATATGTTCTCTTGGCGTCATAAACCATTAAGGTACGTATTAATGCAAATTTTAGACAGCGTTCATCATTTGATCATACGAAGCTTTACCCATTAAAGGATCCCGTCGTGAACTGTGCTTCGTGCGCCACCAAGGAGTTACGATGGGTTTCCCACTTGCATATTTCTTTCAAGACGGACCTCTCATAATCAGATGTAGAAGCGGAACAAGTGATGGGGTAAATAAAACGTAGAAACGAGCGATGGATAATAATAGGTTTCACAGTTCGATATATTGATGATCCTCTGTTCCATTCATCCATTTGTTCCATTTTTATCTTCAACAAATGGATCTTGAATTGCACATTTGGTCATAGATAGGTATTAATAGATCCGCTCTTATTTACAACTCAGCTACGAACATGGTCGCACTGGGGCATTTCTTGCTTTACCAAATTGGCATAACTTTTGCACGAAGGGACTTATCAGACTTGAGGTATCTCACTGCATTAATAATAGTAAAGAATTAAAATAAAATATTCTTGATTATTGATTTGGGACGGCTCAATATCTACTCATCCGAGTTTTATGGATCAGAAAAAGCTGTGAAGGAGATTTCACATGCTGCAAACAACTATTCAGCATGTGACACCCTTTCTCCAGCAACAGCAACACTTCTTTTTATATGATAATAAGAAAGTGATACATTCAAGTCATCCCACGTTGCATGGAAGCTTGATTCTTTATATATAAAAATCAGTCTTGACCACCATTCGCGAGTCGTGGAAAATGTTAGCCGTCGGTGGCACCAAAAATAAAAGGGAACCAGCTTCTCTCCTCTGTAAAAGCGGGTCACTGGCGATTTGAGCGTTCCACGAATTAGTGAGCATGAACATTTAATTATCAAACTTAGTTTAATGCTCAATTGCAAAACACTGCAAAATATCTCAACCAAGGATAAACCAAGCTCATAAATTTTGGTGCTCTTCCAAGAACTTCAGTGTTATTTACACAAGATACCGCTGCTGCCAGGATCTTCTTTTCTAGGCGTAACTTTGGTTTTGCCCTTTTCAATCTAAATACATCAAGTAGGATACAAATCTGTCGTTATCTCCTTGTAATACACCAGATAGGCTGCAGGAATCCAGTTAAGCTTATGACCTAACTTTAGCAAGTCGAGCCCTAATTTCTTCCATTTCCTCTTCATCATCAACTCCCTCAGCTATAGCATCTTCCTGCGAAGGATAAACACATGGCATGGTTAGTTTGACTCCGAGGAAGACAAGACTTCTAGAGAAAAGAAAAACCACACAAAGCTCGTGTATTGCACATGCCTCTGTAGCTTCGACACTTTGAGCAGGTTGCTTCACCTTGTCCTTCCTGACAGCTTCTGGAAGCTGTGCAGCTGTCTCACCAGCAATTGCAGTTAAGACTTTATCAACTTCTTCTTCAATCTCATCTTCTATGTCCTCAGAATCTAGGGCTGTGTCAACAGCATCACTTACTATCTCCTCGATTACCCCTGCCTACGAATAAAATAAGTAAATTACTCACTGATCAGATAGGCACATCATCAAATTTACAATTGTTTGGTAAATAAATATAAGTAAATGACAAAAACGGAATGAAAAAAGTAACTCTGTGGACAAGAAATAACCCCTCATAGGTATTGCATATCTCTGTTTTTAACAAGAGAAGCACAGAGGCCGTTTCCCTCCCAATACTTAATATTATAAAATTAGTACAGAGTCCAAACTCGTAGCAAAATGTCATAGTCATGGTCACCTGAAATGACAATGACTATTTAGTCGCAATGAAGAACCACTAAGTTTGTAACATCGTATGCAGCTCATCAGGTCGCCTTTTATATATAAAAATGCCAGGCATCAACTAAACACTATCCTGGACTAACTGATTAATTTTGTTTAGCATCTACAGGGTGGATATAGTAGAAGCATTCACTTTTTTCAAGTCACAGGCCAGGAAAATTCTGTGTCTTGCACTCTCGTGTTCACTGTTATCATTCATAAGACTTCTTTACACACTTAGTTCTGTTGCGCATAAACAAAAGTCTCTTAATGCATTTGTGTGTAGACATTTGGGATTTGTCATGTCTGAAACCACGATTATGTTTTCCGATCTGACTTCAGCCTCCAAAGGTCCGGTATACAATCATCTATCCATAACCTATTCCTAAAGCATTTTGCGTTTGCACAGAGCTATAAAAGGATACCTAATTTTTATACCGAAAATGAAACAAGCCCTGTTTCAGTGAAGTATCATGTGTTTGCAAACAGAAAATACCAATCCATGATGCAATATATCAGGGGGAATTAATATAAGTTGATGAACCTCAAATTTACTGTGTATAGGGTACGAAAATTCTAAATCTGAGCTCAGGAAAACTATTATCGGGGCTAAGCTGAGATGGCCAAGTTCTAAAGTCAAGCAACATATTATTCATGCCAAAACATTACAACTCCTACATCAGAAAATTAAATAACACCTTTAAGTGATGAAAAAGTTCTTTGCAGCCCTTAATCTTTTATTAACCCTCAAAACTGATTCATTGAACCTAAAACTAAGCAGGTACAGGTAAGCTCCAACCAATAACATGATTAAAACTTAGCCAGTATAGACAGTTCTAGAAACAGGTGACAACAATATTATTAAAAAGTTAGTTTCTTCCAGCCAGTTACAATCATACTGGGCATTTCAGTTATTGCTCTAACAAACCCTGAAGGGAGCTATTCGATCCTGATAATTCGACACTCAAGCAAAATCCAAAACCATAACCCCCGGCCGTTTGGCCTAGTGGTATGCGTGTGTGTGTGGGGGTGTGCGTGCGGGTTCGATCCTGCCCCTTGTAACCAAAAAAAAAAAAAATCCAAAACCATAATTCACTCATCTAACTTTTCATAATAAACATTCCTCCCACTTGACTGCTTGTAAAAATATACAAGTAGAAAGAAAACAACTCAATAAAGAATTGGGTGTGACCCCGCCATGGGCAGGGGGTTACTGCCTTCCTCCATGTTAACAAGTACCACTGCTGCAAGCATACCTTTGTCATTTCTTTGCTAAATTCTTGCATTGTCACAGCCACCTCAGGAGCCTTCATGAGGTTGTTGACAAGCTTCATAACCTCAGCACTCTTGGATAAATGTCCCACAGTACGAGCAATTGCTGCCAATGCAACCAAAAAATAAAATACTCAAGTCTGTCATAATGACTCATAAAAAGAGAATTCGTGGTGAAAGGACTACTTAATTGAATTCAAATCATCAACTTATCATACTAAATTACGAAAACTATAATAGATGCAGAAAAATGTTGCATGCAAATGCAAACTAAACTAGCATGAGGGATGGTAAAAGCATGCTTATTAAATCAGGGCCACGTAAATGATCACCATATACAAGTGCCTGTATGCATGTATGCTTTGTCATACACGCCATTTAATCAGTGAATAGAAAACTACAGGTAAAACAAAAAACAAAACTTGCACCAGTCCATTGTTGATTTTTTCCCAGGTTGGTCCTCGAGTTTAGAAAGTGATAATAGCATGCACCGGGATAAGAAATAGGACAAAGAATATTTGTTTTGACATCTGTTTTATAGCTAGTGAAAGGTAGCACAGCCTACCAACACTTTCCCCAAGATGCATTGATATTGAATTCAACTGTGCTTTATTTTCGTAAAGACGATTCACTGTTTTCCTAGATCTTACAAGTTCCTTTGCAAGTGCCTGCAAATTGCAAAAACAACACAGGAAGGAAATGAGTCTTTAGTAAAAGTATGCCTTAGGTCTCAAAAGAGGAAAATCAGATGCTCAAAAGTCCTATCTGAAGGTCCCAAATTGCAGCCAATAACGGTCCGTTTCTGTTTTCACTTTTTAATACTAAGCTCATGCATCATCCTACGTGATGCTTTTTTACGTCTAGCATGGAAATACTAAAAAAGATACAATGAATTAAGTGCCCATTTCTCAAATCCAAACCCAAGCTCCCTTCCCCTGACGAGCTTGGATGGTCGAGAGGAATTCACTCTTTGTTTTACTTTCGCAAGTGGTCACGCCACAGCTCAAAAAGCACTTGGGACATGGTTAACCAACAATGACAGTAAATACTCCTCTGGTTCTATTTATAGAGCAGATAAAAAAGACATTTTTTGGTCATATTTATAAGATACTAAGAGAAATTTTTTGTATAGATGTACAATTTTACTCTACATTTATTATTGTGTTGACTTTGTTTACATGAAGTATAATATATATTAAATAGGGATAAAATTGAAAAGTTGTTGAATTTTAAATGAGAGTTAATGAAGTTTAAGATTTTTCTTGGTCTGTATGAAACATGTTGGAAGTGACTTATAAATAAGACCAGAGGAGTATTTCGAAACAATATTCACTAATAACTTGTATGTTATGGGAGCAAAACATCCCACGAAAAGGAAGGCTTTATTAGGATCTCCTCCACATCCACTCATGCTAAAAGTGAATACTATATTAGAACGTGTAAATACATCTTTCTGAGTAAGACCATACAAAATTACACAACTTTTGCAATTGGACACGGATTGCAACTTCTTCCCAAATCCTTGAAGTATAATAGCATATCTAAATTCTAGAGCTATATGGTCAAATTGATCACTGGGTAAGAGGTTTGGCCGTTTGAATAGAAGTCCTAGATTCATCTGCAATTTGTAAAAGAAAAAAAAATAACTGGCCAACAACTCATGTTAAACCCGAGATCAGAAATCACCAAATCCACTGGTACTCCCCTACAAACACGATCACACACACAGTCCTTAAAAAAACCAGATTGCTTGACATTGCCTAAACTTCCTCACTGCACTAATTACAGCAAAACAACTGCAACTAAACAGAATTAACATAACCATAAATTTCCAAATACCTTTGCTGAACCCATGTCATTTCTCTTAGCTGCCTCCCTTATCGCCTTCTGTACGTTTTTTTCTTCTCTTTGTATATCTGATCGAACCCATAATTATAAATCAATCATAACAGCAACTAGAACAACAATACAGATTCGAAAAAGACTGAGATCATCACCTCGGATTTGGCGTTCAATGTTGCGACACTCTTGACGAAGCTTGCGCTGCCAATCTCTCAATAGCTGTTGCGGATTTGGCTTCGGTCTGAGTACATTCATCACCTTCTCCATTTTCTCCACAATCCCAAATCCTCGATTTCTGCTGTCCAAGCAACGATTGCTTCAAAATCTCGTCTTTTATGTCTGCAGCCGCTAATTCAACTAGGATTATTCGTTTTCGCTGCTGGGCGTACAAATCCTCCGGGAAAAAGGATGCCCTGTGCAATTCACCGTCTGCTTTGACCTCACGCGTCTTCCGCAAAAAGGTAACTCCCAAAAAACCGAGGAAAAAAAAACTCAAAGCGGGATAATATTTATCAGCCGTAAATGCAAATTGACGTCAGATTTACACCAACAAAAACAACAGTAATAAGCGTATCTTTTTTTTAATCACCTCTTAACTCTTCAATTTGGCCTAAAAAAATTCTTCACAACTAATAAAAGTCATTGTATAACATCATTGGGTTTTAGTTTCCTTTATATCTTCGGGGGGGAAAAAAGTTAACTTTATATCTTTTTTTATAAAATTAAAGATAAAGACACTTTGCTTAACACTATCCTTTTATAGTAAAACCTCTATATTGTGTTTCTTCACAAATCTTTGAAACATATTAAACATTTTTTTAACTGAAATTTTTTTTTAAAAAAACTATTTTGTTTTATTATATTAAATGACTCCTAAGTTCAGAAGCATAAGAAATTAAGAATGATATGTTGAATTTATACATAAATAATCTTTTGATCCTAAATGCTTCTAATGCTGAACCTTGTTATTTTCCAAACAGATTCCAAACATCATTAGAGTCTAAAGGTCCTAATTCAGTTTTGGAATCCCGATTCTTATGCTGTTTGGTTGTTTTTCCTGGATTAAGGGCTGGTTTGTATAGTTTTTGGTCGGCCCAAACTATATTTGTATCCAAAAAGATAGTCATAAACTTAAAAAATGTTAAGATAGAAGTTGTTAATTAATGGTCTTTCGTCAAAACATTAGTTAATTTTAAAGCTGATTTGACTTTGGTAGCTTTTTGGTCCGTTGTAGTAATTGGCAAAAAAAAAAAATTCAGGCCAAAAAAAAAAATTGGCCAAAATTCAATATATTTTAAAAAATTTTAACAACCCAAATTATCCTTCCCTTCCTGCATATGCCTAGTTAGTTCAAAATGAGATTTTTACCATCGGCAATTTATATGTATTAAATACAACTAATTATATTTTGTTTAATATTTAAACATATCTTTTTCAATAATATGCTGAATATTTTTTATAATTATATTTTTTAATTTTAAGAATTTTTTTAAAAAATAAATCACATGCATATAATATATATTATAAAATTTATATCCTTTTCTGTCATTATATATTTAATTTTATTTTAATCACAAATTTCAATTGGTCAAACCGTGAAAGCACATAATCACACTATGTTGATTTAGTTTCGGCCCAATTTTAATTTGTAAAAAGTAATTTATGAAAATTTCAGGTTTATAAATATTAATCCGAAATATTTACTAGGGAAAAACCTGCCACAACAGTCTTGAGTCACGGAAGATGGAAGGAAGCAGTTGGAAGAGGCGATTCGATTCGATTCGGTAGCTCCACTTCTCCACTCCCGAGTAGGAAACTAATCCCTTTGCTTCATGGACTCGCAACCTTCTTCTGCCTTTGCCATCAGGAAGCCGCTCAGAATTTTCTTTCTTTTTCTCGGGTTAGGTTTTTCTCTTATACAAATCAACCAAAAGATGGAAGTAGCTTCATTTTAGATTCATAAAGGAAAGAAGTATGAGATGATGATAGAGTCAGTTCAAGTGAGAAGGTATTTAACGACTTACCGCAGACTCGAGAACAGAGTTTATAACTTACGGTAACAAATTACAAACCTTAAACAAGACAGAGTCTGTGATGCAAATATCATTGCTAAGCGGTGGTTAAGATCACCACGTGATCACTAAAACCATCAAACACAACATTAAACAACATATATATAATTCAAGTTACTCTGAACATCATTAGGTAACAGTTATTTCAGTATTATTATTTGCCAGTAACATAGCTGTGGATGCGTCCTATTCCGAATGCCACTGTCACAGATTAGAATGCGGAAACAGAGGCAAGCCTCACCTCCTATACGTAGGGTCACAGATAGGCTTCAAGCCATACACAACGCTTATATGCAATAGAAAAATCTGAGCAGAAGAATGAGGACATGGATCCAATCGGAACTAGTTTCGGAGCACCATCTGATGAGCTTGTGGTGCTCATCAAAATGATGAGTACCGAAACTGATGCTTGTTTAAAATCGCTGGCTTGGCTTCTAGAAAGCTAAGCACTAATATGAACTATGCCTATCTCCATGAAGCGAACTCAGCTCAATACCGTTTTATTCACTTGTGAGGAAATATTAATGCGATTCCTCTCTTTCTTTGACGAGTTGTTGAGTGTTCAACAGGTTTGAAGTTTCATTGTGTTTGTGTTTTCCTTTTCTCTTCTTTAAATTCTCTGCACCAATGAATTATACTTGCATTGCCTTTTTTTTTTGCTCTTTTTTTTATGTTCTTTGCATGAAAATATTGGAGAATGGAATGGAAATCTGAATTATGATCTGTAACGTACTTAAATGTTTGAAATGATCATTAACAACCCCCTCCTAATGCATTGGATTATATCAGAAAATGCGAATATAAAGAATGCCAGGTAAAAATGGAACATAAAACAATTGCCACCAGCTTCTATTGTTTCTATATCTTACTGGTTATTTAATTTAATTTCAATTTTTGTTTATCTTCCCGTTTCATCTAGGTTGAAGCTTTTAATCATATGCTTATTTTGAGTGATGAAAAAACTCGATGTATTCAAAATTTCTGGTGCAGGGGCCCTATCAAAACTGTCGGCAGAGGGCAGCTAAGGAGGAGAGTTCCGAGTAGAGTGGAAGGGCCATTCATTTCTTTATTCAGCTTTCATTACGCATATAGTGACCGTTCGTTCGAATAATTGAACTCCAAAACTTTCTATGATTGGATTACTCCGAATGGTCTGTGCTCTGTAGCTCACAATATCAAACTAGAGTCCAAAATGAATGCAGAGAATGTACTATTGATGTGGAGGAATCACCTTCTTCAATTAGTTGAAATGTTCTGGTCAGGATCTACAGTGTTCGTGGACTTCAAATCCCGTTCAAAATAAAGATTTCAAATCATGAGATCTTTTAGAAGATATGGTTAATGATATGTACTTCACAGGCAAAATTCTCATTTCATATTCAGCAGAGAACACTAACGTCAACGTGGCGGGGAGGATGGCTTTTTATTTCCTTTTTTGTATAATGATTCGGACTCTAACGCAATTATGTAACCAATTATTGCTATTCTTCTTTTCCCATTAGTGATGTAATAAAAAGGTTTCTTTTCTTCAATAATGTGTCTATAGATTAGTGGGAATATAATCCTGCAACGAAATAAACAAATTTGAGATAATGTGGTTCAATTATAGAAACGCCCGACACTAATTTGTCTTTAGAAGTTTTGATGCTTTGTGCTGGCCCACTCCTAAATTAGCATTAACCAATAGTTTTGCAATTTTCTGCATTCGGTTTACGCTAAGATTTTCCCCTTTTCTTTGGAGTTTTATGTCAAGCTTCTTTTTCTCTTATTGGTTTAGATTATGATTAGATCCTACCAATCATATATTACCCCCAACTCAATCTCTTCTTTCTTGCCGGTAATCTTAATCGCTCTATTTTAAGGCTCTAAATCTTTATCTCAAATAGTCTTTGCAAATTGCACTTAATTGTTGCAAACTTGAAAACGCAACCTATCCAAAATCGTAAGCAAGCTTGCTTTCTGTCTTCTTGCTTCTTCCCCGCACACATCTCCACATACAGAACAGGGAAATCTAATATGGATCGAACTCTTATCTTCTTGTCTGCTCTCTGATATATCTTCTCCGTCATTAAGGGAAGAGATATGAATGACTGAAAATTGGAGGAGGGAAAAAGGTAAGATAATGATAATGACTAGATTGCTTGCTTAGCTAAAACACAACATTTATCCATGAAAATGCGATTGCCCTATTGCTAACCATTACATACATTCAATGTAATTTTGATGCCACAGAATAACGTTGCAGAGAGTTAATTGTCTCTGTGGCCTGACGGCTCCATGATGCGAACCAAAACAGGGGCATTAAATCGACAACTCCACAAGCCCTTTTGTCCCATCTTCACAGTGAAGTCTAAAAAAGAGGCTGAGTCATTGAACACTTCAATATTGATTCTAAATACTACTTCCTCCTATTCTAAATATGAGACTTACTTAAGAGATTTGTCTTGATCCTACCTTAATCTTCTTTAGCTTTCGTAACTTAGTTAACTAAATTCTATATTTAAGACAAAAAAAGGGCTATTGATGTCTAATTTGGATAACAATGGAATACCTTTCGCTTAGGGATACCATAATCTTTGTTTTTTCTCACGTCCTTTCAGTTAGCTTCACATTTTGATGTCCACTTTGAGACAAGCTTCCTTTGGAAATCACGCCATAAGTTGAACCGTTAATTTCAACAGCTAAGCTAGTATTGGTTAAGATTTGATCCTGATTGCTTTCTTTTAGTTAAAGGGCAGTTAGGTACAGTTGATTAGCCGTGCAGTTAGATAGCTAACTCCCAGGGAAATTGATTTTGCAGACAACACAGTCATGAAGTCATGGGTTTAAGTAACTGTAGCCACTAACCATGACCGTGAAAGGTGCTTCAAATAGTTTTTCCAAATCTCGAAATAGTCAGACAGGCAAAATAATACTACCTCCTGTTCTTAATATAAGACCCTGTTTGACTTTTATTTTGGTCCTAAATATAAGACCCCAATCCATTTTGTCTCTCACATTTATTCAATTTTTTCCAAGATAATCCTTCTAATAATTATAGTTATAGTTAATACACTTGATTAGTAAGGATATTTTAAGAAAGACAACACATATTTAGGACAAATAACTAACTCAACTTACTTCCTTAATCTTTTCAAATTAATCAACTGGCTCTTATAAATAGAACCGGAGGTAGTAAAAGAACACGATCTGGTTGTTCTGGTTGTTGCAAGTTGTTGAATAAGTTTTGACAAAAAAACATCAATATATTTTATCAATACTTCCTCTCTCCATAATACAAGTCATTTTCTTTCAAGTTGGCCTAGTGAGTTACCAAAAAAAAAAAGCACATCTATGTTTATGAAACAAAATTATATATATTTATATATCTCATATATCACAAAATCACTTAAAATAACTTCAATTTGATAATAAATTTAGAATATTGAGCGTTTGTTTTCTTATTTTGTAATTCTATACCATTAAACTTTATAAGGAATTACATTATAAGACTTTTTTAAGGGCAAATAGCTCCTTATTCTGTGTGATTTTGGCAATTGCCTTCTATATTTAGGGGAGAGGGGAGTATGCTATATTGTTATGTGTCCATAATTACATATGTAACCATCTTCTCCTTCGCCGGGATCAATGCAAATTGCTTTAATGGCTTAACAACCTTAATTGTATTAACTGCATCTGGAGAATTAAATGGAACGATGACAGTCTTGAATTGTTACGAGTTATCATTTCCCATCACATTTCTCAAAGAAAACAATGAGATAGAATGAGATGAGCTTCCACGTTGTTCTTTTCAACATATCCCTTGTCCAATTGTACTATGATCATGTTTATGATTTGGAAAGGTTCACTGAACCATAAACATTTCCCAAGTTGTGTGTCCACCCTCTCTGTTACATTGTCAGAGGTAACTAGAATGATGTCATACAAAGAGGAAACAGGTAAAGGTTACAACTTTACAGAACTAATGTGAAACAGACGTCAAGCATCACAGATTGAAAAAGAAAAAAATAAAGACAAAGCTAGCTTGTTAACCACTTCCTAAGAGCTATATGACTGCACGTATCTACTAATAATAATTCTTTTCCTTAATTCAAAATTCACGTCAAGAGCTGTATATGGAATAGAGGGAGAGTTGATGGCTGCTGATTTGACAGTAATGAGGACGAATAAAATGCACGCTCCATAAATTAAATTAATTTTCCGTATTGTTTATCTCAAATGTGAAAAATTTTTGTTGCGTTAATAACTCTGCCATCAACTGAATTCCTATATATATATCAACTTCGTATAGCCTTGCCTGGTCATGATCTCCAAGTGGCACTGATCTTCCACTATAGCAGAGTCACTCTGTTTTCGTTTCGCTTCAATGCCATCATCATCGCTTTCCTCTTTCCTCCTCATGTCTCCTTTCTTCTCTTTTCTTCTGCTTCCTCTCATAATTTCTTCAAGTAATGCTCAGGGTCCACCTTCACCAGATTACTTCCCAAGTTCCCAAATTAGCCCTCTTGGCTTTGATCAAGGGTTCAGAAACCTCTGGGGTCCTCAGCATCAGAGACTTGACCAGGGTTCATTAACAATCTGGCTTGACTCTAAATCAGGTATTCCATATTTTATAGTGCCAGTGTCTGCTTTCCTGTGTCTCTTTATCAGTATTTGGTCTTCTCAGCTCTTATTTGTGCATTTTTGAACTTAGGGAGTGGATTCAAGTCACTGCAATCTTATCAATCTGGGTACTTTGGTGCTGCAATTAAGCTGCAACCAGGTTATACTGCAGGAGTCATTACATCATTCTATGTGAGGATTATTATTACTCTGTATATGTCTTTAATGAATGTTGAAGACTTAGTTCATTAGTTTTCGAGAGAATTTATTCAGACTCTTTTTCTTGTTTGTGACATTTGGGATTTGTAGTTATCAAACAACCAAGACCACCCCGGAAACCATGATGAAATTGATATTGAGTTCCTTGGTACTACGCCGGATAAGCCCTACGTCTTGCAGACAAACGTATATATCAGGGGCAGTGGGGATGGAAATATCATAGGCAGAGAATTGAGGTTTCATCTTTGGTTCGACCCAACAGAAGATTTTCACAACTACGCTATTCTATGGAAACCCAGTGAGATCATGTAATTTTATTCATTCAAAATCGTGCTCAATTTTACCCGTCCGTCAATAGCCATGTCTGCATTATTAAACTGACTTTTATTGGCAAGGATAATTTTTTCCCTCATAAGATAATAATTAAGTAATTAACATATGTCACTTTAAAGTTGATGCCGATGGCATACGTGAATCCCTTTTAATGTTAAGTTGAAAAGCTAATTTCATACAATAATTGCATGTGGTCCCCCTCTTGCAATTACTTTTTACTTTATTTCTGAACAGAGTCAGAAAACTCATTCATAGTTTTGTTGCTTCTGTTCTGTATGAGCAACCTGCTCACTCATAATGAGAAAATCTTGCCTTTGTGGTGCGGTATTTGGTTTGGTATGTAGCTTAGTAGCTTACGAGTTTGTCTTATAATGGAAAAACTGTCATGCAGATTCCTAGTTGACGATATCCCCATAAGGAGGTATCCTAGGAAGAACGATGCCACATACCCTACCAGACCAATGTATGTGTACGGATCAATATGGGATGCTTCGTCCTGGGCTACAGAGGATGGAAAATACAAAGCTGATTACAAATACCAACCCTTTGTTGGTAGGTACAAAAACTTCAAGCTCAAAGGTTGCACCAGTAATGGCCCTTCCTCCTGCCAACCACCCTCTGTCTCCCCTTCTGGCTATAGCAGCCTGACACCTCAGCAATACGCCACCATGCAATGGGTCCAAAATAACTACTTGGTCTATAACTATTGCCATGACCCTAAGAGAGATCATACGCTCATTCCAGAGTGCTAAGGTCAAGATTCTCACATGCATTGTTTGTATCAGCTCGCTGAACAAGAGCAAGTAAGATCGTAAAAGTCAGCTTTTTTTATTCACGGTTTAAAGTCTTTTGTGAGATCAAAGTGTTTATATCACGAGGGGTGGTTTTATGAGATGGTCCCACTGTGCAAGTGTAGTTTGCAAGAGCAGCTGAGCGTCCAGCACTACCCCGCACAAAAGATTGGAATGTTTTTGTTGTCTATGTGATTTGTGTAATTGTGATGTACTATTGCTTTTGATTTTATTAATGATGAAATAAAATGGTTAAAGTGTTTTCTAATACGTGTCTGGATTCTGCTGTGGACGAGTGCGACCTTGTCCCCTAGTGCGCAATATGGCTGAATTAACTTCCTCCAGATAGAGCTTTGTTGCTCATTTTTGGACCACCAGAACAATTATGGTTCGGATTTGATGCTATTAGAATGGTTAAGTAGTGTGCTGATATTATCACGGAAATGACCCCTTGCCAGGGACAGTTCATCAGCAACAATGATAGGAGAACGTGACCCACTAACTTATTGCGCGTCATACATGTTTTACAGTTTTCTGGATTCATGAGCCAATTGCAGAGGTCGAGTTGATGAGTAACGGCCTACCATTTCTTTGCGTAAAAGAATAAACTATGAACAGATGCATAAAGCAGACACATGAACAGAAGAGACGGAAGAAAGAATATACTACCTCATGTCCTAAATATAAGAGCTAGTTAACTAATTTAAGTGGATTAAGAAAACAAGTTAAATTAGTTATTTGTAATAAATAGATGTTGTTTTTTCTAAAATATCCTTGCTAATAAGTGTATTAGCTAGAATTATTATTATTATTAGATGGAGTACCTTAAAAAAATAGATAAATATGAGAAACAAAGTAGATTGGAGTTATATATTTAAGACCAAAATAAAAATTAAACTAGGTCTTATATTAAGAACCGGAGATAATAAGAAATAAGGATAAGGCAAACAAAAGGACGAAGGGAACACCATGCACAAAAGGCCAATTTGTTAAGAGACGTTAGAGAATAGAGCCTCATGAAGTTACAGTGTTTTCCAGAGACTGTTTAAAATCTCACGTGATTGAAGCTTCTGCAGTAAGTGGGTTCATGAACTCAAAAAAGATGCCTTAATGGAGTATAGTCGTGGAATTTAAAATTGTTAGGCAGCCATACTTTACGTAAAGAACCTCGGTGAAAGGTATCTAACCCTATACTTTCGGCTCTCCTTGAATCACGTCTTACAGTATGGTGGTGTCAAATTCGATTTCATCTCGTGAATGATCTGAAACAGTATGTGTTGTCGTCTTCTTCCTTGGCTACGCACGGTATTGGTCAAAATGAAATCACAGGGTGAACAGGGAATACAAACTGGGGAGAATATTTTGGAATTTTACGAGAAAACAACCCTAATAGTTTTATATTTACATGCATAAGAAAGTTCAAGTGGGGCCTTTCACTCACATGAATGCATCTGTATAATTGTAACATTAATTCAATTTCCGTGATGTATTGTTTTCCGCCTCCGAAATTTGACGGCTATCAAACTTTTCATTCTTACCTCAGTCCCTCAATTCATTAGGGAGCTGGACAGACAAAAGTGGATGATGGTAACAACATAGTGTCAAGTTCGGTGATGACAAGCTAAACCACAACCTTGAAAATTAACTCTGGTAATTAAGTTTAATCAGGGCCCCCACCTTTCTTTTTCATCTTGTGATGTTAGATTATGAATTCGATGACAAGAACATACCTTCGGTAACCAACCAAATAATAATAATAATAATAGAATAAAAGGGAAGTTGGAAGAAATTGATTAAAATATCTTGAAACTTGAAGGTACGAACGTGAAAACGAGATGAAGGGGAAGAAATCGATGATCCCAAATACGGGAGGAAAGAGGACAGACAAGTTACTGTGTTGGTGAAAGTAGTTATCATGTGACGGTACAGGGCAGATTCTTATCAAATTGACATGTAAACCCAGACCAACACAGAAAAACCAGCTCTAATATTCACAGCAATTCTATTAAAATTGGCTCGTCTCTTGTATTCATATACCACTAATTGGTTCATGCCAAAAGGGATCGCACATCTCATCCCCCTCCCCCCCCAAAAAAAAAAAGCTCATATACACCCATGTTTACAACATTTGACAAATGATATAAATGACATGTATAGGTTAATGACACATAATTAAGAGGTTATCTTCATTTTAGATTTGTTCCATATTAAAATAATTATCTTGAACAAATAAAAAAAATCAAATCCTAACCATCCAAATGAGAGATGAATAGTTCAGAGTGCTTATCACTTAAACTGGTTCCAATATGTACTTGCTGTGTTCACGTGGCTGTAATAATTCCAGAACGTAAAATTGAAGGACATAACTCATTAACTATGGAACCCTTATTTTCGGCGTGTTATAATGTTCTGGTAACAGCCATGTCAAATTAAATGTTCATCCGTCCTACTGAAAGTAATTGATGTAAAATTGAAATGCAGCAATTATGCTTAATCAAAGGGCCTATCCCACTAAATTTAATGGGCAACAGCGGTCTTCAAAATTCTTAGATATTCAAAGATCGGCAATGAGTTCCGGCGGCAGTGTCACGCGTCATCAAAAATATGTTTATGACCGGTTTCAGAAATTTGTGACATTATTATTGATTTTTCATGGGAAAATATTTGTTTTTGTCCGATGGAAAAAAAATCTGGAAATTGGGAAACAAGAATAAGAATTTAGTCAGGAAGAACGAGAGTTTGGGCCTAGAATTCCGCAGAATGACGTGGCCCATTAAAAACCATCTTTTGTAAATCGCGAATCTCCTGGTCTTAAGAGGGCACGCATAAGCCCAAAAAAACATAAGCGTTGACAAGTGAAAGTTTGCAGTTATGAAGAAGCTGAGCCAGCGCCTGTGTGGTACAGTGTTAGGGTTCGCAAGCAATGCTTGCATCCCCCCCAAAAAAAAGAAAAAAAAAAAAGAAGTTATGAAGGAGCTAAATGTAAATTGGCAAAAATAAAAATAAAGAAGGATCCTAAACAATAGATAGAATTATAAATTCAAGTTTGAAAAGGAGTAGAATTATAAGTCTGATCCCTCCCCTGACAATGATTCACGTCTACCTGCTGATGCTCCCAGCGATTCAAGAGGCATGAAAGTTAAGAGGGAAAATAATTATTAGAATTGAGGGGGAAAGAAAACGTGAGTAAACAAGTGGTGATCATCATAATTCACGAGTATATTATTATAACTTAATGGTCATCGTAGTTTACCCAAGGTCGTTGCCAGTACCAGGATACATGACTTGTGAATAATAATAATAATGATGATACTTTTATTCTCACAGAAAGAGGATGTCAACCTTCAATTTTGAGTCGCAGTTCAGCCATCCCCACCTTTACGGTTTGGTTAGAGTTGAAGGGGCCAGGATTATAGGAGGGGATGAATAGGGAGAATAATTGGATAAAATAAGGTGCCAGTAAGAAACAAAATTAGTTTGTTGTATTATGTTAATAAAATTAAAGTGGGGGGGGGGGGACGATGAGATGGAAGAAGGACGAAAGGCTCCATAAAAGCTGCTCTTGAATGGTTGGAGTGTGTGTTGGCCTTATGAGCCCTATACCGTACCCGTGACCCCTGACACCTGAGCCCTCCCACTTCCTCCCAAATAATCACTCCCCCCGTTTTATATCATTCTCCTCAGTTTTCACACTCTTCGCTCCTCTCCTGCGCCCTCTTACCCACCCTGCACCCAAACACATCACAAGCCAACACTGCCATTTCACCCACGTCTTCATCTTATTCCCATGTCCAAAAGAATTTCACCTTTCCTCTTTTTAAAAAATTATTTACATCACGTATCAAAGAATAATTAATAAAAAAAAATCTTCTTTACAGTTTACACCTTTTACCCATATCTCCATGCCCGTATTTCCACTCCGGTCAACTTTCGCTCTGACACACCGCCTGTCCCACCAATGAATGTTACCCCCCTCCCCTTTCAAATCTCCATTCCTCTGCTCTTCTGGGGCCCACCTCCCCCCGCCTATCAGATTCCTTCTCCCCCCTCCCCCCTCCCAATCCAGCTGTCTTCCATTGTGCCACCCGCCGAGGCCCGGTCCACGTCGGAAACACCCTGCTCCCCCTCTTACGTGTCGCTCTCTAATTGGCCCGAAACCCTCGACCTCCTGTACGACCTGTCCAGCTTCTTGCTCAGCGCTGTCAGCACCTGCCATGTGGCGTCGCCTTCCTCCATCTCATTGTTGAACAGCAGGGCCCGCTTCGTGCGCGGGTCCCACAGCTTCCTCTGTATCGCGCTCAGATTGGTCGCCGCCACCTCCTCCAGTATCTCCCCCAGCCTCTCCACGTCCTTCTCCGCCACGGTCACCGAGATCTCCCCCCACCCCACCTCCGATCCGAATGGCAGCCGGATCCCGTCAGCGATTATCACCGGCACGCACCCCAATGCCACTGATTCCACCAGCCGTGGGCTCCACGGGGCCCACCCCAGCGGGCACAGGCAGAACACTGACCGAGCTATCTCTGACTGGTAGCCCGCAAACCTATGCCTCCGCAGGTAAAATCTCCGGTCGCCGTTGTATCTCCTCCATATCGCCGTCCGCACCCTCCTTCAAACAAGAACAACACGGGGTCAAGGTCAACTCAGGAAGGAAGGGCAATGCGGTAAAATTAACCACAAATGAAAGCAAGATAATCCGACAGTTTCCAAAAGTGCTAAGCATGATTACGATTTTGATTACAAGGGAGTTAAATTCAATGATGGGATTCATTACTTGCTGTAAAACCGTCCGCTGACATTCTTCGGATGGACCTCCATTTTCCCCCTGAAAAACACCCAAATGTCTCGCCCTCCGTCCACCGGAGCTTTCTCCAGCGTGTTCTGCAAGCTTTCCGGCGACACGTAGGGTGGTATCACCACATTCTCAACGTCTTGACACGGGTGCTTTTGCTGGACACCGAATGTCTGTAATATAACCGAATTCTTCAATACTTCTGGTATCCCGTCTGCAATCGCCGCGTCCTCCTATTCAGACCAAAAAGAAAACAAAATGAGTTTCAAATGAGAGAAAGTGTCGTGATTTAGAACTCTGGAAGAAACATCAGAACGCTGGGGAGCGAAGGATAAGAAACTAAAATATCAAACTCACCAGGGTGTGAAAACAGGCCCCAAAGTCGTGCGAAGCGACGAATACGTGGTCGGACCCCCTGCTTCGATTCCAAAAATGGTATTCGGAGGAGATGAGTTTAACGGCGGAAGCGATAAGGGAGCGAGCGTGACCAATCGCCGGGAAGCCATTGACTGTACTGAAGTTGCAGGAGACGTAAACGGGCACGAAGAAGAAGTCAGCTTCGTATGGGTCAAATGTGCGCACGTCGCTCGTCAACAGGGCTCTGTGAATGGCCACTTCGGACGCAAACAAGTGACTGCTGCACCTCTCGTTGGAGAGCCAATCGGTATTATATTTCGGAGGCAAATCGTACACAAAAATCTTCAAATTCTTCAATCCACCTGTGATAATATGAACAGCCTTTGAGCAAAATTTGGCATTGTTAGAGGCAAATATACAGAGCAGAAAAGGTTGAAAATTTGGGCTTACCCAGCGAGGTTTGAGGCTTCTGGGGAGCCATGAAGGAGGACTCAAAAAGAGCACGAGACAGACGAGTGGATTGGGGATTGGAGACATGGGTTGTGTGGAGAGAGCTGAGCTGAGGGTGGGGATCACTGCCGATGAGATCGAAGAAAGAAGTAAAGGGAAAAGGAAAACCAGAGAAGCCATGAAATAAGGTGAAAGCAGCTGCGTTCTTGTTGCGAAGTAAGAGCTTCATGAGCACCCGGTTCTTGTGGGTCGTTCCGCCATTGCATTTAAAGATCAAAGAAAGAAACGGCAGAGAATGTGAGAGGTGAGAAGGGTGTAGAAGTAGGAGTAGTTGAGGGAGAGCTTTCGGATTCTGGTCAGGAAGGAGGAGGAGAAGAAGTAGGAAGTAAGGAAGAGTGAAAGGAATGTGAAGGAGGAGGGAGAGAATTTGTTAGGACTTCGTTTTTGCACCAAGAATAAACAAAAGGGTGGTAGAGTGTATTTTATGTAATGAAAAAAACTAATGGAACGAAAATCGGTAAAGCATTTGAGAGGGAGGGGCGTGGTAGGATGAGGTCGAGTAATGGGAAATGCTGGCCAATTATTGAAGCAGCATTTTAAAATGGGGGATTCAGAAAAGCGAAGAAGAAAATGTCGCGCAAAGAGAAGAGAGAGATAGAAGCAAGTTTCAGAGGTCACATGGCGATGGATCAGAATGGACTTCGGCGGGGCTCTCGGCTACTATGCCTTTGCTTTTCTCAGTCCTCTCACAGTTTGTCCTTTTTAACCCCCTCACATCAATTGGCCCCCATTGTTCCGTTGTCTTTTGTCCCTGTTAAAATTATTTCCCCAACTTATTAAACAGTACAGTCATTCAAGTTCAAGTAATTCAAATAATTATATAACCAAATCAAATTCATATTCAGAGTAAATTCTAATTCTACTTAATGAAATAATACATTTATTTTGTGTAGCGAAAATAAATAAACAAGCGTGGCTCTTCGTTTTCATAAGTCAGTTATGCAAAGTGTGAAAAATCTTAATCAAATGCAAATGCCCCTAACACAAAATTTAATAAGTCATACTACATGTATCCATAAATTTTTAATTAGCAGGTTAATGGCGTCTCATTTTCTTCAAGAGGATCTGAGGAGCTTGCATGTGAGATTTTCTTTGTTTTGCGTGAATAAAAAAAATAAACGTTCTCCCAAAAGTAGTTTGGGCTTTGGAGTTCGAGCGTAGGTTTCATATTTTCTGGGTGGTTGGTTTCATGTGAATGCTCTTGCGATTTTCAGTTATGTGTTGGTAGTATTACTAATAACGTCTGTTGTCCCGCCCCCCCCCCTCCCCCTCCCCCTCCCCTTCCTTCAAGTCCTGTAGTAGTTTGGCATAAAAATGGGTGTGGTGGAGTGAATAGGAGGCATATTTTGGTCGGGGCAATGAATGTGGCAAGCCAATGATGTGAGAAGTAGATATGACGTAAAACATGGTATTCATAAGAATGAGTATAGGATGTGTCTACCCATTGTTGACGAAGACAACGCACATACATCTTGCTGACTAAACTGGTTTCGAAGCACGTGATGCTCCGCAGTGGTTTTAATCCACTGTTCATTTGTTTTATTTTCCCAGTGGCTCTCTGATCGGGATAAGAGGATAAAGTACAAGTGATTACTAGTTGGCAACCCATGTGGATTAATAAAATAGTGGGGTGAAGACATGGGATGGAATTTGAAAGTAATGAACGAATGATGTGATATAATATAATATAATGGTGATGGAATTGGAAGGGGAAGAACACAAAAGGTTTGAACGGAAAAAGTGAACAATAAATTATTGAGATGGTGGGACTTCTGCACTTAGCATTTTTGTAAAGTTATTGATTAAATAGCCACTTTAATCGGTCTGGAAACACTCTTCTCGCCACTTAGCCTCGCCCACCGCTCGTATCAAATGAGACCCTGTTGCTGTGCGCACAATAATGAGATTTTTTTACGAATGTGACCACAATTTTGCTAGTGACGATATCAATGGGTGAAAATAGAGACGGGAAAACGGGCCGAGCCCGTCGGGCTGGTCCGTTTTTAAAGCCCGTTTAAGTCGAGGGCGGGCTTGTGTTTGGAGTCTGAAAGAGAAGTCGGGCTTAAAAGGGCCAACCCTGTAGGGCCGAAAAATAAACGGGCTGGCCCTATAGGGCCGCGGGCCGGCCCGTTTAGGCCCGCCAATTTTTTAAAATTTTTATATTTTTTTCTAACTAAAAAAAAGAAACCCTAACATTTTAGACATAGCATAATCTTAATTTTACTTATTCCAACCGTTCACATAGATAGCATTCACAAAAAAAAAAAAGAATCATTATAGTTGTGGGAAAAATAACCAAAAAAACGTGAAAATTGTAAAATAAAAACTAAACATATTCACAAAAATATATGTTATTTATAAGTTGTCAAAACTTGTTAAAATACTGTATGTGAATTTTTATGGTCTTTATTTGTTATTCTCCCATATTTTTATACTTGAAATATAATTGATCAAAAAATCTTTTGAACTAAATAAAGATCTATATCATTTTTATAGTTAGAAACAAATTTAGAACTAAGATGATAGACTTTTTTCTTTTTTATCGGTATGACAAATGATTATTCTTTATGTATACTATGTTTGTTAGTTAAACTTTTTTGTTAATTATTTATAATTAAACCAGATCATCTACATTGTAATTATCTACTGAACTTAGTGCTTATTTAATTGTTTACGTCTGTCCTCTATTTAGTTTGTTTATTCAATAGACTCTATTACACTGTGATATATGTTTAGACATGATGATATTTATATTTGTGAGTTAATTTATTTATATTTATATCTTTTATTAGTAACTTTATGTTTTTTTATTTTTATATTTGATAATAAAATATGCAAAAAAATTTTAAAATTTCATTTTAGTTAAAAGGGCTAAAAACCCGCGGGCCGGCCCGAGCCCGTTATCTCACGGGCCGGGCTTAAAAAATGAGTGATTTTTGGAACTCAAGCTTAAACGGGCCGGCCCGTTTAAGCCCGAGCCCGTGACGGGCCGGCCCGTTTTTCCGTACTGGTGAAAAAGGGTGGTAGAAACTAGAAAGTGATGGGATTGATTTCTGTTTTAATTAAGATCTTTCGTACACGGCAAAGCAGTGAGTGTATTTCACCTGAGGATGCACGCTTGCATGTATGCTGGGTGAAAAAGGAAGTAAAAAGTGGACATATATGGGAAATCCTCAGGTTAAGAAAATGCTATATGAAAACAACCAAGGTCTTTCCGACGCATGAATTGCCAGCGTGCCGTTACCATCGTACACCAAGTTGCAAGTTTCCACATTTCTGCGAGTAGAAAAGTATATAATTTGCTTTATAATTTTTCGTTTGGCATCTATCTTCCAGTAAAATAACTGCAGCTTATCTTGAAGTCATAATTATAACTGGACAAACAAAACGGCGTTTGGTCAAGGCAGTAAGATTGCACGGATGACCGTAGAGGGAGCGAAGTAGGTTATGATCTTCTTGGATGATTAGAGGTTAGGATGGAAAGGCACGGACACCGAGGTTGCAGTAAATAAAAGAACCAATAATTGGAAAATATAAGGTCCCAGTCTCCCACTATGCCCATTAAGTTCGCCTATTAATCATTCCTTCATAATTCCATTGCGGGGATACTGATTGTTTTCACCGTCTTTGATGATTTTTAGTTTGACAAGACTTGCCAATTCCGCCGTCACTCCATAAATCATCTCCGACACGGCGAATCGGTGATGCTGCTGAATTCTGATGCAATTGTGTCCGTTACTTATAACATTGCTTAGGGTGGCAAACTAGGAAGCTTCTCCCGCCCAATCAAAACAGCCACCTTGCAATGGTTAGAACGTTTTACCACCTTATTCACCATAAATTACTGTTTATTTAGTACTCACCAAACCCAATTTATATTTTTTCGCTCCGTTTTTTCTTCTTCTCCAACTCTCCAAGTAATGAATCTTCTTCGATAAGCAGCCGGGAGGTCATAATCTGTGTTAACAAATCCAAATTCTTAAACTTATAAAATAGAAAAGTAGTTGAATAAATAAAATAGATTAAAAAAAACCAATTAAGTTAGTTAACTGTAATAAAAAAATGTTATCTTCTTAAATATACTTACTAATCAAGTATATATTAATGAGAATTATCATGTCACGAAATTTGATATATATAAATTACTATAAAGATTACTATAAAACAAAATCAATAAATATAAGAGATAAAATAAAATAAAATCTTATATTTATAATCAAATTAAAAATCAAAATTTTTTATACTAACAAACAACTTTATCGATTCTTACATCGCACTCTCATTCTCATTTACTCACAGCGCCAGCGTGGCTAATATTGCTGCTAAAATATCTGTCTATCTATCCGTGTTCGCTTTGTGGTATTAGCTGTGGACGAGAGGGGACGACCCTACTTTTAAATTACACGACTGCTACGCTGTCCCCACCTGTCAAGACGTAAGCTTTGAAAAGGACACATGCCCTCTCCACTTTTAACTTTTTAACCCCCACTTCACAATCTTACCGAGTGACGTTCTTTACTGTGACGCAAACCCCGAAGAAAAGAAAGCACTCGGTCAAGATTTTACTCAATAAACGAATTAAAGAACTAGGCATACATTAGTATCGTCAAATTTATACCGAATCTTAAAACTGTAATCGTTTTCAAGTCCCTCCCCCCCCCCTCTCTCTCTACCATCGGACATGAGAAGAATCTCTAAAGGAGGTTATTTCTTTCTTCTGCAATCTTTTGTTCTTCCGGGTTCCGGCTTAAGTAGGACCACGGGGGAAGGGGCCCATAATTGCACGGTCTGACCAGGTACTTTTTAAGTTTTCATCTAATAATAAGGCTGCAGATCCAGACAGATTGGGAATCCCTTCAAGCATGATCTGTGGGACCCTTGCTTGTTTTCATTTTTCACTGCTCATGATTCATGAACCAGAGGGAATTGAACAGGGTCATTATTTGTAAGCCATTCAAGCAAACACAAGTTCGGCTGTGTCTCTATGAGTGAAGTATGGGAAGAAGTTTTTGTTTCTTGAAAACCCCACGAGAGTTTTTTCTTTCAAGTGATTATAGGGGTTTGCCAAACAAACAACTCTGTGAGCAATAAATCTCTGCACTGCGACATGGGTATTAGGTAACGTGGCATCTAAGCCGTAATGGTTCTGATGCTCTTGGTGTGTGTGATGAGGGGGCGATCTTTGGAACGTCCTCGTGATAAATTTGGGACCAAAAAATCTAGATAGAATGCAAATATTGCGGAGAATGGACAAAAAAATGGATGATAAAAAACGCCGCATAACAACACTGAAAAAGTGAAGAAGGGAGGGGGGGGGGGGGACCATGCGTAATAAAAACTGGAGGTGAAGTTAGGAGGCTCTCGATCATAAAAGACACCAGCATTTGGATATGACTTTAATATGAGGGCAAATGTGGGGTTGGCATGAGCTGGGTGAGCACATGCTTGCGCCGGAACAAAGACACGATGGGGCCCTAAAGTTAGAATCTGGGCAATTATTGGGCATGGAAAGGTGAAATTGTAAATCGGCTTTGGCTTTGGCTTTGGGAACATGTTCCCATGTGCTCCTCGCAGTATATGCAGTGATCACCTTCTTTATAGCCACTCTTCCATATTTCCATTGGCGTCGCCTGTATCTAAGGTCAATCAAAGATACAATCATACAAAGAAAGATGCGTGCATTCGCTTATCAACAATCGTGTTTTTGGGTGTCAGCCTTCAATCTTCGTAGCTGTGACCGAAACACTCTTTGTCAATTATCTATCATTATAGAGAATACGATGCTCATGGTTCAGGCATATGTGCTGCCCAAAGATAGGCTCCTTTTTATTATTATTTGTTGGTGTTTCCTTCTCTCGTAAGAAAAACACGAGAATATATTCACTCGGCTCCATCAAAGATTCATCTCTCGGCAAAAACGGTCTTTTTAATTCCAGTGTGCTATTCCGGTTTTTGAAATAAAAGCTAGTTAACTAATTTGAGTAGATCAAGAAAACTAATTAAGTTAATTATGTTTGATAAACAGATGTTGTTTTTTCAAAAATATCTTTGTTAATCAAATGTATTTGCTAGAATTACTATCATTAGAAGGACTATATTAAGGAAAAAAATAAATATAAAAAACAAAAATAAAAGTCAAACGAACTCTTATATTAAGAAGTGGAGGTAGTATTAAAAGTACCTCCTCCCCTATGGAATTTAGGACATCTTTCAGGGGATTAGTTTCGTCCACGTTATAAAAAACAATGAGCGCGCGTTCGTTATATATCATTTTAATGACACATTGTGTTAGATTTAGGTGATGACTCATAATCATTAAATATAGTAAAATAGAAGTTTCATTATATTAAACTGAGAATATTAATTTATGAGAACCTCTTTCAATCTGCAATGCACATATAAAAGCAGTAACTGTTTTTCTTAACATCTGATACAAGCAGTAGAGGGGGCTATATACGCGTATTAAGAAATGATTTTCTGTTTTCTGATTTTTTTTTTTTGGCGCATGGAATAGTTGAACAATGACAATAATCACAATATATCATGAAAGAAAGAGAAAACGAAGAATTAAATGGATAATTATAAAAGGTTTTTTTTTTGTCAATTTTTTTTTCCGTAAACATCTAAATGTTCATGAAAATTTATAATGAGGAGCAAATATTTATCGCATTTTAATTTGCCGAGGATGTTAGGAGTTAGAACTTGAACGAATGCACGTATCTTCATTCTTGAAGAGTCAAAGACGATATGGGCCCACAAACAAGAGTTGAAATTATCCATGGAAGATGGCACACATGTCGAGTGAAAACCATTAACGGCTGGTTGGTCTCAGCGAAGAGCTAATTGCCATGACCCTGTACTAAAGCCGAAGTGGCGGCTAATCGGCTATAATTTCATCGAAAGATAATTCTCAGCAATTCTGTACCATGTTGCAGGCTCATTAACTTCCACATGATATCTTCTGCTAAATTTGTGTCCGTTTATGATGTGTTATGGGGAAGAGACTGACTGCAGAGAGACGAGTCAGGTTTTGACTGTGTTTGCGAGTGTTGGCCGGCCTGCTTTATACCACTCACCACCAACACAAACCTTAGTGGGCTTAGGTCCAAACACTTTTTATTCCCCAGCTCACTGTGGATCAAATGGGCCCATTCTATCTTTTCCAAAGGGATAAAAAAATATCAGTAAATGCAAATTCCTCCTAGCTAAATTGTACATCCAATCTCAGTTCGTCAACGCATGGCGTGAATAAACTTTGAAGTGAGCATTTCAGTGTAGGCCCACGGAAGCCACATAATGCCCAATCGGTACCAAAAGATTGTAAAATTTCAGTAGAGTATTAAAAGGCTAAAATGAAATTATGCTTCCATATTAAATTACCAAAATGCCTAACCAAAAAATTATACTAAAATTCTCCCGTTAAAAAAGACGTTTCCTCTCCAACACCATCATCACTAGCGGCCTACTTCTTCATTTAAAAAAGCGTCCTTTCCGTTTGTTTTTTTTTTTTAGAGAATTACAGTAAAGTCCTGATAAAAAAAATTACAAAATAAGTTTCAGAAGTTATCATTATTTACTTTAAAACTTATCATTACAAACTGTTTAGGTTCTTATTGAAACCTTTTAATAATTATTTTTTCACTGGACTTGATTATAATTCTCCTTTGTGTTTTCTTTCCCCTCCAACATCAAATATAGACATATGAAAAACTAGATTTAGAAAACAAAGATCAAATTGTAGTTTTCATCAGCTTTGTGTATCGTTCTTTTTCCTCCCCAACACATCGAAGAAAACAAATATGAAAAAATAGATTTTGAAACCCAAAAACCATATTTGAAAAAAAAAAAAAAAAAGAATAGATCTTGCGCAATGACAAGCCATGACAACTTGCTAAGGGAGGGAGACAAAGGTGAAGGTAGATGAGCAAACAGAAGATGGCGAGAAAGAGGAAGAGAGATGAAAGAGAAGCCTTTGGCGAGGGAGAGAGTTCATGGATGCCATCAACAAAGAAGAATCCGGTGGATTCTGAGAAGAAGAAAGTTACCAATGTCGTTAGTCGTCAGCAATAACGGTGCAGAGAGGATGCTTGTTTTTTGGAGGGGAAGGGAAAAAAAAATCAGAAAGGGCATTTTGGTAATTTAATATTGAAGCATGATTTCATTTTAGCCTTTTAATACTTTATTGAAATTTCACAGCCTCAGGGGACCTATTGGGAATTGTGTGGCTTCTATGGGACTATACTGAAATTCTCCCAACTTTAAAACATATATTAAAAAAGAGAAGTAATTTGTAACAACATATTTAACTACTATCAATTTGATATGAAATAATTTCCCAATCCAAAGTGTTTCACTTGTTAGATTAAAGTATACATTTAGTTCTTTAAGTTTTGGTTAAGTTTTACTTTAGTTCCTTAGTTTATAAAGTGCATTTTCAATCCTATGATATTAACACTGTTAACTTTTACTAACGAAAAATGCTGACATAGTAAATTTAATGCTGACTCAATAATAAAATGCTTATTAAGGTATAATTAATTTTTTCCATGTTTAGATTTTAATTATTTTTTATATTTCATTGGCACCACGGGGGCCACACAGAAAGAGAACAATGAAACCCTAAATTAACAAAAGGACCTAATTCTAAGTTAAGAAAAGCATGCAACATCAATAAGAGTAAGGGTTATTGGTTGAAGAAAAAGCGAGGAGCGCTCATGGTGAACGAGATTATCCTATAACATATGTTAAATGGCCAAGTCACTAGTTGTTTTTTCAGGAGGTGCGTGGCGACGCTCGCGGAACTTGCAGGAGTTCTCAGTTGCGAAATTGCGTCCCCATATTACATATGTTTTTTGTTAGCAAAAGGAATAATGTTCGCATTATAATTTAAACAGTATCGAAATGAGTCTCCAACATTTATATAGAGTTTACTTATATTTTACTAGTTCTGGTCCTTCATATAAAAATGAGATTTACATTTAATTTGACATTAAACATAAGACTCCAATTCACTCTGTATCTCACATTTATTCATTTTTTATCAATTTAGTTCTTATAGTAGCTACACATATTAAATATTAACTAAAATGTTAGTTTTAACTAATACACATTCTGGCAAAAAAAAAAATGATAAGTAATGATGTTTTAGAAAAAATAATATATATTTATTATAAATAACTAATCTACCAAATTTTTAATATATTTAAATTAGTTAACTAGTTTTTGTATTAAGATTGGAGGTTGTATTTTTTTTCGTTTTGTTTTTCCAACGTTTATTTATGTATATGTTTTTTTTTTAATTATTTGTTGGCCAACGCTTTTCTATTTTCTTGTACGAGGACCAAGAAGATTTCCCCGCCAAAATGACAAGCAGAAGGCAATGGTTTCCGGCTTGGCCCGGCCCGAACTCTTATCCCCTATAAAATGCCACCAGTTTTTGAAGCGCTTTAACGGTTTGGCGCCTCTGAAACCTAAAAATACACTCTTTATTCAACTCAAATGATCGATATGGACGATCCTCTGGATTTCGAGAGAGAGGACCAGCTTCTCAAGGTTCCCTCCATCAACAAGAAAAGGTCTTAGCCTCGCTCACCCCCTCTCCCTCTTTTGGCTGCTGAAACTGGGTTTCAGGGGTTTCCCGTTTTGGTTTCCAGTTTCCTCACAGTGACGAACCATTCTCCTAATAAAGAACTTGCTCTGTTAGGGTTTCATTGCTGGAGTGTTTTTTTTTTTTTTAATTACGCTTCACCGACTAAAAAATTTAAACTTTGATGCTATTTCATTTATAGTGGTTTTGATAAATTGCACGCAAGTTCCCATCATCTCTGTTTTGTCGCTTTTACGCTAGCAAGTTATTAACACTTGAATTTTGACCAGGAAGAAGGTTATTGGGTTGGATGATCTTCTGAATGATCATTACATAGAGCAAAATAAGCTTAAAGAGAAGCAATCCAAAAAGGCCAAAGCCCGGAAGTACAGCCATGAGGATGATGACGAATGTGGCAATGAAGCTATGCTGTCTAAGATTGTTGAGAAATGTGAAAAGCAGGCAGAATAAATTTCTCTTATTTGTTTCTATTTCGCTGACATTTTAAGGTTGCCCTTGTCTGTTATGATGACTTGCTGTCCTATCTAGCGTAGATGAATGAATTAGGCGGTGAAGAAGAAATCTCCCACTGGGGAGTGCCAGCTTTTGGAGACCAGGTCATCAAACTGCGTCAAAACTCATTCCTTTCTTATATTTGGTTTACTACTTTATTTCTTAAGTTGTTTTCGTATTTGTGATGAATTAAATCTCATTTCTATGACTTGCAGAAAGCCTTTCCTCCTCTGGATTTCTCTGAACTTGAAAGTTGCAACCTCTTACAATCATTTGTGGACAACAAGCTTAATTCTGTAGTGGAATTGGCCGTAGAGAAAGGTTTCTCTGATGTCTATCTGCCGAAGCCATTAATATGCTAGTTTAACCAACGTATATTGTCGATTACTCGTATCTCGAGTCTTGCTAAATGCTGGTTTCAGCTGGTCTTATATCAGTATATCTCTTATATGCTAGTGCCTGAAATAAAAAAGCCTGTTTTAAGCATTACTTCAGTTAACCTGTTGTATTCCTTCGGGATACATCTTTTTTTAAGTTTCCTTTGACCAAATTCTTGAAGGTTTAATAATCGGTGGGTGGCTTCCATTTTTTCCCCCCTGTGCTGCCTTGCCGAAAATCAGTAGCTACTTGGGCCTGTTTTAAGCAGTGACTCAGTTGATCTCTTTTATTTCTTCACGAGACATATTTCTTAAAGGGTTATTAACCAATGGCTATTGGCTGGCTTGCAAAATTGGTTTTCTTGTGTCGCATGTAGAAAAATCAGTGGCTACTTGGGTCTGTCTTAACCATTGACTCGTTTACCATTTTGTATTACTTCAGCAGATATATTTCTTGAAGGTTTATTAATCAATGGGTGGCTTACACAATTGGTTTTCTTGTGTCACCATGTAGAGAAATCAGTAGCTACTTGGGCCTTCAATACAAGTGAGTAGAAGAATGGCATAGTGATTTTATTGGTATTATACATTGGGACAATGTTATCTTATGTCTGTGTAACACTGCTCTTTCAGTGTTATATTCAACAAAAGAAGAGCTGCAAACTTGTACCTGTGATTTTTGGTGTGCAATTCTTTCATCTACTGGAGGGGTAAACTTGTTTATGTATTTACTCAGATAAGGGATGATTACACTGTCGATTAAAAAAGACTCCAGAACACTTGTTTTCCTTATTCTTGGATGCTTTTGCATATTTGTGATTAATCATCATTCCTTACTAGGATGGCCAATTAACTGTCAAGATTGATTGGTTTCCCAATTATAAAGATTTGAGAAGAGCTCTTGACATCTATGGATTTCTCTTCAACTTTTCATCAAGTGCTGAAACTATGGATACAGGTAGCTCTTAAATTTGCTTTAGCTATCCAGGTTGATCAATCTTAGGTGATATATAACTCTTCTAAGTGAGACCTTTTAGCACTGTTGAATGCTATAGGCATCTAAGATATCAAAATATCTGGTTAATTGGCAGTTTATCTGGATAGTAGACACAAGTTTAATGATAATAATCACCTTTGTTCTCCAATCTCACTTGATTTAAAGGTGACTGTACTTCTGTGGCATGTCATGTGGAATTGCAAATATTGTACTGCATTTACTTGTGCTTCTGACAATGGTAGTCTTCAACTTTTCTAGATTCTAGTCCTGGAGGACCACCCCAAAATATCAGGGCTTGGGTCAGATTTGTAACCGCTTGTTGTCTGGGGTTAGATTCATGATGATGCCAGTGCTAGTCACTATGGGTTCTGACTATGATGGTGGCGATTTTCCTATATTAGTGATGTAATATGTATTTGAGAATCGAGAATTTTTTTTTTTTTTTTTTTTGGGGTATAGCAGATGCTTAATTCTTACTCTTAATATCCTACATTTTATTACATTCTCAAGTTTCTTATTGGAGTATTATTGGTGTTAATGGTTCCCCTTAGATGACTATGATCGAGCTTATTTTCTAATTTATGCTTGTTTTTGCCTTTCTTGCTCTTTTTTGTGCTCTGTTTAATATGCAGCGTCTCAAAGGATTTGAATTGCATTCAAGCTGTCGAATGCATTTCAGAAGTCAGCTCTCGTGGTAAACGACTCAGGAGTGCTGTTGCTTATGAAAGTCTGCTTCCTTGTTTTGATGGAGTATGTTACTTGCCTTCTTCTGCCAAGGTTAATGGTGCTTGTGCATATAAAGTGTAAAACGAGGTGCAAGTTACTGAAAGATAGCATATGGCTAGCAAGCTATTGATGGTGCATCTATTTTTACCGTTCTTTGTTTGTTGTTTTAATGCCTCACTATTCTTTGCTAACTGGTTACAAGTGTAACATAATTTAGAACACAATCCTTCTTGGTTTATTTTATAGTTGAGAAGTCATCTTTTGTGACATAAAATATATACAAATCATGAATTTTATTTTTCAATTTCCCTACCTCATCTATTTAAGCATTCATGCAAGTAAATGAATATTCGTGTCTATTATTAGTGACTGAATATTGGTCATTTTATTATAAACTGAAAGAGAATGAATAACTCAAACTGGAAGATTATGCACTCTGGCTAAATGCTAGAATATGTTGGAGGCTGCAATAGATACTAGCAAATTAATTCTGCAAGTGTGTTAGCAATTTGGTCCTAATTTCTTTAGATATTGACGCTAACTATTTGCATTTTTCCTCAGGTCAACAGTGGAGAGGAGATACTCAAATCACTAGCTTCAATTAATTTGAAAGACAAGAGTTGTGATCTCTTTAATATGTACATATACTTAGTTTTGGCAGAGAATTGGATCCTGTCTTGCCCAGAGTTTGAAGACAATCCAGTACTTTATGAGATGTTCTGTCGTTACCTTAAAAATTGTTCATGTTTAATCTCCAGCACAGACCTGCGCTCCTACGCATCTAAGGTTTGTAATCGAACTGTTTCTTATCTTTGGCCAATGATTTACTGACTTAATGATCTAATTAGAGAAATAAATCTTGGCCCTGCAGATTCGTAATAGAGCTGCATATCTTCTTCACTTCTTCATCCATAAATAATCAGTTTCAGGTATCTTCAGGACTCTATCCCCAGGAGACTTGCATATTCTTTTTGGCATAATTTGCTGAGATTAGCGTGGGAATAATATATTTGAATGAAAAGCATCAAATGATATAGTTCATTTAACAGAAGTCTTGCAGGCATTGGTGCACGATTTTCTTTTGTTTTTTGTTTTCCTTCCTTTTTTCAGCCAAGGATCAGATTGAGTCAGCAAAATTACCAGTCTCCTCCTGGCTATTTTTAGGAGATGTAACGTGAAGAAATATTCAGTATTTTCTCTTGGTTCATAGAGTGTGGAAGTACAAGACTATATATAGAGGAGGAAGAATAACCTACCAACTACATGAGTGAACGCTAATAGGGTAAATGCATAAATCTACCACCCAAGACTAATTTACTAACAAATGCATCAACTACCAACTAATAGTTTAACAATATTCAATAAGATATTTGAAGATGCCATTTACAAATGATCAGGTGATGTTGATACACTGGAATGGCGTCATCTGAACTGAATAGTTAGCATCTTGGACAGACCTTCAGAGGGAAAATTTAGAGGCTGTTTATTTCCATCATAACATAGGGTTCATCATCTGACTGTCCTTATAGTTCAACATCGCTGCCTTGCATGCCATGATTTCTTGTAACTTTTGCTATATGGTACTTTTAGAGTGCATCGCTTAATACTGCTGTTTATTTGTGGCTAAGGTAGAATGGACTACGTCAGAAAAATTATGTCATTTTGTTTTGGGTGTGGCATGAGATAACCAAATGTCAGACAGCGAAAACTTGGAGTTCGCCACATTGCGTCTGCGTGCAGCACTTTGCACCTCATTTGATCTTGACTGCCAAAAAAATGCATGCCTCTTTCTTCTTGCAGCTTGAGATGTTGGCGTGCCAATCTAAAGTCAAAGATGGTGCTTTACGAATATTTTTGCTTTTTGCCTGAGCTGTAGTTAAAAACGGTTGCTCATCCTAGATTGCAAATTTGTAATATGCAAGCATATCTACCTTTATCTTTTTCCTTTATCTTTTATTTTTATTTATGCCTACTAATTGTAACTGCTGTTTTGCTCGTGGTTTGATGCAATGGAGAAACTCTCACACTCAATCGACGATGACTGTCTGAGGTTGTTTTGTAAGCATTAAGTACGACTTCTGTAAAGTCATCAAGCTGAATCGATGCGTTAGCTGACACCTTGCAAATTGCAATATCGTCTGGCGCAAGAAATTGTTAGATTTCGTAATTCGTTTGATCAATCTGGGATTACCATGGCATACGAAGAACTGAGTTTGACAATATAATTGTAGTTTTGAGTTTGTTCTTCTAGAAGGTTCAATAACTGGTGCACCTATTCCTTCTAAAGAAATTGAAAATAAAGAGGCTGATGGGCCTAGATTCATACAAATTTCTCAGTGTTGGGGTGAAAAGTTTCATGCCTGCGCAAGCCCGCTCAAATTTTAACTAAAGTCGGAAACGCTTTGAAATATTTAAAATTTCCATTGGCCTACAGAACCTGCGTCTCTTCTTTATCTTTTTCTTCTTTTCTTTTCTTTGTTGTATTCCTTTTCCACATCATATTACAATCCTACCGTGATCTGCAATCCATGGATTCAAAGAACGATAGCAGCGGGAGTGAAGAATCGAAAGAAGCACATAGATTCCATCCAGTCTTGTTTTCATCTTTTCTCTTTTATCCATCTATATCCAGCGATTCCCATCTTTCTTTTTATAAAGTACAATCACTGGTCATCTTTTTTATATCTTTTTCTTGAACGCCAGTTACTAGTATGTCTTTCGCTTCAACTTCAACTCCATCTATATTTAAACCCCACTTCACATAACCTGGAAACGAAGTCCTATCTCTTTAAATTCTTTCACTTTCTATGAATCAACCGCTTAGGGTAAGTGAAGCTAAATTTGGTTCTGCATAGAGTTGAGTAGTGTGGGAATAGTAGGGGAGAGAATGTTGATGAAGAGATCTATTGCAAAGTTAGTGCGGAAGAAGCTTTCTGATATTACCAACGCACAAATGCAACCCAAACTACATAACCAAGCAGAAAAGCCTGCCGATAAAAACTGCAATGAGGAACTCTTGAAGGTGCTTCTTCTTCTTCTTCTTGCTGTTCTATTGGTTTTTGAAGTATCAGTAACCGTTATTTATTTAGTCTTTCAACATGAATTGCTGATGCAGGAAAAAGCTACTCTGATGCAGCTCCTAGCAGAAAGAGAGTATCCTGAATAATTTTTATAGCAAGATTTCTTACTATCTTTGTTATTGTGAGTGTGAGATTGCCCGTTGGGACTCGTGGTTTGACATGTGAACAGCAAATCACTTTCGCCACCAAGCTACAAGTTCGATTGGCAGATTTCTTACTATCTTTGATATTGTGTATGTTTTATCTCCATATATTTCAATTTTCGTCAAGATAGGAGTGAGTTTGTTTTGCTTGTATGATTGGTCAAATTTACTACCTTCGATTTATCCTTTCTGATTCGGAAGTTTAGTTTAGCCCTCAATGTTTTTTTGTCCTAGTTTCATTGTGTGCTTTTAATAACACATCATTCATTCCAATTCATGAAGTTAACTAACTCAAGGAGCATTGCATGACGCATATGTGAATAGATTTCACTCCGTCGTGCACCTTTATTACGCTTTTTTTTCCCCTTTAACTTGGAAAGTAAAATTATTGAACTCACTGGAGCTGAGCTGCTGAGGCTGCGAGCCAATGTAGAGAATCTAAAACAACAGAACTGGAATCTTGCTCAATCAAACAGCCAGATACTGGCGGTCTGTTTCTAAGCTGCATTGTGAATATCTGTCATTCATAATTAAGATATGTCATAACGGTATATATTGCTGATTTTGCAGGAGCTTAATTTAGGAAGGGAAACGGTAAGCCAAAAGCTTCTTGTTTCTTCCGCTACTTTGGAAGCTAAAGCCATGGTAAATGTGAACTCCGGTTCAAACTGCATTACCTTACAAATTATTTCTGGGATAATCCTTTCAGATGAAAGCTCTGCAGCATGAAATGTTATGTAAGGCTGCCTTGCTTCGAGGAAAGAACTCTGAAGTGAGGGTACGCTTCAAATCTAGGCTCGTATTCTATAGTCAGTCATAATTAACAACTTTCTTAATAGATTTGTATGTTGTAGTTAGCAGATGGTCTGTTTAGTTACAAATCTTATTTCCAGGGAATTGAAGATATGGACTATAAAAATGGTGGATCACTGTTAAAGGTGCCTAGGCTCTACCCTTGAGTTGCGTGTTCTTTGAGATCACTGGTGTGGGTTTTCTAGCATTGGTTTTAATGTAAATTGTTTTGATTGGCTTCAGGGAGGAGTCGAAAAGGCGGAGCAGCCATTGGTGAAAGCCAGCAATGTGGAAAAGCTTTGCAATAGGAACAGAAAACCAGCTAAAAGGAGTCGATGTAAATGCTTGCAACTTTGTTCTTCATCGACTGCCTCCCCCTCTCACAATCTGGTTTAACATTGCTATGCAACTGTTCAGCTACAGGTTCTGTTACTGCATCTGTAAAGGATCCAACTGAGAGCAAAGAGAAGAAAGAACTCAGGTTATGATGAATGCAATGTCATTACTGAGAGAACTTTGACATTTGAAAAGACTTTGGTGTGATAACTCCTTTTCTTCGGTTCTCAGGACGCAACTGAGGAGGCGCTCGACAAGCTTCAAAGCACACGAATACAAGCCTATGAAGAAGTCATCTGAAACAGAGAATGCTCGATCTCATCTCAGCATACTGAATTCACTTTGCAGAGAAGACGAAAAGTTTGGAAAACCCCTGAGAAAAACAGAAGAGAAGGTTCAACCACCCAAGGAGATTCCTCCGAAAGTCAAACTACGGAGATTAGAATAAATTCACCAACAGAGAGGGCTCCTGTAGAACCATATAGGTCGTCAAGTTTGATGTTTTTGAATCATTTGTGAGAGTTGTGTGTCCCATGTTCTTGTGTTGTTAACCCTTGTGTGTTGAAAAACCCAAAGTTTATCACTGGCTGAAGTGTAAAAAGTCCAAGTGCTACAGAATGACCAAACACGGTCCAGAGCCAAGCCCATGGAATGCTTAAGGGCTGTTAATATAGGCCATTGAAGTCCAACTTGAGGCTCAGACCCAAAAAAAAAGAGAGAGAGAGAGCGGTGAGATTGAAAAATAGAGAGGGAGGTTGGAGCGGAAAAAGAAGGAAAAGATTGGGAAGAAAAGGACAGGTGAAATGATATTAAACTTTAAGAGGGTGGGAAAGGCATGTGAGGTTATGTGATCATGTTTGGTTGTAATGACAAAGTGAGATGTGACGGAAGTGTGCGGCCATGTGAGGAGAGAGTTATAGTCAAGAGGAGAATCGTTGCGAGCAGAGAGCAGCAAGTCGAGTGTGGTTTGTTGTATGAACCAATGAGGGATTGCGTTACTAGATAAAACCGCGTGGGTCCCCTGCTCTGTCTTAACAATTTTTATCAACATGATGAGCAAGCAACGGTTTCCTTGAAGGCAATGATGTGCATCATGGTCCCTGCACTCACACCACTTTGATTCTGCTTCTTGCTTCGTCTTTAATCCCTCTTCCTATATATCCACAACCACACTCGCATCCTACTGTTTTCGATCCTTTGTTTAAAAAAAAAAAACATTTTTTGTGGGGAGATTTTACGGATTTTGTTTGGTACATTCACGGGTGGATTGAACAAATGATTGATTTGATTGTATTGGGTGATGAGGAGAGTAAACTGAAAACAGAGGAAGAGGGGGGTAAATTGAAAAACAGGGGAGAAAGCTGAAAGAAGCGTGCCTCTGCCGCCCTCTGTTTTGGGAATCATTCTGCCGCGCGTCTCCAGCTAACTATCCAAATCCATCTCCCACATGCTCTTGTTCCTTCTTCCCTCTATTCCATTTCATATCATCTCATTTCTCACAAAAACCCATTCTTAATGTTAATTTACGTGTATATTAATTTAAGCTGATCGATCCCCCGAAAAATTACCGTGGAAAGGATGTCACATAACAACGAGATATCAAAGTTGAAATTATAGGAAAAAGGAGAAGCATTAACGTTAAAGTTTGAAACTACAAAAATCTATTTTTGCTTCTGTACGTCTTGCATGGCGTCCAGATTGAGTAAAGGGTAAGTGTGAAGATCGTATCGGATCTTTTGGAAGATGGCGTTGTTGAAGTCACTGTCCTAATAGAGTTTTCGTCCATGGGGATGGGGCAGGCTCTCATTAAATTTAATTCACCATTTGAAATATCTGTTCATAAAATTCATATTAAAATCAAGATTTTTTTTTTGCCAAAAAAGAAAGACTCTTTTTTGGGAGGAGGGGGCCTGAGTCTTGGGTTAACGCCCGCTTGGGATTCCAAAGATCTGCAAAAACATGATATGATTGGGGGTTGGAATTGACGACCCACCTAAATGACTTTAATAAAAAAGGTTTGCCCCTAACTGAGCCTCCCTTTTTCCCTTTCTTAATTATTATTATTATTATTATTATTAGTACTATTTATTCCTTTATTTTCTTCCCTCCTTGTAGTTAATGGAGCCCACACGGTTTCTCAGTAAAGTTGACGCCTATGATTCTCCCTTCCGACAGGTAGTAGCCGTTACGACCCCACTTTTGTCACTTCATCAAAACTTAATTTCCCGCATAATCACTTGTATTTAGGTAATTATCCCTTACTTGTACTTAAGTAGTTAAGTTACAACTTGTTTATATATATATTCTATAAACTTTGAATCCCTGTAAGCAAGTAACCTCATGACATTCTCGTGTAAACAAGGGCTTGTTTATATTGGATCATTACATGCATTTACTGTAATCTTTTTATCAATTTGATTTGATTTCTGATATACACATCCATAATAATTCAGAGCCATTTGTGGGGGTCATGCATTAATTAAGATTGTGTAAAGATATGATCCGTATCGCTTGAAAGTAACCCGTGTCATTTAGCAGTTTGCGGATCATATAATGTATTTGAACAAGATCTGGAAGGCCAGGATTCTTATGCATAACATTTATTTAGATACGCATGCTGATGAATTCAAAGATTTGTCTGCCCCCATAAGCTCAAGTTTCTCTTCATTTGTCACTTCCACGCTATATATATACATATATAGCTAGATAGGTAGATACACAGGATCCACTTATATACACATATAAGCTTTATTAATTATAACAGGTCGTTATTTAACATCATTTATATACTATATATACACAAATGAATATAGAGGTCTGAGTTATATATACCCTTTTAACTTCCCAAAAGTTTTCATGCAAATTATAGAATATATTTGCAGTTTAATGTCAAATTTTTTTTAGTAATAAGGGTAAGAAACACCGTTTCCACAGAAACTATAAATATATATAAAAAGAATAACCAAGGGAATTATCAAGCTGATACCTAAGATTTGATGTGTGTGTGAGACGCATAATGTTTTTTTTTTTTTTTTGCTTATGGTGTGTGTAAAAACTAAAAAGTGGAAGGGTCAAAAGTGTAGAATATGATCCTTTTTTTTTCGGTGACAAGATTAAGAATATGACCTTTCCATAGTATAAGACTAGCTCTACTGGTCAAAAAAAAAAAAGGACTAGCTCTATAGGTTATATCAAAAAAAAAAAAAAGTCTAGCTCTATAGGTATATGTGACTCTCCTTTAACTGTCCCCAAAAAGAAATTCGTTAATTCTTTTTCAAGTGTCATTGTTCTCACAAGAGAGACAGTGTATGTCTTTGAGATCACTTTGGTGCTTAAAGCAATGATTCCAACTAAATCCCTCAGTTAATTATAACTATTTACTCTACACACACACACTCTCTAACTGTTGTCTTCCGCCCAACACAAGCAAGTGTGTAATTAAATTAAAGTGCCATTCCATTCCTTGTATCCTTAACTCAAGCACGCACCAATAAAGAGGGAAAAGGTAGCCCATATATGACATTAAAGCAAAGAAATTAGTTAACCACTGGAATATATTCACAGGGATATTGTAAATTTAATTATGTAGGGTTAAGTTGTCAAGTGGTTGGCAAGTACTGAAATGGGAGGTGATGGACAAAAGAGATGATACTGTGCCACCAACCCAATCTCTTTGGGTACCAACATTTCCCAACTAACCACTTTGTACTACATATATGGTCAGCAAAGCCAGTCCAAGTTAAAGCAACAAGATTCCTCAACAACTATTCTTCATTATTCCACTGTTTTTTGAGGACGTTCTCTTCTCTTCTTCCTTCACCTACGCCTGTTTTGTAGTATTGCTATACGAAGGAATGCTTATAGTAGAATTTTGATTCGTTTAAAAAGCTGATAAGGAAACTAGATGATAATGCAATGATGGAAGCTAGAAGCAGTTAAGGAAAACAGAAATAACTGTATGTGGGATATCCATAAATAGTAAAGTAAGAATGCAAGAGAGTGAAACATACAAGAAAGGAAAAATACCGAAATGTTGTACTTTTGAGGGACAGAAAACAAAAATATAACTGAGATGGCCGGGGGAGGTGAAGTGAAGGTTACTCCTAAGACAAAAGAAAATGGAGATGCCAAAATAAAAGCAGGTTGAAGCATGCACACTCATTCTTCATAATACTCATTTATATATATACACACACCCACACCCAGAGAGAGAGGCACCCTCACGTGCTCCTGTCTAATTTGGAATCAAACTCCTACACCATACCTTAACCTCCACAATTACCTTATATTTGGCCGACAATCAACTGCTAACCATATCTCAATTTGTATCCTAAGTGGGGAAGCCCCATATATCTATATGCCCTTTTTCTTAATTAGTTCATTTTCCTTTCTTTCTTTTCTTCTTTATATTTCAGATAAAGTTGTTGATTCTGTTAATAATTAACAATAATTCGAAAGCGTATTATCGAATAGCCTTTGTAGGCATGTAAAGGGTTCAAACTCATTGCCTCTGATCACTCCCATTACAAATCTGCACTCCACAATGACAACCAGATCATGTGTATGCTGTCTTTTGCTCTCAGCTTACATTTGTGTGTGTTGGTGGTCACTGAAGGGCACCACAAATACCAGACTGTGGGGCCTATCAGCAATGAATTGGTCCCCCCAGGTTAAGATTGATTTGAGAAGCTAATGTTAGCTTATAAAAGTGTACATGTTTATTATAATATTATAGTAGTACTATATATGATCACTACTGGGTGCTAAAATATTCATAACTTGGCGTAGAGCGGGCAATTATTCCTGTAATTAAACACATACAAGATAGTGCCCCATCATGTCTCCTTCTTTTCTTTATGCTCCCTTATATATATATTGTTTGCCTTTTCCCTTGACATTTCTTCTGCCCTTCTACAAATAACGCCAACCACATAATTAATCACTCTCTCTCACACACACACATCAGGCCATGCTATCATTATTATATCCAAGTTATATATATAATGGCTTCATAACATGCTTAAGGCAAACAATTATATAAGACTGAATGGACAATCCATAAGATTGTTCAATCTGATTCCTTTATCGTGTTCTCTTTTTTTTTAAGAGCACAATGAGTGTTTTAAAAGGTAAAGAAACATTTTTTTTAATTAAAACAAAAAGAGAGAGATGGGAAGGTTTAGGATAAGACGGCGTGCATTTTCTATATATAATTTTCCAAAGTACCATGGGATATATACTTTAAAAGTAAGAATGCAAGTAGGATGCTAGCTGCACGCTTGCTGGAACCTCTCTCTCTCTCTCTCTTGGGGGGGGGGGTATCGTATATGTTGACGAAGATTAAAAAAAATTGAGTAAAAATGATATCATGCATGTTGAGGTACTTTTAATAAAATTACTTCAATTTGACAATGTTTTGATATGACGTGATATAATTAGATTTCCGTTAATTTTTTTTCCAATTATGTCCATGCCTTCACTAGTTAACTCTATTTATATTACTGGATCAAGAGAGATAACAATGAAAATTAGATGAAGTATATGAATGGGTTGGTTTGTCGGGGTGATTGATCCTGCCAAAAATATTTAAAACTAAAAAGTTCTCAAATACTACCTCTGGTCCTCGCTATAAGACATTATTTATAATTTACAAATAAGATTTTATAATTAAAACTGAAAGTATTATTAGTTGCACTACTTGTTACTCCTCCTCAGTTCTTAAATTCCACAAGTGTGCAATGCATTAACGAGAAGAACACAAGGAGTCTCTCGAGCATGAAAACTGTAATTGAAACGTAATTAACAGTATTCACATAACAAAGAGTTTGAGGAATTCCTGGACTCTCAAAACCAGAGTTTAGAATTCAAAAATTATGAGGAGTCACCAGTCAAATATATAATTCAATGGTTTTCTACAATTACCGACATTCTAAATTATTTCTGACATATTACTGTATTCCATGAAGGACTTTCTGCGTTTATATTAGTTCATGGAGGTAATCGATTTAAACGTAACAGTAATACTTCAATCTGCATCACAAAAATAATAAACACAGATGACAATTTCGACGTTGATCAAAACTAAGTGACAGACATAAATAGTCTGCATGTGTTATTTTTGCAGGGAAATCTCATTTTGCTCGATCCTCTCCTTCGCATCGATAGATTGATTACGATTTCTGTTTTTGCTCTTTCATCTTTTTTCTTTCTATCTTCTTCTGAGTTATTTGTTCATAGTTGTTTTTTGTAAAAGCAAAAAAAAAAAAATTGGTCGCATCTATGGTAGGCGGGGAACGGTGATTTTATGGTGGGGAGGATTTTTCAGACGACGGCATATGGATATTTTCACATTGTAAATTAATTAATACGTTAATTAAAAATTATATTATATTTCTGCGGCTGTACCAAACAACGGAAACCGAACACGTGTCCTACGCTACGCCAGGATAAAACTTGTAGGGGTAGCCCTTCATTCTAATTCTAATAATTACTTAAATATATTAAATATGAAATATCATTGTTGGTCAAACAGCAGCCTCCGCGTGTTGGCAAAATTATATCTAACTGCTAAAGACCAAAGTTATGGGAAATTTGAATTAAACTCATAAAATCCACACTTATTTTAAAATTTTATGCTTACTATAAATACATCTTACTTGTTTTGGAATCCACCATTCTTCAGGGGGGAAAAAAAGAAATCCACGATTCTTAACTAATTTTAAAATAATATTTTCGTATTTTGTGATACTTTTTATTAATAAAAACATATCTGTAAATTAGTTGTAATTTAAAAGGGTTATGTTGGATATATTTTGGTTCAATACCATATGTTTAGTCTCTGAAATCTCTATGCGGGTCAAGATAAGATCAAATTTTAGGTGCTAAAATTACTGATCTTACCAAACTAAAATTATGTCAAATTTTAGAATTACAAATGATATTAACTCATATATATATATCATTATCTCTAGTTTTAATTATAAGACCTTATTTATAGTTTACAGACGAGATTTTATAATTAAAATGAGAGATAGTAAAAAAGATCCTTGATATTAGAAGGGTACATGACCATTCTTTGAGGGCAAACACTAATGGCGGAAAAGTTTGGCCACCAGCTCCTTTTTCTGACCAATTATCAGACCCATCCGCTTGACCCTTTCAGACAACTCATGTTGACATGTTCAGTGAGACCGGCCAAAGTTCCATACATGTTTAAAGGGTTATCTTTATTTTTTTTTTTATATATATATAATTCTATTTCTCATCAATTTTAAATACCATTCATCAAACTCAAAATGCACATGCAGGTACGTATGGCTTGTTTGGCTCATCCGGAATAATGAGCTGGAGAAAACTACGTTTCGTTTTTATTATTATTATTTGGAGGAGAAACTCGATGGGAGTATATATCCCTAGTCCAAAACGAACGTCAGGGAAGGGAACGTCACCAATTTGTGTTTTAATTAATTACTTCATTAATACGAGAACCATAAAATCCATTCCCAGGGCACGCTCTCATGATACGATATTTGAAATTATAACGTAATTTTCATCCTATTTAATTAACCAATTAATTAATCAAGCGACTTTTTTGTGTCTCTCCATGATTGCCCCTCCCACAAATGACTGCATTTCTAGAAGCGTGTTACCAATTGTCTAATATGCAAACATTCCGTTCAGATAATTTTGATTTAATCAGCCGTGCTTCCGAATTCATTATTATTGTTAAGTTATTCTGCCATTCTTTTCGTCGTGTCAATGCCAATGATGTCATTTTAATTTATTGAAACAAACCATATCATCAAGTGCGGATAAACTCACTAAAGTAAAATCATGATAAAATATAAAGTTTAAGTTACATCCAAATATATATCTTAGAAGTATTTTTCAGTACTATTTCAATACTTTAAAGTGTCGATATCTTAAAATAATTTTGGGTGCAATTTACCCATGAACGGCGGTCGTATACATTGCGCTAGCTAGCTAGCAGCCATGATCTGTTTTTGACAATAGGAACGGTATACGCGTTAAGAATAAATAACAACATGGAAGTAGCTTTTTGATTGAGTGGCTTGACGCTGCTTCTGGACAGCCAAGTTGTTTGATTGAATTGAGAGAGCCATTCTCGAATTATTCAAAGCATGAAAGACAAACGAGCGAATGAAGAGACGATCTCCCAACTTGTTTTTTCAACGGGGAACCAATTATTTAAGCTAGCAAACAAAAATTCCCCCCCAAATTTCCAGCAAAAGTTAAAATTAACTCACCTAATTAATTAAACTTCTTAAGAACAGCTTAACACGATTTTGTTGCTAATTAGTGATAAGCACAAGATGTCCGAGAGACCCAAGTTGCTCCGTTCCGATCTCGCTGTGAATACAATGCCAATAATGCATTTTCAATTCCGGCAAAATCAAACGACCTGTCTGGAACTCCCCAATTTACCAAGGGATTTATGAGAAATTACTTATAGTCCCAAATAGATATTTTTTTTAATAAAAATTTTATTTTTTATATAAGGTTTACAAATTATAAATGACACGATTCAATTTGTAAATATAAAAGTCTTATTACTTATAAATATAAAATTTTAAATTTAACTTGTAAATATGCAAATTTAATTTATAAATATGAACTTTTCGAGACTTCTTAATATTTGTTTAATTTTTTTCACTCAGAGAACTCAGGAATAATTTTCACAAATAACTCATGAGGCAGGATAATTCGCAAGGATAAGCATGCCTACCCAAAAATGGCTAAATATATCAAAGATATAGGAGCAAAATAACCGAAATTCTAAAAAATCCAATCAAGTCCCTTTTTTTTTTTTCCTCCTTTCTTGAAGACGAAAAGGACGAAGAAAAAGATGATTTGAGTGTAATGACTAGTGAGTGATGAGCGATGAGTCATTTTTGGGCATGCGGATGTCCAGTGCAGGTCTTGACATATTTTTGTTGTTATTGGCCCGTACTGATATTTGAGTCCAAAGCGGACACTGCAGTTTAATTAAGGCCACTTTCTGGAATTTTCTTAAGCTACAGTCAGCGCAAGTAACTGGAAAAAAGCAGAAAAATACAGGGATTAAGGAGACGACTTGCAAAAAAGCTTTAACCCAACGCCGCTAGTTTCGTATCTCCCTCCCGCTTTTATCGCGGGACTCGGTTTCCTCGCGCCAGTCTGAGGAGAGAGTTATATAGGGGTCCAGGAGATACACATATGGTGCAACGAAAACACACAGTGAGAGAGAGCGCGCGAGCGTAAGGACGTAGGAATTAGGAAATAGAAATTGCCTCCTTTTTTTGGCCTTTTGGCTTTTTGTGCTTTTTCTCTACCCCTCCGTGAGAAAGCAATCCAGTCTCTTCAATAGTATCTTGGACTTGTTCTTATAAAAGAGCTTCAACCTCCTCTCATAATCCCCCTAACTCTCTCTTTCCTTTCCTTCTGTCTCTCCCTTGCTCCCTCCCTCTCTCTCATATTATAAGAAGGAAGAATATCTTTGTTTCTCTGTTGTCCTGGAAACGCCATGGATACTCAGCGAAGTCCTCTTCTAAGTTGGGCCTACTACTGCCAGGGAAAGGTGGAAGCTTTCTCCTCAACTTCATCCTTTGCCGTTAAGTTTCATAGATGCGTATAATGTTGTTCGTTATATCTGGAATTTTAGGACTAATTCTTCGTGGTATTGTGAAACTTTGATTTTACAGCCAACGGAGGAGTTAAGGCAGTCGCTTTTGTACACCACTCTGGAGCTTGAGCAAACGAGGGCTGCAGTACAAGAGGAGCTCAAGAAGAGGGATGATCAGCTGCTCAATCTCAAGGATCTGCTCGACAAAGCCGTCAGAGAAAGAGACGAAGCTCACGAGAAATGCCAGAGACTTCTCTTGGAGAAGTTCGTCTTCCAGCAGCAGCAACACCAAACGGCTCCTCTGTCTGGAGTTTCTAGCATTGAAGATGAACCCAGAAGAGGAATTGACTCCAACAATGGCCTCTCATCATCCGACTGTGAAGAAAGCATTGTCTCTTCTCCGGTCATTGACCATGTGCCTCAGCCCCAATTGCCCCCTCCGCCGGCACCGGCGCCACCGTCTGTCACGCAATCCATGATTGAGCTTACGCCGGACAGGCCATTACCGGAAAAAGGCAAGCTTCTGCAGGCTGTGATGAAAGCCGGGCCTCTGCTTCAGACTCTGCTCCTGGCAGGACCACTTCCTCAATGGAGACACCCACCCCCACCGCTAGAAACCTCAGAGATTCCTCCGGTGACCATCCCGTCACCACCTCCGCCACCCCCGGCACCGGCTCCACCGCAGCTCCTCCATCAAGATTCCTTCATTAATGCTACCAACTGCGGAAGAATCAGTAGAAAAAGGGTATTGTGTGACGGCTCTGACTCTCCTACGGACACCAAGTACCAAAGGGTTGTACTTCACTGACCGCAACGAAGTCAGATTTACCCACATAGCTTTTTTGAAATTCATATATATATTTACAAGTTGATAGGATTAAAGGGTTAGAGCGACTGATCTAGCATGTGTACAGTGGATTGTTCTAGAAAGGAAGTTAACTGAGTGCTTTGATTTAGGCTTTCTAGCAATATTGTGGGAAGTTTGAAGAATGAAGAATTGATCATCGGCATTTTCTCTTCTTTCACCCTCAACTTTTGGCTCTTGAGGTGAAAGGGCGAGTTTGGAACTTGGGAGGTTTGATTTATCTATGAAAGTGTAATGTAACTAGGATACTGAAGTTCAGTAAGTGATGTGAGAGTGTGTGTGTGTGAGAAAGTGAGAGAAAGATTGATCTAATTAAGATCACATCAAACAATTAAGAAGGATATGGGTGTGGTTGTGGAGTCGTTGGGGTTGGGAGATTGGGTGTGACCAACAACTGGAGGGAAAGCCGGGAAGGTAGTTGAGCTCTGCATGTCGGGTCGGGTGGACCCACAAATCGGAGCATGGACTCAATACTGGCGTGATGTATGATTTATATATATAAATATATTAAACCCGATTCTCGGGGGATTCATAACCATTAATGTTTCATCTTTTACTATTTTGTGTATTATAGCTTCTCTCTTCCATCTGCCCCCACTGAGCAAAAAGAAAGAAAGCATAGATGGTACCAACAAACCCCCCGGAGGGGGGGGGGGGAACGATGATATAAACAAAAGGGAAAGCATATAGAAAAGAAGAATAAATAATTTATCCCTCAAAGCAGCTGATGTGTCCCGCAGCACATGGGCTCTGTTATTCGTCCCTCACATTCATCACTCGTTACTTCAGTACAATTCTCAACTAAAAAACATGCCGTTGCCAAACTTTTCCTTTTTGTTGTGTCTTCTCTCGTGATTGGAGAAGACAATTAAACTTGAGGCACTTAAAAGGCGAACAGCAAATATCCTAGTTTCAATGCCGAAGCTTTTTGAGTGGTAACAAAATTAGAATATGATGGCAATCGGACCAGAAGATTACCAATGGGAAGACGATGACAGCTAAAGAAGAAAAGATTGGGCGAATAGGAAGTGTGAATTGAAGAAATAGTGAAAATGATGTGAAGTGGAGAAAGGGTATTAGAAAAGAAAGAAGCGAGGTTGGTTCTATGGAGAGGCGAAAACAGAGAGAGCATGCAAGAGACGGCAAGGGAGGAACTAGGAAGAAGTCAGAGAGAACAGGGGACAGCCATGTTCGGGGCAGGGGACGAGTCCGCTGATGGCGCGACCCGTATCCCACAAGACAAAAGATGTGGAAACTCTGGTCAATTGGAGGCTTTCAACCCTAAAGCCCCACCATGTGACATCGCTATCACAGTCTTTTAGTCAGTTTACCCAACAAGCCCAGTCCATTGTTACAGCGGCCCATCTCTGAAATTACAATTCCTGCCTGTCCCCCTCTAAATTGTGCCATTTTTATCTCGTCACCATGAGATATCAAAGTCTACAACAAGCTTTGGTATTTTTGAATTTGGGAAGATTCGAACTATTTCAAATTTCACATAATGTAAATTTTTTTTTAATCTAATTACAACATATAAGTGGATCTCTTGCAAATGTTTACATACGAACAAAATTAAATTAAAAGGAGCTGAGGATGTCATGTGCTTTAAAAAAAAAATACATGGTTGCATCACAAAAGGTTTAACATATTTAAAGCTCATTCTTTTAAGTTGAAGGAGTGGGGATTATATTCGCGACCTCCCGAATATTCATGAATTACAAAACTTTTACTCATTCTCGACCATCCAACTATGTCAAAATTTTCAATTATTGTACAAAATCTCACAACATCATTGAAAGATTTATTGCGTGTTTGATTTGGTGTCTGGTTATAAGCAAAAAAGTTTTTTTTTTGCCAAAAAAAAAAGTCCATCATGTGACGTATATTTGGGTTCAGCTCAAGCAAAAACAAATGAAGTCTGAAGGCGGGTGGATTTTTTGTTTTATTTAATTAAAACTTAATAAAAATGGGAAAATGTCCGAGTTTGTAAGAGAACTTGAATATTGACTCGTTTTAATATCCGCTCGAATGTCATATCAAATAATAAATGTGACAAAATTTATTATTGAAGTCAAGCATATGAGATGATGAGTAGGATCGAATTGAGTTGTGATGATGGTTAATACTAGCTCCGGTCCTTAATATAAAAGCTCATTTGATTTTTATTTTGATCCTAAATATAAGATCCCAATTCATTTTGTCTCTAATATTTATATTTTTTTTCCTAAGGTAGTCCTTCTAATAATAATAGTTCTCACCAACACCTTTGATTAGCAAGAATATTTTTGGAAAAACAACACCTATTTATTACAAAGAATTAACTTAACTTACTTTCTTAATCTCCTTAAATTAATCAACTAGCTTTTATAATTAAGATTGGAGCTAGTAGTACACAAGGAAAGAGGTGAGGGCATTCCAGAAAATGGGGAAGCTTGAAGAAGAACACATGCTAGCTATGTAAGCGTTGACTGGTGGATTTGCCCCTCAATTCATAGTTCAAAGCAATTAGGCAAAGAGCCACTTTTGCATTTGAGGACAATGCGTCTTTTTTACGTCAGTCTTTCTGCCGCCTTCCCCAACACTCCATCCCTTCCCATGATCCTGATCCTATCCTATCCTATGAAATTCCAGTTTCACTCGTGCTTCATCCTATTATTACTCCTTTCATCCCCTTCACTGTATTCCTCTGCTCTGCTCTGGTCCACTTTCTTCACTGTTCTTTCAACACTTACTATAACATTACTCGCTTAATAACCTGTTGGTTATTCTTCTTAATTTGACCGCTCATTCCCTGTTGAGTTCAATCTCTACATTCTTTTATGCCCAAAAAGGGAGTTACTTGTCTCGGCCCTGCTTCATAAGTAATGACACTTGTATCTATATTCAGTCAAACCCCATCAATTATTATCAGTTTTTGCCTTACGAGAAGGGTAATTGAGTGGTCTCCCTCTCTGTCCTAACTCCTCGGATTCTTGTCTCTGTCTCCCACTTGCTTCACTTGCCTTGAAGAACGGAAACTGGTATATCAAGGATCCATGCATACCCTACTAGTGCAAGTGTATTCTTAATTAAGCATGCCCCATAAAACTGATGACCCTCACCTACGCAAAAACTCTGCTGGCAGGAGAGACTTCCAGCAGAAAAATTCTATAAAACCATATAAATCATGCACTTGGGTCCTGCTGCTTCAGAATCTTCATTAGAAAAGTAGAGTTCTTTGTGGACCTTAAATCAGGAAAAATAAGAACTTTCTACTCTGACTCCATTTTGAGCGCTCTGGTGAATTGGCCACATTCATATAATCAAATCAGAACCAAGCTATTCCATATTTCCAGGAACATCATTTTGATTGGCGACGATCTCATGTGCATTTAATGATTAGCATGACGTGTCTATAGCATACAGAGATCGTGGATTACCCTCAAAGTGAAGGTGTCCACTTTCTTGTCTCTTCAATTAATCATGACAGTTTGAATATTTAAAGTCTGGATGAAGAATTTTGTAATACGTGTGGCAACGGCAACCCCTTTGTGACCGATTAATTTGTTGACGTTGGAATGGTTTTTTATGTGAAACCAATCGAATAATCAATAAAATATGTCTCATTAAGTTGCACAAAGAGGCTTGTTTATATAATTTGATGTTCACATGTAGTTGAGAACCAGTTGCTGGACGTAGAATTAATGTATGGATATTCGGCCATGGATCATTAATGCGCAAGCAGCTAAGCAGTATTCAATGATTTTAGCTGTGTTCCAACATTAAATTGCTTATCCATGCTTATACAGATTGAAACCCTCAAGTTCTAAACTTTTATCGCCTCCTCTTCTTGGGATTTATAGTCACATAAACAATATTTCTGACATAATTACTATCTGCAAAATATGAACCCTCGTTAATTTGCTGGGATCGTAAATGAATACCACCCTAAGATGCATGGATATTGACACACCACATGATATAGTAACAGTTTGAAGCGCTGTGAGTATCAAATTTGAATATCAAAACAAGTTCATACACAAAAAATTCGATACTGTATTATTTTAATAATCTGGCTTCATGGTTTTCCACTATAGCACGTTTTGCATATGCTTCATGCAAGTAAATAGTATTATCGGTTAATTGGGATGCTTAGATTTGTTCAATTTTGACTTCAGATCAGCCCGACATTGCATTTAACTGGTTTCATTTCTGATTTAGTAACCTTGGCGGCTTTTATGACAAGTCAGTGAATGCATGAGCACAAGTCGGGGAAAAGATTAAACTTGTTTTGCCCCTTAATATTGTAGTAGTGAACAAGAAAGTGAATGAAGTTGGTAGGTTCACCGTGAGATTCATCCGAAAATTAAAACAGAAAAAAAAAAGATCATGCTTTGAAGCTGTATATTAATTCTTTTAACTAATCATTAATAATAAAATTCTCCTTCCCTCATTAGTCACCCTAGTGATCGGAACTTGCCAACAACGTAACAAAAAGAAGCTGCAAGTTGAAATCTGTATCCAATGTGCTCGTATGCAACACGACTTATCGCAAATTACATGCAATTAACTTGGACTCAGTGTCTTCCAATTAACCTTTGTACTTGAAGCAAACCTAGTCACACAATTAAGGATACAGCTATGTTGGTAACTAACTAATATTAGTTCATGTACATTATGCAAAGCATCCACCTTGCACTTGTGCACTATTACGGCATTGTCAGTGTCTGTGCGTCCAACGCAATGTATTCATACCAGGTGACAAAGGAAGAGAAAGAAAACTAATTTTATTGTTTTTAATTATCGATTGGGCCTGCTTTTAATTTCATTGGATGAAGTAAATGGAGCGAACCTATTCATCCAATGGAGATGGCAATTAAGGTGATGCAACTATGTCGTTTTTGGACAGTTAGGTGTTCTGTATATTTTCATCTGGTTAGGTGAGTTAAAAGAGTGTCATCGTATCATGATATTCTCACTTACCAATTCTGCATTTTGCTTCTTCTTTGTTTGGATTCCACACAGCTTACTTAAGGCAGTTTAACTCAGTTGCAGTTTCTGGTCGCTTTTAATGCCCCTTCGTTTTCTCACCACTCACGTTTTCTCTTAGAAAGTGATTTTCACTTTCAATCTGTATAATATATGGACTCCAGTCTGGCCAGTGTTTGGTGATCATTAATGAAGAGAAAATGGTAGGGAAAAAAGATGAGAAGACAATAAACAGAGTAGGTGAGGGAAGGAAAACCCTACTTGAGATGTCGTAAGTAAAATCATGAGGTTTTTATTATATAAAAGTCATCGGAGAATAATAGCACCGGAACCTTAAAAATTAGTCCAAAACAAAACTTCAACTAAATGTTCCACAGAGGAACCATAAACTGCAAAGAATGTGACCAAGCGGGAAGGTGCCTCTCACGGAACAGCCTTTTAAAAACAAAGCGACAAGCAAACCATGGCTTTCAGAAAATTCTTTAGTTTGAAGTTTCTTTTGCTTGGAATTTCAAATATAAAGTGGAGAAAGCAAATGAAGGTAAAAGAAAGATATCTCTGCAAGATATCCTTTAACTAAAAGGAAGGCAGTGTTCTTTCTCATTCACGAACTGGTCTGCACTAACTCAATATTCTTCCCATGTTATCAACTTAAAGGAGAAAAAAAAAAAGGAATTTCCGCAGTTGCAGAAGCAGGTTCTGATATGGATTTCTTACAAAGAAGGAAAGGGAAGTTAGGTTCGTGTCATTAGATCTCTGGCACGTGGCTTGCTCCGCACAAGTTATGCTAATTCGTCTGAGTCTCTTTCGGTCACGTTACTAGTGCAAAAGCTCATGGGACTTACTCTTAATAATGCATTTCAATGTTTTATGATGGCTTTGGTATATATGAACATGGTCAGAAATGAAATGGTATATTGAATACTATAAACAATAATTTCTTTGCAAGAAGAGAAGGCCGGCAACTTTATTCCTCCACAAAATAATGAATCATGTATGAAGGTATCAGGCTTTTGGGGCCAAAAAAAAGAAAAGAAGAAAAGAAGGGATAAAAGCAATTTAAAACCATGGCATGTGAGGCATTTGCCGTTAATTCAGCATGGGAATCTTTTTGAGAATTTTATAAGCTGCTTCTGCTTTGGAGGGATATTTTGAGATCAAGTAGTTCATCGGGGATGGATATTTAAAAGAATTCAACTCCTTGTGTGAAGTGGATGTTTGTACCTGATATTTGTTTGAGAGCTGTGCTCCCCTTTCTATATGGGAAGAGAATATAGAAGATCGTTATTTAATATTTAATGGATCTGGGTCCATGCAAATAATCAAAGAAGAAAAGGATTTAACATAGAGGGTGTGAGTTGGCCTCGCTGGCAGCAAATCAAAATCCCCATTCCTTGTAAACAAAACTCAATTATTTCTGTTTTCTCTGAGAGGGAATAATTTCAAAGAAACTTACTGCATCGGATTCTAAATCATTGTTTATAGGCTGTAATGATGCTTGTCCATGCTTCTATTCACAATATAAGTTTTCTTCTTCTTCTTCTCAACTTAACTTGATTTAAAATTTAAATACGGTTTGATAACATTTAAAGCATTTAATATTTATTTTTCCGTTTTGCTTTTCTATATCATCAAAGTTTCTAAATAATTAATTTATTATAGGAAATGTTAAGAGTATGTTCAGAAAGCTCTGTGAATTTTTTTTTGCATATTTAATGTTTTAATTAATATTTTTTTATTTACGTGAGATGAGTTAGAGTTACATTGTGCACGGGAAAATTATATAATTAGGCCATACTTGGCAATTATCTTATTCATCACAACTTTAAAAAAACTCGAATTTAAATAATAACTAAAGCAATAATTCATGCGTATAATTACACAAGAATAGGGAGTATATATTGCTCTTTAATAATTGAATATCTATATCCGCTATGAGTGTTCGGTGCCTTGGTTCCATCAAAACCCGAAGAAAAATAGAAAAGTGTGATAAATTCAGTAACATGAAAGGAGAAGCTGGACTTAATTATTATTTAATAAAAGTAAAAAGGTTGTTAATGTATTCAATTACTCCATCGGTTTGTGCGTCAGACAAAATTTATTTATGTTCAATAATAACATTATGTTTTATCACAGATTTTATATTAATATATCAGTGGTCTAATTTAAGTAAAGAATTTCAAAAAAAGGAGGATGAGCTATCAAGGAGGAGTGAGAATGGAGAGACAAAACGAGCTGTCTTGTTTGATATGATTTTGATAAATACTTGAAGTCAAAAACTTGGGGGATCAAGCGCGCGATTTGAAGTAGGATGGGCAAAGGTAGAAGCTTGTGAAAAAACAAGAAGACCGAAAAGTAACATAAAAGCGGGGAAAAGGGCAAAAAGCAGAACAAGACTTGAAAAGACTGAGCTTCTCACACAGTCACACTTCTCCCAGCACTTACAAAGCAAAATCTGCCAAAATTATTTGTAAGCTTCTCTCTTTCGTCTCTCTCTCTCTCTGTTTCATCGCCTTCTGTACCCATTCCCACCACACTACCACACTGTACTGTCTTTATCTCAATGCTTTAAATGCGGGCGTCCGTTTCTCAACCTCTCCTCCCACTGGTAACGGCTTCTCTCCTTTCTTGCTTTCGGCATTCTTCCCCGCTTCTTCTCTCCATAATCTCTATCGTACCATCGCAACTCCTTTACCCCAACTTCGAATTTTTTTGCCCCAATTAGTGAGAAAGGTGGAATTTTCAACTCAGTGACGTTTCTCTTCGAATTGAAGATAAGTGAACAGTAGGGTTCTTCTTCAGGTCCAAAGAAAACATAGAGGAAAAGAAGACTGTGGGGCTTTGATCGAGGAATCGCAGCTGAGAGGTTTGAGTTTTTAAACGAGATTCCAATCTGCGACGACTGGTCCGGCTGCGGTTCTGGATGAGGTAATGGACGCGCGAATGAAGAAGTACCGTCAAGTGAGCCCGGAGAGGGCTAAAGTATGGACGGAGAAGTCACCAAAATACCACCAGAATCGGAAAGTACCGGTAATTTACTACCTGTGTCGGAACAGGCAACTAGAGCATCCTCATTTCATGGAGGTCCCGCTTTCCTCTCCGGAAGGACTATACTTGAGAGGTACTAAAGAAATGAATGACCAACATGCTTTTTGGCTTTATTCTCGTCCGTTTTTGGTACCGGTGTATGGTTTTGAGGAATTTTTTGCTTGCAGATGTGATTGATAAGCTCAACGCTTTGAGAGGTCGAGGAATGGCTTCCTTGTATTCATGGTCATGTAAGAGGTAAGAAAAATGCAATATTTCTTTTTTCCTGGTGTTTAATTTACATGATGCGAACCCTCTTGTAAAACATATACTGAGGACGTGTAAGCTCTATCCTTCATCCGTCTTAATTTAGGACTTGGGATGAAACTATCAAGGTTGTGATGACTTGAGCTTTTAAGTTTTTTCCAACTCTACGGCCGAGTCATTTAATATCGTTCTCATCATAGACTTATATCTCAATGATGTATTTCAGAAGCTACAAGAATGGATTTGTGTGGCATGATCTCTGTGAAGATGATCTAATTCTGCCAGCCCATGGCAATGAGTATGTCCTCAAAGGGTCAGAGCTCTTTGAGGAATCCAATTCAGGTAAATATGATAGCTGCTTTATGTAGGTTGTTAATGAACCAATGCGTGAGACATTAAACATTGTGATTTGTCTTACAGATCGTTACAGTCCCATTGGCAATGTCAAACTGCAAAGCCTGAAGCAGTTGCCGGAGCCAGCTTCTTCTAGGAGCCATGATGAAGCTTCCTCCTCCTCTAGCTTGAACGGGAAAGAGACAAGACAGTCCCAGGATGACGAGCTTTCCCCAGGACAACATACTGGTTCCTCTGATGCTTCTCCAGAGTCTAGGGCTGGAAAGAGTGGCACTCTTAGCTTGACAGAGTACAAAATCTACAAGACTGATGGATCGGCTGATGCATCAACTCAAACCGAAGAAGGTGGTGGCAGACATAAAACACTGGAAACATGCACAAGAGGCGTGTCAACAGATGATGGGCTGTTAGAACCTGAATGCTATAAAACTGGTCAAGCCCAAGCATCACAAGCGAAAGATAATTCAGAAATCTGTAGGGATACAGTTTCTCCTCCTCCCTCAACTTCTAGTCCACTGTCTTCTGGTGGTAAAACTGAAACTTTGGAATCCTTAATTAGAGCTGATGCTAGTAAGATGAACAGCTTTAGGATTCTGGAACATGAAGATATTCGGGTTCCGACTAACACAAGACTGAAGGCCTCAAATGTGCTGATGCAGCTGATCTCTTGTGGTTCAATATCTGTGAAAAATCACAGCTTTGGTCTTATCCCATCCTATAAGCCTCGGTTTTCCCATTCAAAGTTCCCTTCTCCGCTGTTTTCAACTTCTATCATGTTGGGTGAACTTGATTGCCTAGCAGAGAATCCAAGGCTCATGGCTCTGAGATTGGAGGACAAAGAATATTTTAGTGGGAGCTTAATTGAGACCAAAATACCGAAGGAAGAAGCAGATGGACGTAATGTTCTGAAACGCTCTTCTTCCTACAATGATGAGAGGTAGGCTTTGCCTTCAACTCTTTTGTTGCAAAATTACAAATTAGCACGTAGAAGAGTTATTGCTTCCTTCCCTACAAATTATGGTTCCGGCAAATCAATCCAATCTTACAACACTGGACGGTGTATTCCATGTTTAGTTACTTATACCACTGATTGCACTAGCATGCTCATTTGAAGCTGAGCTCCCGAGGGATGATATATCATATATAGAATGATTGATTTCTGTTGGGTTGGCAGTACTGATTTTTGGATCGTAGTCAAGATTCATGATAAATAGTGGATGAGGGTAGACTAGGCTATAAACCCAGGTGAGTTGCAGCTTGTGCAATAACCCCCCACCATTAAGTGACTGTTTATGCAAAAACAAAAAATATATTGAATTGCATCCTTTTCGCAGTCCAAAGCTTTGTTTCAGTGAGAAGACTTATTGTTGCGCTTTACTTTAAAATTTGTGTTGATGCTTTTCAATGATTTTTTATTTATTTAATTCTATTAAGATTTGAAATTTAAAATTTGAATGGTTGAACATCTCATACTTCGGATCACTGTGTTTGAATCTGTTCAAGGTGTGAAATGGAGAAACTTTTATTACGACCTATTCTTCTTTTTTCTTTTGTCAATGCCTTGTCAGAGGTAAAGATACTTTATGGTATGGTAGAACGTCACTGGACATGGATCCTTCAGAGGCTAAAAACTGCGGCTTCCTCCTGTTCTATAAGTTATGATAAATGAATGGTACAAGTCCTTCAAGATTCTAGTATTATCATGCCCCCATAGCCCCTCCCCGTTCTTTCAAAGGAAAACAATGCAAAGGAAAACTAAACAAAATATACAACAATAGAAAGAAAAAGAGAGGAACAGAGGATCTCTGGAATTAGAGCATAGGAGGCCCTTTGTTATCAGGTTATATAGCTTGCCTCTCAGAAACTACACTAGCCAATTGGATGATATCCACTGTACCAGGAGTTGATATTTTAAACCTCATAGAGTAAGAAATTGACTTCTCTAAAATAAAGTAGATATTTTATTTGCACTTGAAGAAATTCTCAAGTCGGGGGCAGATTTTCCATTCAAGTGTCTATAACTGTTTTGAAAGACAAATGAATTGATGGAGATTTCTCTTAAAAGACAATGGACCAGTAATTATTACGACTGGCTTAGTAAATTCTTGCTTCAGACTTTCCTAATTGGTTTGGGTTGTTATCTGAAATGGTTCCTCCATAACAAATCTAGACTTCCCTAATTGGCTTAGATTGTCATCTGATTTATTTATCATATCCTGATAAATGTTCCTCTGTAACTAATCTTAGCATGCAATTGTGCAGCAGTGCTTGCAGAGAACTCAATTCACAAGATGACAAGGAGGAATCATCCGCAGGACATTCGAAATGTATTCTACGATCAATCAAGGCTTCACTGAGCAAACATCCACGAAGTGAATCCATGAGATCCCCTGTTTCTGATGGACCAAGAAACTCCTCGGATAGAATTGATGGCAAAAGCATATCCCCTGTGACATCAAATGGCAGCAGCAAGAGGATAACTGAACCCTTAACGGGCAAAAAGCTGTCGAAGAGGACAGATTCATGTAAGGAAGAGGAGGTGGTCAAAATTGAAGAAAGTTAAGTGTTGACTCTATCTTGTTTCTCTTGACGTTATTCATTGTTGGTATGTTTTCCAGGTTTTCTGCAATATTGATTGATAATTTTAAGTTTAACACAACAGGCTTGCTTCAGGAGCTCGGATTATAATCCACTCTAAACCATCTTGCGAGACAGCACCAAGCAGCTCTTGAATTTAAAGTTTCACGGGTGAGGCAAGGGGAAAACTGCTCGTTTTCAGCTTTATTTTGAATTTAGCATGATGGTAAATATGTTGGTAGGTCCACTTGACAGTCTTGTAAAATCTATATAGTAGATACCTCGGTGCAAAGGAAGGTTATAAGGCCGGCGTGGTCCTGGTGGTCCATTTCCTGTAAATTTTTTGAGCAGGTTTAAGGGTGATCGCTCACTTTGTAGTAACCTCACATTTTTTCCCCTCCCACTTGAACAACATTTCCAATATTCTCCTATTAGGCTGTTGCCACCTTTAGTTTTATTGCATTACCAAGGTTCCAACATGTCAGAAAGCGTTGGTTCATTTTCGAACCCCTCTCTGGGCATTGGTGCTGATCTTGCCAAACATGAGTTAACCCTCTGTCAGCATCACTCGGATAACGACGCTATTACAAAAAGTTTTTAAAAGCTCGTAAAAAAGTTCTGTATTTTTATATGTTTTGGAATCAAAGTCGCTGTAGACGATTTGAACTTGACACTTTGCTGTTTGTGGTCGAGTGAGTGGCCCAATGAAATGATCGGCAATGATGACCAAGAAGATGATTGGAGTGACCAAGTCCATTTCCATGATGCTACTTTCTAAGTCCTTTCTTTTAAGTAATAAGTTAATGTTTTCTTCTAAATTGAGAGAAGGTTTAGGATTTTCTATGTAAGCTGAGAACGAAAAGTAAACGAAATCAGGTGTAACAGAGACAATAAGTAATATATTAGTTCATAGACAACATGTACAGAAAACTTTATTCGATTGAAGCAGAGCAACAACGTCAGGGGATTCTGAACGGAGGCTTGATGGGTTCCTTTTCTCTGTCCTCTTGCACCCCAGAGATAGAGAGAGAGAGAGTAGGGCTGTGTCTAAACTCTAAAAGTGTGGCTGACTTGGTACTTTCATGCTTTTGTCTGGTCATTGAGATCTTGAAGAGCTGAAGACCTACAGAAATTACTCTGTGGTTGGTTTTGCTTTTACTTGAAGGGCACGTAGGCCACGTGGTCCCTGGGGTTTGATTCTCTCGCTTTAGCATTCTTTTTCACCTGATGAAAGGCTTTTCTTGGAGGGGCCCTGGGACGATGCTGTAGAAGCGAGGCAGTGTCCTTTCGCCCTATATATTAGATGCACCTTTAATGTTGAAGGACGCAAATTCAACTTTCAATCAAATCTTATATTGCAACGAGCTTCCGTCAGAATAAACGTATTTATGTTTTTTTTTATTTTAATAGATGCAAAGTTTAAAATAGAAATAATCCTGCAAGTGCCATTTAAAAAAAAAAACAAATTTTTTATTCTAAAAATAACAAAGTAATAACTTTAAATCCGGACAACCCCAACTTAACATAGATGGGTTAAATCTCATCATCATGGTAATAAGCACAGATTGAATAATAACGTAAGATTGCATTAGCCAGTTTTTGTCTTGAGGTGAAATATTAATATCGTAGCATAAGCATTCCAACTCTGGAGGAGGTACAAGAATTTAAAGGTCCACGGCACACTGTTTTTCTTTTCTTTAATTTTTTTTTAAAACAAATGAAAGCCCTCGTGTTTTAAACTAAAAATGGGAGTCTCTGCCTGAGCTGAGCCCTTCCCATCCAAATTCCTAAGCTATAAAATGAACCAACAGTTGCCAAAAACCAAAAAAAAAAAAAAAAAGAACCAACAGAATCCAACGCGTAGATGGTTGGTTCTCTTAAGTATGATATCTTAGGTTTGTAACTGAGGCGTATGCATGGAAAATGCTTTGTTGAGAGAGAGATACCTCACTCTGGTAATCTCTATATTTTAGAAGGACTAGTCTCTTTTTTTTTTAGCTAAAGCATAAGTATCTTTTTATTAGAGACAATCCTATTCGAGGCACTATTAACACTAAATGTGGACACTTTTTCCAACGAGGATTTGAACTTTTGTTTGTCACGTTGCGGGACTAACCCCTTCCGTTAGACCCAACTCAATTGGTAGACTAGTCTCTATTTATTGTTACTGCCCGATTTACTGTGAACAAATGGAAAGGGCTGGGAAACTAGGTTGAAGCGAACACAGCCCATCAAACTTGTATTAAGTACAACTGCCGTTTTTTTCATTGCTGCTTTTGTACGCATGCAATGACTCATAAGCAGATGCACATGCTTCTATCTTTCTACATTTTGCACAATTTCTCAAATAATCACAATGCCACCACATCATATGCTCTTCTTCGTAATTTCCAGATTTGGAGACTTCAGTTCCAAATGATTATTATTGTTGTACCCTCGCGCATCAGTATTTTGATACTTATACGTCGGACACAGCGGCCAAGAAGAAAAAACTTGAGCTCCATGGTGGGTTTTCGGCCATTCAACAATCATCAATTTCTTCCTCCGGCATCCGATGAAGGCAAACGAAGACAAAGAATAACGAATTGCATTAAGAAACAAGACCTTATGCACAAAACTTCCCGACTTGCCCACTTTTTCAAGCAAGCTTACTACCCTGTTTTTCAGTATGCATCAAAACAGATCCAATAAAGCCAAAAAAATTAAGAAACTCCCGCCCCAGCTGAGCATTTTCGCCAGGTCCTCCCCGTTTCTTCCCAACCCAAAAGCTTCATCTCACCATCTCCGCCACCGAAGAAGTGCATGCAGTGGTAGGGCTTCCCTGTATCTGTCTTGTGTTGTATGAATTGCAACTCTGACACTTATGAGCGACGACGTGAAACTGCACTTGAGAGTTCACCCCACAATCATTGCACAATATCCAGACCTGATACCACATAACAACCTCATCACTTCAATTACAGAATTAACTCGTCATTTCTTAATTGTTCAGAGGTTGTATTGATTGTTACTTACCATCTTGTCTTTGTAAGCTTCAGGCATTGGCGTTGAAGCGATCTATCACAAAGTTTCAATAATACCAGAAAGTCAGTTTATGAACGCCCAGAACCGTCACTAATATCGACTAATGTGATCGCCAGAAAAAAAACACGCATACCACTTGGTCAAGCTTCTTCCACAGGCTTGACATGTCACAGATGGATTTTGAACAAACAGGGCATGAATACCTGAAAGGTCAAAACAAAATGAATTAGTAGCTTTCAAGATGTTTTTTTTTTTGGTTTTTAGTACAAGAGTAGCTTCCAAGATTTGCTGAAGGGATATGTAAATGAACAGGGGCCTCGTGGAATAAGTTGGGCCAAAGCCCAACAAACTTATTTAGGATCAGGCTTGACAGGCCCAGATCAAACCTATTGGACCTTGAAGTTATACAAGCCGAATCCTTGAACTGTAATCTAAATTAATTATTGGTCCAAATACTAGCCTACCCCAAAAAGTATAGGCACAAATTAGTCTCACTAAAAAATACTTGCACGAGAGGGATTACAAATAGCTTTACCTGCAATGTTTCTCCATCTCTCTAACACACTCCAAATGTATAGTATGGCCGCAAGGCAAGACGGTGATGTCTCTCAAGGTATCAAACAGATACTACAAATTGTTGGGGGGGAGGGGGTTGGAATTGAAATCATGTCAGTAACTATCAGAGAGCTTTCTTCTCTAAATAATTGAGAAATGAATTTAATTTCTCTTTGCCTTACCTCAATACAAACAGGGCAATTGTGATGCATTGCTCGTTCCACACACCGGTGTCCTTCTTTCATCACATTGGAGTAGCAACAGCCTAAAAGAAGCATAGGCAAATTCAAGTAGACAATAAGCCAAAGGAGAAATGAGAAGCTGGAATTTTTGTGTTTGGGGTTATGGAAGAAGCCTTCATGTATTCAGACGGTGAACTCACCACATCTCTTGCAGTGGAAGAAGTTATCCTTGCCTCCAGTTCTGTGAAAATTAAAAGATGACAATAATTTTTAGCGATCGCAGTTTTGGGGAAATAAAAAGACAGGCCAAGAACCGAACGAAGATGTCACCTGCAGATGCCACATTCATCACAGTGGTATTGGTTCTTCGAAATCTGGAAGATGCAGTGGGGCACTATTTTAATACATAATTCGAGAAACCAAAACATGAAAACAGACACAGTGACATTGGGGAACTAACATCATCGTCGAAGAATTTGCAAGCAGCACAAAAGTACTCCCCCATGCACATTCCACAGTTGATGCAATACTGTTGAACCTGACAAAGTGAGACAAATAAAGGATCAATAACCGCCGTCCCAGTCTCATTTGCGTTCATTTTGTTTCGATCACAATGATCAAGTTATGAAAACGCTTGTCCAAAGAAGTTTTGAGAACTCACATCTTGCTCTGTTTCACATGAAGAACAGATGACCTGTAAGAAAAATAGTTTAAAAAAAAGAAAGAAAGCCAGGGGTAAAATTAATAACCACAATTCGGATGTATATAACAAAGGGAGACTAAAATAACAAGAATTGGGAATGAAGAAAAACGCGAACCTTTATAATGTCGTGGCGGGGGACATCGTGACGATGGACGGGATTGACGTCGTCGGAGTTCTGTTGACATAAACAAAAGGGCAAGGCAGATTGAAGTATGGGGTAAACAAATGAGAACAATGGGAGAGGGGAAAGAAGAAAGAAGGATACCTTAGCTTCATTATGGCAATGGCGACAGTAAAAGATTTCGTTGCAACAGGGCGCTCTGATTTTGCACCTCCTTCTGTAGTGTTTGCAGCTAACAGAGGGGGAAAAGCGTTAGAGAGAGACCGAGAGGAGAGAAGAAGAAGATAGAGGTTAAAAGAGAGAGGGGGGAAGCATACCCGAATTGAGAGGATTGAGCCATGGGAGATGAAGATGGATAATGAGAATGAAAGGGGGGGAGGAAGGAAGAGAATTTATAAAGAAAGGTGGGAGGGAAAGACGGGGAGAGAGAGGGGGAAATCCATGAGTTATAGAGGAGAGGGAGGATGCTGACAGGGCAACACGTAAGAGCGGATAAGATAGAGCTCCATTTGCGAGTTGAGGCAAGGCCTGGCAAGCACAAAAGTAGTAAAAACTCAGGAACATAGGGAATGCGGTCAACGATGGGAGTTTGGAATCTAGTGTGGCCACGCCCACGCCACTCTGAACTTGGCAGCATATATCCATTCTAAACAAAACAACGGCTGGTTTGACCCTGCCGCCCCCAGGAACCATGAGTTTTGTTCCCCCTCTTTAATTTTTTCTTGTCTCCATACAATCCTTATTTTCGACACGCCACAGTTTAGTGTCAGGATGTCTGCCCGGTTTATGCTCAGTTCCTCTATCTAACTCCCTCTCAACTCTCAGCGTCCAACCAATTCTTTTCCTAATTTCAAAGAGCGTGTATGTGCCTGGTATAATTTTAGAATGAAAAGAAAATACTACTCTGTAATCAATAACGAATGGGGTGGTCCCCGAAAAAGGCAAGTGAGGGAGAAGTGGATGAGGAACAGCTCGGGAATGGAGCGGTGAAGCAGATAACTGTGCAACCCCGTCTGATAGTGATATGGACATACTCTACCTACTTGCTTCGGTCCCACTCCTCATGAAACACACCCCACCCCCGCCTTCATAATTTAATTCCATTTAATGCCCCCGTGTTTTTGGACAAGGTCCTCCCCGTGTCTGTGCCCAGATTTATTGGAACTTATTTAAATTTCTGAATTTTTAATTCATTTATAACTCTCTGCTTTAATCATATCTCTACATAACTAACTAGTCCTTGATTCGCCCAGTCCCTTGTCTTTTTTTTAACATAGTTATCCACCGCATCTCCAACTCATTTTGAGTCATCCTACTTGGCAAGAATTGGGTAAGAAAATTGCTTCCGCGTCATCAATGAAATGAGGACCTGAGAAGGCTTTTTTTGGGGGGGGGGGTGGAGGCGATAGAGAATATGACTGACGTGGGATGCATATGAGATTGAGGGCAGCTCGTACCCAAGTTCGTGAAAGTGGGCATTCAGTTCCTTTGGTATATAACTTGAGGAAAAGGAAACACGGATACTGGAAGGAGATGGTTTCTTTGGAAGCAAGACGGCGTCGATATTTGGCAACACCCAGCTAGAAATGGTTACTACTTGCAGAAGCTTTCCCAACAATCTGTAAATATGTTAAACGTTGTTTCTTACTCCATCCCGTTGCAGGAAAACCATACAGAATTTTTTAAAAAAAATCAAACAAAAATGCTCAGCCTCGAGTCTATCATGAAACCAGAAGGCACTGGAGAGCGATTGGGTAATGAAATAAACACGATAACTCGGCTGTTGATCGCCGCTCCGGTGCCCAGTCTCTTAGAATAGCGGCCTCTCATCATGATCCTGAGTCCTGACTACACAAGCCGCCGAAAACTGAAGGCCCCCACGGACTTTGATGCGAGACACTTCCAGCTTCATATGCATACCACATCCTCAACTTCGTTTCGTTGCTGATGTGGAAGCAATTTTCTTACCACATATCTAAAGAAGTGAAAACACGAAGGATTGAGTCAGTGTTAGAATTGCAAGTGAGTTCAAAATTGAAGAATTAAAAGGTTAATTTTTTCTAAATTTTTTTTCACTTTGTCATTTTCTTCAAAAACACGTTTAAGCACTTTTTTTCTTTTCCAAAAACTTACACCCAGGATGGTGTATCAAGTATGAAGCATGAACTCCTTATCACCCATCACCCTAAAAAGAAAAAAAGAAAAAAAAAAAACTGCAATGCAAATATACCTACGACCTTGAAATTCACGAAATCAATACAATAATCCCAATGGAGCTAATCCGCATCCCCTTGGGCCGCCGGATTTAATATATGCCCGCTTGATCACATTCCCCTTAAAACAGAGACTAGCAATGAATGTATGCCCACTTGATCATACACCCCTTAAAACAGAGACCCCCATTTATGCCCGTAAGTTATAAGCCATAACTATAGAAACTTGCGAGTTGCGAGCATCAGAAAGCGACCCGCCAGGGGAGGCTTCTGGTTCTATATGGATCATTCAAGTTCTGAAATGACGGCGCCAGGCTTATTTCTGCGTGCGCGTGCATACTATGTATACCAATCCAGCTATTATTCAAGACGCTGAAGCCATATACATGTATGCAGCAACGGCATTCTTTTACCCCAACCAGCATGGTGACGGTGAAATCGGTGACTCCATGTGCTTAAATCGTTTAAATTCCTCGCATGCTCCACTGAACTGGGTTCATATGAACAGTATCTTTTTATAAAACTGCATATCACAACAGATAAGAACCACAGATTTGAACCCAACTATTTGTATTAAAAGTCAGAAACTTTAACAAACATTTATATACATGTTAAGGATCGCAAGGATTAGAGCTTTCGCAGCATCCAAACTATGTCCGAAGCTTGGAATGTTAATAACCAGGACACGGTGCTAAACACGAATAAGTTTGGGGTGCACGACTTCCCCGACGACCCAAACTTTGATCAGTTCATCTTGATTCGGGGCGGGGAGAGCCAAGGCCCACTTCCTTCTACCTTCGATCCTATTCCTGATCTCTTCTTCAATTGCCGATTCCTTCCATGCCCCTGCGCTGCGCTGCAGACCCGTTTGTCTGCTCTAACACTTGCTTTGCTGTTAATGATCTAATCCCATACTCTCCACTCAGCTCCTTCTAGTGTTTTCATAGTAGCGTTCGGGCCAAGGCAGAAAGATCCGCAGATCATCGGGAAGACGATGACGATGGGGATGATTCTTCTGCAATCGGTGTTAATAATTCAAAACAGAGGTCGAAAGCTGATAGGTCCATCATTTTGATCTCTGAAAGGAGGAGGAGAGGACGAATGAAGCAAGCCCTGTGCACATTGCGTTCTTTGGTTCCCAACATAACTAATGTACGTGTCAAGTTAACCTTTTGAGCTTTAATTTTGGCGACAAAACTGTTTTCCGATTCAATGGTGGCAAGGTTTAATGCGATTGTATATATGCAGATGGACAAGGCAAGTATTCTGGGAGATGCAGCAACATATGTGCAGGAGCTGCAAGCACAAGCCAAGAAGCTGAGGGCTGAGGTTGAAGATCTTGAAGTATCCTACATACTAGCCTCATCACAAGACTACAATCAAGGATGAGATCAAAGCCCCACGAGGATACATGATGTTCAAGGCGCACGCAACCATTTATTATTCTGCAAGAAGATCCTGCAGGTTAATCTGTTTGCTTGGTATATTGAAGAATTAAGTTCATATATACTACCTCCGGTCCTTAATATAAACCCTATTTGACTTTTATTTTGGTTCTAAATATAAGACTCCAATCCACTTATCTCTCGTATTTATATTTTTTTTTCAAAGTAGCCCTTCTAACAATGATAGTTCTAGTCAATACACTTGATTCGCAAGGATATTTTAAGAAAGACAACACCTATTTAGGACAAATAACTAACTCAACTTACTTCTTTAATCTTCTCAAATTAGTCAACTCACTTATAATTATGACGGGAAGCAGTATTATATATTAGCGTGTGACAGCAGCATTTATGTGTAGATGGAGGTGATACAGGTGGAGGAAAGGGAGTTTTAAGTGAAAGTATTGACCAACAAAGGTGAAGGTGTGGCTTCCTCACTCTACAGGGCTCTCGAGTCTCTGTCAGGGCACAGTGTTCGCACTTCACAGCTGGCCACGCCTCGTGACTCATTTCAACTTTCGCTAACACTGAAAGTAAGCGAGCTCTGTCCTACTTCTATGTATGTATGTATTTAGATTTAGTTCGATTTGAAACCGGTTGTGATTGCAAATGGTTATGCTGCTCTGCTGTTTTGGGATATGTATATTATGTAAATAATAGCCATGTTCGTCTTGTAGTTTAAAGAGTAGAATAAGATGAAATTGATATTAGAACAATGTTTAAAATCTTAAAAAGAACAAGAATCAAATGGTTTTATAATGAGTTTACAAGAAATCCAACTTTTACACATTTGGATGAATTTTGGCCAGACCTAGGGCTCTTTCTAAGGTTAGATTTTGATACTTCTAATGAGTTTAAAATAAAAAAATTATGTGAGATAGAGATGAGAAAGCAAATTTGGAAACATTAGAATTGAAAATGAAATTTAATCTCTGAAAATTCTTTAACTTTCCTTTTATATTTTCAAAACTTCAGCTCATAAGAACTTAGTAGTTTGTTCATTTTAAGCTATTCCTTACATTTCTAGCCCAAAATTTTCAATGCTACATTTTAGATTTAATTTGATTCATGCTTTGTATTGATTAAGGAAAAAAATTAATGATGTTACAAGGCCGACCAAGGTTGTGAGCCAGTAACCAACCTGACGATCTGAAGCTGTGGATGACAGACGCTCTTCTCAACCAAGGATTCGGGTCCATGACATAATTTCTTCAGCTTGAGTGTTCGCTTCTGTTTTATTGTAATGTAAGCCTGTGATGAAACTATTATGAAGAGCTGTGTCACACATGTCCAGATTACAGAATAGATAACATCATGATTGAGAGAAAAAGAGGCGTGTCATCATGTGTGAGAATCCAGGATACAAATCCAAACCGTGTCACGAGCAAACCAGTCTATACGAGAACATGCAATTAATGTCTGTCACAAGCAGTATGATTTTACAGGACACATGCTTGGAAGGTTTTTTCTGCAGAAAAAATACCGTTCCCGAATCAACCACCCCCCCTTTTTTTTTTCAATTTTCGTGCATTAATCATCAAAGAGTAGACTAGATATACTTGGTGCTAATTAAATTGGTAATCGCGACACAGCTGCGTGTCATGTTTATTACTGGGCTAAGCCCAGCACCTCACGGATTTCACACTGGGGAGGGTTATTGTCCCTCTCCTCTTTGCCGGCTTCTTTGTGTTTCATGTTGTTGTCACGCATGCGTCCCCTCTTCAAAATTACTACCTTTG